GTTTGAAAGTACACTTGATTTGAGAATGCTCAACACTTACATCAAAGATCACAGAGTTTTTAGCCAAGAGTGGAGATCTTTCATTTCCTGCTTTTTGCTCCTGTACAAGTGTTGTTTTGTAAGTATTGGATTAGCACGCACTTTTGGTTTGCTGACAGAAATGTGGTGATTGCGCCATAAAATGCTGCAGCTCTTAGAGCCGCAAATAAAAACAAGTGGAAATCGTTTTATACAAAACAAAGGTATAAAGATGTAAACTTGAAATGAGCTTTTACCAAGTATCATTCGGTGGCCTTGCCTCTCTTTTTCATTTTGTGTTAATGAAGGGAATTTTGGATCCATCTCTTAGAAGCGCCTGTGAAAATTAGCCAGAGAGCGGCGATTGAAATGTTTTTCGTCTGGCTGATGTCAAGACTAATCGTTACATTTCCAAATGTCAGGCGTGTCCTCTGTTCTGTGTTCAACTTTTGCATCTGTATGAATCCTGCTTCACAGTGGGCGATTAATGTATTCTGCTAAAACATTGCACTGAAACCTATATGTGATGTGAATGTCTTCAGAGCTAAATCAAAGATATGGATGAGTTCAAGTCATGGTATAATACAACATAGGAATTCTCAAGCCATTGGATGTGTGTATAATCATGATATATGTAAAAAATGTTAAGAAATAAGTGGAAAAAATATCTTGTCATGAAATAAAACAGAGTGTTTGGTGTTTAATGGTTAGTCTGCTGGGAATCGTGATGCAAGAATTCTTCCTCTGGATGTTGACAAGTTACTGGCTTGATTTAAGCAGAATAGGTTCTCACTTTGTGAGTGCACCGTCTCTTGATTGTGTTATATGATATTTTTGACAAAAAAGACACGTGAATAAAAGACTTTGGTTGTCTGCATCACCTTCATCTTGGTTCTTTCCCAAGTAGAGGCTGAATCTCAGGCAGTTGTTCAAGGCGTACGCAGCACATCACCACGTTTATCATTTTTGCCTCAGATTAGACTTTTCACCTGTGTGGAAACATCTTATTCTAACCCCCCACTTTTATAAGAGAGCCTTGGGCGGAGTCTTTAAAAAAAAAAGACACCAAATGTTTTTGCTATTCTTTCACAACATCCACCTGGATGCCAGAATGACCCCTGGATTTTCACCTCTGACCTCCTGGGTACTCGAGTCCCACCACCTGAGCGCTGGGTTGTCCCCCAGTCTTCACCAGATGTTTGGATAGACTACCTGCCTCTCAAAACATGGGAGACATGACAGGGCAGGTCACCAGACAGAGGGCAAAACAAAGACTCGGATTTCACAGACCCTCTATCAATCAAACATCTTAGAAGCACAATCACATATGCACACACACACACACACACACACACATGCAGACAGACACAGGAATCCCTACAGCTTCAAAGGGAGATGTGTGAGGGATTTTTCCTCGCTTTTGAACAAGGGCTTGTTGTGGATCAGCAGCACTGTTTATTGTCCTTTGTTGCCATTTGGCACAACCAGAGGATGTTATCAGAACTGCTGTGCATTTATTGGATTATGTTATGGAATTATTGCACCGCAGGGGTGACAAAGCAGAAATGTTTAATCTTTTGTTTCCAAATTTTCGCAACGTAATACATCAGACTGTATAACAAGCGGGGGCGCAAGCTGCATTCCCAGACATCATTTGGCGTGGGACAAATGAAATGGCATCCTGTTGTGCATTTTTCAGCATCTCGACAACCTTTGAGATTACTTGGTGAGTGTGTGAAAGTCCTGAGTTGGTCCGCCACAAGCCACGATCTCTCCACTATTGGTGACTGTATTGATTCTAGTGTCCAAGTGATCTATTGGGTATCTCTGTGGTTTACTCTACAGAACCAGACAGTTTGCTCACATCTATTAATCAGTCTGTGCTTACGTATGGAAGTGGGTTCTTCTTCCTCACCACCTCTGCCGCCCCATCTCTTCACACACACCCATCCACCACCTGCCTGGCCTTGGCTGTGCACCTGTCTGGTGCAGGCAGCTGTGGGTGGGCGGGTCTTGGCTGTCAGAGGAACATTCCGGAGGAGAAGTCACCCCGTTAATCCCCTGGGTTTAGGCCCGACAGCCCCCCACTCTCCCTCCAACCTTTCTCTAACTCCAGTGCCCATCATGCCTCCCTCTCTTAGTCTCCAAATGTTGGCCCATCCGTGCAGCTTTCCCTCTCAGCCCTGGTCAGGCTCAAATGGGATACTACCATGTCAAAGGTGGACACTGGGAGAGTGAGATTAAAAGGACGAGTACCCCCCACATGCTTACCCACCCTCAACCTCCCAGGCCCAAAGATTTTAATCCCCCCAAATATTCAAGAATGAAAAGCCAGGCTTATTCTGGAAGGAAAAGAACTGAAAGGATACAGAAAGTAATTATTTTATTAAGGCCACTATCTCTCATTTGATTTCAGTAAGTGAAAATGAAACCCACTTTCTGTCAATTTGCCGAATGTGCATGTGTGTGCAGTCAGAGGGTGTTTGTGTGTGTGTGTGTGTGTGAGTGTGTGTTGAAGGCACTCACACATGCAGTCCTCTGTCTTTTGTCTATTGGTAGTTTCACTCCTCTAATTTCCCATATCACTCTCTGGGTATCACAGTTTTTTTCTGCTTTTGCCTATCAAACAAGAGTCTCTTTATCACTATGGGGAAATTCTGATGTCAGGCCAGATCCCGAACTTGGCAGGCGCCCCCGTTCAGCTGGAACACATAAATGAGAGAAGCTTCACTATTCACCCCGCAAGTGTAGAAGATGATGTTCCCCTCACTTTTCCCGTGACACTGCAGACACTCTATCTCCAGCAGAACATGTTATCTGTTGGGGCTGGCTGTTGCATGTGTCCGTCTTCAGTAAGGATCAGCAGCATGGACAGCAGCAGTTGTATCAGATACTGTGACGAGGATAATGCCTGCTGAATGGAATCGTAGAGACTGGAAGAAGCAGTGGGTCCATTTTCCTCACGACTTTTGGCTGTTTGGACAGAGGCTTTGTATTTGGATGACATGTGTGACTGAACATGGTTTGATAGCTGAGGTTATTGTTAATTTTTTTTTAGTTTTCACATTTCTTCCAAACCGATATGCATGTTACATTTTAGAGCTGTTTATAGTTCAGTTGAATCTCACCAGACATCACTTTATATGGTCCTTTTTTTCTTCATTTGAAATTAAAACAAAAATGATCTTAAAAGGGATCCATCCATCTCCATTCCACATTCCATATGTAGAAATATGAAGTCCTATTAAAGTGAATTTACCCATGCCAGACATGCATATTTTTCTGTACTCTTACTCTTACTGCTTGTTGTCACTTTAACAAATGAAATCAATTTGAAAGGAGATAAAGCGTATGTAAAGGTCCCTTGTATGTGCTTACAGAGTTATGCTCTAAGCTGCTTGTTTTCTTTTTGCTCTCTGGCCATTAACAAGTCACACCTCCGTCAGCAATTCGTTTTCTTGGGTGTAATGTCTCACTGTGTTCTGTGGTGCTGACTGCAGCGGTGTTTGGGCCACACCAGGGAAACCAGGAACAGAGAGAGTCCCAGGGTGCAGGCTGTTCTCGAACTATTTACCCACAGACCAGAGCCCCTCCGAAGGCCAGGGGAAGCGCTGCTGGGCCAAAGGCTATTAAAGCCCTGATGGCTTTTGACAGTAATTTCTTCATGAGTCCACAGCCTACAGGGGCTGCCAGCGGTGAGATCGGGTGCCTGATTTTGCCCATTAAAACACACAAACTGTGCCCACAAATCCCGCTCAATGGTATCTCTGTGCTCAGGGAGTGTGTTTCTGCATATGTGAATGAGAGAAGTGAGGAAGAGGGCCGGAGGAGCAGGAGGGGGGGGGGGGGGGGGGGCCTCGCCAGTCGTGAGAAGCTCCTGGTAAGCGAGCCAAAAGGTTTGGATGGGTTTCTTCAACTACTCCATCAGTTCAGGCAAGACTCCAAGCCATGAGGGGAACATATTCTGGAAACCATGTGTTGACATACGGCCAAATCATAAAAGGTGTTTACGTGCACCTTAACCCAGGGGAGAAGAAATCACTCGACAAGGCTTAAGCATTGTGTTGGGAGGGGGTTGGAGCTTCGCTAGCAGGCAGTAAATCTGTGGCTGGTTGATGAGTTTGCTGAACGCGCTGCTGCACCTGCGCCTTGATCAACAACATCAACAGATTAAATGGCTGCAGGAGAAAAACTAATCTTGCCCTTGGACATATTAATAATGTCGCCTTAAGGTGAACGTGACCACTGGTGAAAATAGAGGTTTGTTGGTGAGTAAGATAATTAAGATAGCAAACAGCCGTAGTCAGTCTCATTCTTCAGTGTACAGAAAGGGTGCGCTAATCTTATTTTGCCGTACGTGAAAAAAGCCATGGGTCATCCATTGCTAATCCACCCTCAGTAATGATCTCTCCTCCGTGTTCCCCTGCGGTGTTAAAACCAGAGCATTGAGCTGGATTAGGAGACTGATGTGTTAATCATAAATTAGAGGCTAAGCCTGACTGAGCAGGTCAGTCTGAGGTCAGTTCCTCAGCCCCATAAAGGACTATATGTGTGAAAAGCCACGGCTTACCACTTAGCAGCTCCAGCATAATCAGGAAGGAACAATGTACAGTAGTGTAATGTGTCAAAGCTGGTCTGAGCTTAGTGTTCCTCCCCAACAAAGAATCTTTTCAGACCCTGCAGACTTTTTAAGTTTGCATCTACCATATATGTAAGTACACCTTGTGCAAATACACTTGTTCGCACTCACACGCACCGGCTCACTTAACACCCTTTTAAAGGGCACTCACCCCACAAACTGCTGAGATCGGTCTATTCATATGTCTTTCGAACTCGAGAGAATCTCAGGCTACATCAGAAATAAGTACCATCCGTTTCTCCAAATTCAAAAGTGCTGCCTCGGGGGAATTGGCAAACTGTCTTGAAATGGGATGAAACACGACCTCTGCAATGTATGACTAATACGTGGCTGTGACAGGATGCGTCAACAAGTTGTTTTATTGAAAGAACAGCAAGAAAATACAAATGACAAAGACATTACAAGATTTATATAACAAGTTAAATTATAAAATACTAATAAGAGATAAAAAACTGAATTTGCCGACCCACCCTTCCTTCTTTGACACATTAGGCAACAGAACAACATGTAGAAAAGAGTTCTTTATTTCTAATAAAGACGAGTATACTGTATGTGAACACAGGCCATTTTTATGACGTATTGTTGGTTGTTTACATTCTTGCAAACTGCTTTACAAAGCACATAAAAGGATGCAATAGGTCAGTACGAAGCGGATGGTGTAGTCTAAGTTATTGTACCTGTGCAGCAAACTATACATATAACTGCCTTAATATCATCAACAAGGGGAGAAAACTAAACTGGGGCAAAGGGGACAGAATGTAGCATCAAACATGAATACTTGTACAACTTGGAAAAGTACACTTTTTAGAAACACAAAGGACACATACATTGTATGTGTTATTCTTTTTTTTTTTTTGCTTGTCAGGACAAAGAAAGCTAACTACATCATTCACAGATTCAGCAGTCTGTTTAAATACCTTATTTCTACAAAGTGAATTTACATCTTTTTTTTTTTAAAGTACAAAGTGCAAATACTATGGTTTCCATGATTGCCGATTGGTGAGGGCAGTTTCTCTGTGCGAGAGGGGAAATCTCCGTTGCTGGGTTTAGCCTTGCTTCTTCGGGGGATGCTGGGGAGAAAAAAAGGCTAAGTTGGAAAAAATGCAAACTCCAGCTCTTAGTCAGCCTAAGAGATGAAGGTTACAATTACATACTTTCAGTATTCAACTGGTTTGGGAAGTGCACTCTACTTACTAGTTTACTGGAAGGTACACCATCACCTGGTCTAGCTGCTGAAGGACAAAAAGGTGTTTTGATTACTGTGAATCAGAACTCATATTCCAGTGGGTAACAGGGTTTTAAAAAGACTCATAAATATGTTGCTGCATGTCCCTATGCGATTACAATTCCTCCAGTGGTGAAACATTTGGAATTGCACTTGCTTATCATTTTCGAAACAGTGTATATTACATTTCAAACAAATGAAGATCCCAGCAGACGTCTTGTGTTTAGCCAGGCTGTCCAAATGCCCAAGCAACGGAGTGGAATACATTGTAATCTTTTAATAGAGTTAAAAAAATTATTCCATATTAAAATGAAAAACATTCAAGTATGACTTCACAATTTCTTTGACATCTGCACACTTGATGTCATGTTAATTTAGTGCAGATTGATTCTGTGAAGACTACTTAGAGCTATAAAGATTTGTAATAACTGCTTATGGATAGTACAAGGTGCTGTCAGTGGGATGGCTGAAAGTCTTACTCTTGTTTTTTTTTTCTTGGCTAAAATGTAAGATCACGCTGTTAGTTATATGGATCACTTAACTTGAGAAATAAATAAGCTAATAAATCTCTGCCAGTACATTGTTCAACGTTTTACATCACCACAATGAAATCTGAATTGTAATTGGTGTTTCAAAATCAAACATCAGTGAAATATTGCCAATATAAGCAACCATTCGTAATGCTGGTCTTTATCTAAACATAGAGGAATGGAACAAGAGGGAAGTCTGCAGTTTATTGAGCGAATATGTAACAGAGGAATTGCAACGCGAGTTCTCAACGGTGCTATTTAACAAGCCAGTGGCCATTGTTCTCCGTGGAGCAGTTTTAACAACCAGGGCTGTTTCACACATGAGTCACGTCAAGACTGTACCTAAAAGACGCATCACATGCCTACCAGGTGTCCAGGGTCAAACTCCCGATGAGAGAAATATCAGTAATTGGTATTAAAATGGTCAGTTGAGTATTTTTCTATCGGTTTGGTGTGTGGACCGAGCTCCTAGGCGCTGTGATCTCCTGTATCACAAGCACAAAAGACCACTAAAGAGTCAGACCCTCGGGAAGAAAAGGAGGGAGTGGAGATGAATTGATCGCTCCACACCCAAAATGACTTTAAAAAAAAGATAGAGGTATAAATGTGGGGATGGAAAAAGGAGAAGCCTTATTATATCTCATTTTGATTAACAGATACTTCATTAAGGCCTAAGGAAGCAGCAGAAGCTTGTGAAGATAGATAAAATAAAGATATCATGTTCAGAATTAAATCAGACTCTTTCCACTACCGTCTACTTAATGGATGCTGTCTTAACAGGTCAGATTGTAGCAGCTCTCACAATCCCAGGAGGTCACATGACTTTTGCATGGAAAAGCAGGTCCATACCACCCACTTACTTCAAGAAGCACTATTCCTAATTCTTCTTTTTGGTAGCCTTTTTTTTAAAATCATTGAAGCATTTCATTAAACGTTGTTTGAAGTACAGGAGTTCATTCTTATTTGAAAGGTTTTGGCTGATCAACTCACCCTCCTCCTTGGTCACCCCGAGGCAGCCCATCAGCTCTTGCAGAGACAGCGCCTTGTCGTTGCTGATATCGCAGTACTCCACAAACTTCTTAACGCACTTCTTTGGCTTGGACTTTTTGCGCAGGAAGCGTTTGAAAGGCTTGATTTCCTTCTTTCCTATGTCCCCGCTGCCGTTTTTGTCCAGCTGACTGAAATACCAGTGCACGACCCGTTCCTCCAGGGTATGACTGGGGTCGGGCTCGGCCATCCTACGGGTCAGGTATGAGTATGTTATTTTATCAGAGAAAAGTCCCCTCAGCATAAAACATTACGGTAGCAGAGTGGAATGCATTGGTGCCTTTGTAGTGAATTGCTGGGCTCATTGATGTTCAGATGAAAATTGTGAACACTTGCAAATGCCATACCTTCCGGCGGATGCTGGATCTGTGACAGCATGCACCATGTCTGTTGACAGCGCGTCAAGAACACTTGTCAGGAACTCTGTTTTCTTTGCTCCATCGCAGCCTGCGAAAAATGAACCGCACACCCATCAGTGTGTGATAGCATGCAGGAAGCAGTGCACATGGAAGAAGTTCACTGTGTACAAAATGGTAAAAAGCCAAAACCGTGGTGAGAAAACCCTCCAAAGAGCAGAACACAGCCACAATAGGTGGCCTAATAAATGTTTAGGGAGGGATGCCACGTAAATGTCAGTGTCGTTTTGACATGAACGGCACATAAAAACAGCAGAGGAGAAAATAAAAACCAAGACCAGTCAACTTTTACTCGCTCTCATAAAGCATCAGACCCCCCTCATCTGAAGGAGGAAGCAGATACCTGCCAATCATGTAGGAGGCCCAGAGTTGTTTTCACAGCTGTGGACACTGAATTTGTTCCTGAATACTGAGTGTACAGAAAATAGAATCCTTGCAGTATCTGACACTCCCCAACACAACAAGGGGCCTGATACTTCACTTGGTGGCGAGGTCACAAATGTATGAGACTCACGACGGGGTCCTACTATATAGTAAACCTGCGAGGTAAAATTCATTCGTAACGACCCACTAAAAACCAACAATAAGACACCATTACATGTGGAATGACAGGAAAATCCTAAAAGAAAGGACAACGCTGGTGGAATGACCTTAATAACTGTAATTGTCTGGTAGGCCATATAGTTTTAAGAGTGACTGGACCAATGTTGCTCTAAAAGAGCTGAAGGCAACGGAGACCTGAGAGATTCCTGGATTCCAGTCATCTCTGCTTTCTCACAGTCTGGATGTGCATGTGGAGGAGAAGAAATTCTCCATTGGCTGCAGCTCCTCTTTTATGGCCTTGGCCTGCGGGGCCAGATTCTCCTCTGCTGGAGATAATAGCATGCTTTGCGCCTAACAGGTGGCGACCAGCATCGGTGTAAACACCCAGCCTCCTCTCCACCTTTCAGAGTTTTAGCAGCCAGCACTGTGCCCATGGTTCAAACATTCACATGTTCAAACTCTTCCACAGTCACATGCGGGACAGACTTGCACTTAAGTTATAGCAGTGCCTTCATATCCAAAGCCCGCTTAAGTATCCTACCTGTTAATAGCCAAACTGGTGCCTCGCAGAGACTTTTGTGGTGCGTTAGTCTAGACAGTCGCACAATTTCACCCACAGAAGGAAAAGATTTTTTTTTTAAAACAATCTTTCTTCTTACTGAAAAGAGATTTGTGGGATGCTATTGGACTTGTTTGAGGCATAGTGTTTTTCATGGAGAGCACCCGTCCATTCCGTAATGCCGCAGGCATCTGAGCATGTCTGAAGTTCATTCAAATGGGAAGTCATCAGGTAACGCTTCAGTCCCTTCATGATGGTTTTTCTTGTAGGGGCAGGACCTCTGTCTGTCTGGACGCTATTTAACTGTGGGGCAGGACACAAATGGGCCTCCTGTCATTCCTAGGAAATTGAGTTTGGCCATTTTTTTTCCACATATCTCAAGGCTGCGGTAACAAATGGCTGCTGTCACGTCCCATAATGATTATCATCGCGCAGTACCAAAAAGTGACGGACGCAGGATGGAATCGACTTGAGAAAGCCTGAAATGAAAAACTGAGAGCAGGGCTGCTCACAGGCCCTGCAGGCCTGTGAAACACTGGCCCGTAAGTGCATGTGTATGGGAGAAACCTGTGTGCTACAGTCAATAAGTAGCAGTGTTTTTGGATGGAGCCACATGGGGCACGGTGCTGTCAGCACTCACAGCTGCCGCTCCAAACGCCTGGCTCAATGCTACCCCAAGCTCCTGCTCCGAGGAGAGAGCAAGCCAACTACAGCTTTCTTTTCCTGCCCCTTCCATGGCAAGTTGCTCCTTCCTCGCATCTCGCCTCATAAACCTCTCAACACCAGTGCTTCAACTGTAAATGGGCTGCAGCAACCTGAAGGCAACATTTATAATTATCCTGGGCTGGTTTGTACTCTGACAGGGTTTACAGCCGCTGACATGATCATTACTGAAGAAAACAAAACACAGTGTCTATTTTTTTTTTTAAATAATATGGGCTTATTTTAGTATTGGATTTCTGGACTTTTTTTTTTGCACTTTCAGAATGAAGTTAGGTTGACTTTTTGTTGTCTCACTGCACTCCAGAGGTGCTTAGCTCTTTCATCCTTCATACAGTATTGTTTTATTTTTTCATCTCAACTTATGTCAGTGGAGAGCACTGATGAGTGACATTTGTTTGTTTAATGTGCATTTACCCATGACTGCATGTTCATCTGTGCTCTGAGCACAGACAGAGCCTGAGCAGAGACAGAGTGCTGCTCTGCTGCTGAATGCAGCACCTGCGAGCAGAGAGCTCGCAGTCCTGGCACCCTGTTAAATAAACAGTCATGGATGGGACAAGAACAGTGGCGGGTCTGTTCATAAGTTGATGAATTATTAACATGTTTGCAAAACCACAAAAAAAAACAAAAAAAACAAAACAAAAATACAACCCCCATCCCCCTGCTGCTGCTTTGCAAAGAAACATCCAAGTTTAAATATGAATACCATATGAATATGTACCTCAACGTTGCATCTGGGATTGGCCTATATTTGATTTCACAAAGGCAAAGTTCATGTTATTCATGTTATCGAACCAAAGTTGGAGACTGAGTCTATCCAAGGCTGTGAGAAGCAAAGTGATGAAATGTGAACAAGGAGCTCATATCTATCAAATTTAGGCTCAAAATGATTTGGATCAGGTTCTTAAGAGGAGAGGATGGTGGGGCCCTATTGTGTCTCTTATATTATTACAATAAGTGTCTCTAATTCCCATTTTCTGTAATTGCTCTAGAAGCTATTCCATAATCCAGCAACAAATAGCTCTGAGAACTTAGATTCCTCGTGTGATGGACTGGTGACCTTTGTCGAGAGAAAAAGAGTGTTCACTAAAAGTATGAAAGAAAATGCTCCTAAAAGTGATGCCCTTATACAAGCTTCAGCATGTTTCAAATGGGGATGGTCATGAGTAATAAGTCTGCTATGATTGCTATGGTTTTGCTGTATTTATTGTCTGTACAGTTTGGTTAGCTTTCAATTGTTTATTTTTTAAATGTTTTTTTATTTTTTAGCGAAACCCTTTCGCTCTGCACATTTTAAGTCATTGTCGTAAGTTGTGTGAAAAAAACATCTAATTTGGTGAGTGACCTGCAGGAACCCGGGGAGCTTTAACTCCTAGTAGAAGGATTAGAAGTCATGTTGTTAAATGGCATTTGCTGCAAAGGCAGAAACTGCTGTTTTCCCCTTATGTTCAACCCTTATTAAAGCTTTTTTTAAATGTATAAAACCTGCCCAAAACTTTTCAAAATGTGATTTTAACATGATATGCATGTTCATTTATTCAGCCATATCAGTTTGTAATGTTTACATTTAGAGGGTCTAATTCTGACTGGTAAATGCCCTCTTAACATAGTCTCACCTGACTTCCACCCCCAAACTGATCTGCTCTCTGTTTAGTTATCTACAGTGCTATCAGTCTTAGTATCACCACCTGTCTCTGGCATCCTATTATCCACTATCTCTACCCCACCTCCCTGCTGTTTCTCCTCCGTGCTTTCATTCCATGGTCCTCCATCTCCAGTGTCAGGTGAAGATTAATCCTCCCCCAATCCGTCTCTGTCTCCTAGCTCATTGACCAGTGAAGGGCAGTATCTGGCAATGCTCAACTTTTATCAAGAATTTCCTTGACCATCGGTGCTAATGATGTCTACACACACAAAAAACAGATGCTTACGCCCACTATTATCACAACTTTGGAAGCATGGCAGCAGCTGGAGGAGAACTGCGGGGAAACCCAACTGTGTGGTCTGAACATAAACGAAATACAGAAATCCCTCTTAGGACTCTTACCTTGGAGATATCTGCTTCTATAATGGTCTTTTGGTTTAGTTGGATGGGCCCTGGCGTTGCCATCACATTTTGGTTGTTCATACCTGTGAAAGCACCACATAAAGAAATTAAAATATTCAGTGTGAAATGGCTTAAAGGCATTTCTAACACTCAAAGTGTCCTGGTAAAATCAGAGGAATCCTATGCATTCCAATCAGCCCCCATAGTCATATCTTAGGGACTTAGATAATTGTTTTGTGGCAAACCAGGGGCTGTGAAACACATCCAAAAAGAGGGGAACGATCTGGAACTAGTATTAGGGGAGAGAGGAGGAGGGATGGGGAGAGTGAGAAAGAGATGGGGAGTGGGGGACACAGAGAAGCTTTCACAGCCTCCTTTGTGGAGGCAGTAGAGTCCCAATTGCTGCTGTGCAACTGGGCCAAAAGTTGGCCCGAGACAAGAAGGGAAATCCACACTTCCATATGTGTGCTAATGTGCTGCCTGGCACGCTGCCCAGAGACTTGTTGAACTGATACCCTGCAATGTTGCTTAATAAGAGCTTACCAATGCCCCAGTCTGCCAGCCTGATTGCCCTCTGACCTGCCGCCTTACAGCGCAGATTCCCTCCGTCATCAGCAATAGAGATATCACTTTATGTGCTAACTTTGACGTATCATTTTCAATAGTGGCACAAAGAGAAACTTCTTTTTGATTCAGTGAAAGTTGGCTTTCCTGTGAAAATTTCATCTTGATTCCTTTGAAATTTGGAAGCTCACAGGCGGTTAGGCCAGAATATGCAGGACCAGGATGTTTCAGTGCAAATGAGGTTTGCCAAAGGGCTTGGACACAAAGCTGGCCGGGGGGCTGATTATCACTCACTTTGCACGTCAACTTTTCAGTCTGTTGGACTGGCAGAGGAGAACAGTAAATTGTAAGTGCATTTGTGAATGGTCTAATTGTTGTAGCTATAGGTTACGCACCTGGTTGAAGTCGCTGGTATTGGTCTTCCAGTGTCCACTAGCACACACCAGCAGTAGCCGGTGGAGGGGTGACATTGCACTGGCTTGTAGAGTCCTCCCTGGGCACAGTCCGGTACGAAAACGGCATCGTTCTTGTGCTGCCTCGCCTCGTCCAGGGCAGAGTGCCGCTCCTGGTCACATGACGAGGCTGGAAAGAGGCAGCAGCGGTTATATAGGACCTGAGGAATCCCCCCTTGATTCCAGCCCTCACTTCCGTGGTACAAGTTGGATGACTTGCGATCAAGTAAGAGCGTTTAATGTTTTCCTTGGAGTCACTCCTAATCAGATTTGGACACATTTGGATTCGCGCAGCATTCAGTGAGACCAAATAGACATTTTTAAAACCAAAATACAAACAGCTGCTTACTGGTCACCCTTATTAAGTTACACTTGCTGCATATCCCTGAAGTGGAGGAGAAAGACAAAGGAGACAGCCTGAGTAGACTGCTATATCAGCCACTGTTTATGGACATTAACAGGCTAATGACTAAGTACAGCTCCCTAAGCCCCCAGTTACATAAATATTTGGACACTACCCTGGCCTTTGTGGATGTGTGTGACAGAGAGAAAAATGACAAAGACAGAACACTAGTCATTTAGGCCTTCAGTTTTGGAAAGCCCCCCCCACCCACCCAGCCTGCAAGATACAGTGAAGTGCCAGGAATGAAATGTTTACGTGTCCATAATTCCCAGGACCACTACAATTCCTCGTGATCCAGTCGGTTATCCATCCATACAGAAAATGCGGTGGTCTTGATATGAAAGAATGGACTCTGCAGAGCCTCAGCAGGATCTAATCAAACTTTTTCTCAGTGCAGGACCCTCCCTCTTTGCCATGCGGCTCTCCAACTGAGATAAGAGCATTAAAGTAAGGAATGGAAGAGGGGCTCTCATGGCTATGAAGGCTTTCATGCCAAGCCTTCCCTCTCTCAGGCGCTCGCCTCAAGGCTCGGAAGCACATGCAGGATTATGGATCTTTTTTTTGGCTCTTTGTTTATTTTCATTAGAGGTCTTTACCCACACAAAAGAGACCAAATGAAATGCCTGCCCGCTTTCTAAACCGACTTTCTTCGCTCTACTTCCTCCGTATGGATTCTCTTTGTTTGGGCGGGAGTTTTTTTTTTCCTGTTCACCCCAATACCCCGCAGAACATATGGTAATGAAAACCATCAATGCTGCATTTCCAAGGCTTTTTATTGGTTGTAAATTATGATAATGTGATTCACACACAAACACACAAAACACACACACCCACACTATGGGCTCTCATCTCAAAGGCCAACCTAAAATACACACAGCTACAAAGTTCCCCAAGAGCAAAGAAGTTAACCGATATAAAGATAAACACGCACGTGTGTCAAGAGAAGAAAAAGAGAAGAATGGATGTTTCTGTGTTTGTGCCATGTGCTGATAATTACAGATATGCAATGCAGGGAACCACAGAGAAACAGATCCTCAAAGCCTGACGCACTCCAACACCAAGATGTATTGGTTTCACAACCCACCATCTGTCCTTAAAAGACAGGAACAGCCCCAAACCACGATTGCTCACACGAGTTAGAAGAACACAGAGTGTGTTTTCAGTTGAGGTTTGCGAACACCCGATCGCCATCATTAAAAAACTGAGCGGTCTTGGAAACTCACATGGTGCTCTGGTTCTATTGTTCTGCCGGCTGCGAACCTGCTCCGTCCACAGACTGGGGTACCGGGAAGGGGTGACTGAAACAAATCACAAAGACAGCTTTATTAGCATCAAGCCAAGACACACACGTATGCAATCGGAGCCAAACCAGGAAGTTCCAAAACTCACAGACACACATCAAGGTTATGGTATCTAAAAGTGCTGGTGTGGATGTGGGAAGTAAATTGCTTATGACAGCTGTCACCGGAGACATAAAACCTAGACAAAGTGTACACCGACTATAATCTATCAAAAGATCAAGCTGATGTGGAATCAAAATACTGTTAAAAAAAAGGATTGATGACTGTGATAAAAAGTAACAGATTTCTGTTTGCACTAATGTTGGTTCTGTGATATTATATAACCATTTCCCCTGCTTTTGGGGGTTTATGGAATTTAACCTAGTAATACTGTCATATAAAAACAATCTGTAATGATCACCAGTAGCTTATAGTGACTTGAATGCTTTTTCTAAACTTTCTTTTAGCATTTTGTCAGGTCTCAGATGCAATTTTTGGCAATTTCCTGTCAGCTTAATCCTCTTTTGTTTTGATTTCTCAAGTATTTCGCCATAGGTTTATTTGATCCAGCCTTGCTTTTTTCTTTTTATGGATGTTTTTGGAATTTTGTTTTTGATTCGGTCTGGGGTATCTTAACAAAACAAAACCCAAATTCAAACTTTTTGCGTTTAACTCACGGCGATGAAAAAGGAGACTCACCATCGTCATCCGTAGCAGTCTGTGAATCCACCACAAGGCCAGCTTCATCTGCATTTAGAATGGAGAATATTTGCAAGGAGACTACAATTACAAGAGTTAGCTAGATTACAGGTCATCGCTAAACTACGTGAGATTTTGCACATTGCCCGGTCAAGAAGGATGGAGGCAGAAGGAGGGAAGAAAAACAACACGATAAAAGGAGGGTGTCTGTGAGCTGCAAACTGAAAGAGGTGATTTGAAATACTGAATAAAGAGAGGAGGAAAAACAGAGGTATAGTGGTTACATATTCCTGTGGCTTCTCGTCATGCAAAAGGAGATTTTCATGCTAAAGAGGGTAGATTGAGGGTAGTTATCATAAATGAGGAAAGAACTGAGACCAGTGGCCTCTGATGTTTTTATCCCTCTGTTCAATGGGCAACGACAGCTGTGCAAAGGTGGGAGAGAAAACAATCGTCGGAGATCAGTCTGAGGTGGACCAATCAGCAGTGGGAGATATGAGCGTGTTCCTCGTGTTTCTGTTTGTTACGTGGTGGAAGGGAGACAGAAGAGGTTGTGAACCGCTCAGAGTAAAACCACGGCAGTGGGTGTGGTTAACCTCTGGCTGGGTCACTCCATCAGCTCATTGTAAAGCTCCCTTACTTACTGATGAGTGCCTCCACAAGCGGGATTAAGCATAAAACTTTCTTTACCAATGGATTTCCACCGAAAATCAGGAGTTCACTCTAAATGCAAGTTTGCCTTGCCAGCCATTCAGTTTCTCATGCTTGTTTGGCAGATTACAATGCATACAGTCAGAGCGAGTGACTGGGGGAGACATGTTATTACTCTGCTTAATTCAAGGATGGAAATGTCATTTGAAAAAGTGCATTTATGATTTGGATTTACGATAAACCACTAATGACCTATCTTTACTTTGTGGCCTTTTACATGACTGTAACACCTCTTTCAGCATCTGCCAGGAAACCCGCGTGCTATTTGTGGTCATACAGCATTAGTTTTACTGCTGTTTGTCAGTCGTCAGCGGCACATGTTTCCAGAATTCGTCAAATCGAGTAGCAGAAATGTATTTACAGAAAATGCTCGGTGTGTAACTGCCTAAAAGTGTGAAAAAAAGTGCAGGAAAGGCCACAGTGGAATACTTGGGTACTGATGGGCTCCAGTTGATCCAAAATATTGATGCAATCCCTGCTATTTTCAGTGCTGGCACACCACAAACCTACAGTTTATTCTGCTTTTCACCACCCTGTTTATCCAACCAGCTCAGATTGAACCGCAACCCACCCCCTCACCTCTCCTCCTCCTCCCGTTCTCCTTCTCCCACCACTTCTCCTCCTCTTCTTCCTCTTTCAAATTTTGCATTCCCACTTGATGCATGTGTAATGACTTGGCTGAGCTCAGACAGACAGTATAGCCCTGACTGTTTACAGGAACGGAGGCACAGGCTTGAATGTCACACTGACAGGAATAACCCATGTGACAAACAACAGTGGATGTATATGCACTTTCTCTCATGTCATGCAAAGACAAACACACACACACAAGGAATCAATCTGAATAAACCCAAATTACACTCTTTGTGAGCTTTAGAATCACGTCAGTTAAACAAATCGAGCAAGATATACAATTTTTGGAGTGGAATCAGATGGAATCTTAGTGGTTTGAGTGCTGGAAGAGGGCAGATGTTTGATGAGAGACAGGCTGAAAGATAAAGTGTAGACATTTCCTATTGCTGAAAAAGAATAAAGATTGAAGCAGATTATTCAAAGTGAGATGAATTTATAAGTCAGTATTCTGCCATTCTGGCAGCCTGCTGGCAGTTAGCCTGGGAAAGACAACAAGCATTTATAGACACCGCCGCTGGGAGCTGCAAAGCCTACCACAGACACTGTCCTTTAACCTATCACTGAGAAACAGACTGCCTTCATATTAGCCTTCAGGCTACTCCTCACACTTCCTTGAATTGACAAAATATTACAGAGGCAAGTCATGACAGGCAACCAATTTGGCATGAGTGTGACACAGTTGCAGGCAAACAGACAGACACAAAAGCATACATGTACGCTCACATATGTAGGCAGGCTTTGACAGAAGCACACAGTGCACATGGGCAAACATAAAAGCAAACAAGTCTGACAAAACCAAACCTATGCCAATAGGCTGGATCCATGCTCATTTGTACAACAGGGAAGAATCATCTCATGCTTTTAGTTGAAATGATAACAATTGCTAAACGAATTCTTCCAAGTTTAGCTGGATGGCTTCTTTCTATTAGCTGCACAACAGTATTAATCATACAGAGGTCAAAATTTAATTCTGGTGTGATGTTTACTGCCACTTCATCGGCAGTCAATGTTTTTCAGTCCTGATTTTACATTTTTCTGAAAGACAGGACCAGACCAAGTGCTCAAAACAGAGAGAAAATTTTCTTAAGAGAGTTTATTTTTCACAATCTAAAGTCTCACCTTCTTTGCTGGGCTCTCTTGTGGTCGCTCTTTCTTGTTTTGATCCTGAAAAGCAAGACACTTGAATTATTCTTTTTTTTTTCAAAGTAAAGTTTTTCTAGTTTTGACAAAAAACAACAAGACATTTGTCCACGCTGCGGGACTTGAACAAAGGCGTTGGCCACCATAAAGATAGTCTAGCTCTTTACTCTAAATGATTAGTAATTTACAGTATTTGCAATGACGCCGCAAATGTTGCTGCAGCTACCGCTACCGCTACTCCTGAAGGCCTTTTTCTATTCGGCCATTAGGACTGCAGCGGCCCCTCGGGCAGCTACAAAGAAAAACGCGGGGTAGGACATGATTGTTTGATTGAATGGTAAACGCTGTCGTCCAAGAACACTTACATTCCTTACAGTTAAACTTTGCTCAACTCTGCGACATGGATTTTCTACTGGGCTTGTTTACACCGCAGCCCCATGCCTTGAGCAATGCTCAGTCCTCGGGCTGCCCTCAAACCCTGCAGCCGCAGGTCCAGTCACAGACCACTTTCCCAGAGGAGTTAAGATTGCATTCCCTCCCCCAGGCCATGCTTTGATGTAATGAATTTGATTTATCGTCATGGCTATACAATCATTGAACCCCAATGTCACACATATCAACTTTATTGCAAAAATACGTAAGGCAGTGAACTGTACAATCTACTTAAAAGTCTCATTGTTAGGTTCAGAGTTTGCAAACCTTGACATCGTGGTTTTTTATTGGCCACCGCGGAGCCGCTGATGGGTCGCCCGTTGGGGGTGACACACCAGCAGTAGCCAGTGTAACTGTGGCACTGAACCTGCAATTGAGACGGCACACAAATGCAAAGTTGGCCAAAGTCAAAGCAGGAATGGTGAGAAAGGAAAATCGATGCAACTCAAAGGAAAGAAAGCTCAAAGGAAGTGGGATGAGGGGCTAAAAAGAGTCAATTCCTGCGAAATGCTGAAGAATGATTTTGTAGCTGTGGCTTTGTTGGTTAAATGCCATTTTCTTTCATTCAAACAAACATTATTTATGTCGTGTTTTATATTACCTCGCTGTATGTGCCGTCGGGGTTGCACACAGGCACAAAAACCTGTGGGAAGAGCCTCTTGGCTTGTTGCTCTGTGTATTTCTTCTCTGCTACACATCTGGATGTATCTGAGGAGGACCACAAATCACCAAAATCACCAGACATCAAACAGACCCACGATTCAACTCTCAACTAAGCTATTTTTTTGCTCCGCAACTATGAAACCAACATACTTAAATAAAGTCAGAGGAAGACGTTGAGTGTCGCAGATGATGAAAAACCAGAAAAATGAAGATAGGGTAGGAGCAAAGACCGGGGGAAGCAACTCGAGACGTTTCGGAAGCTGCAAATACTTGTGTGGCTGGGAATAGAACCAACAACACCAGTCTTATTAAAAGTAAGCCCAGAAAGCCTGCGCAGAGCCTGGTGTTAAAGCCATTACTGACTGAGGCAGCTTGCTCTGCTCCTGTAGAATATTCCAGTCACCCAAGAAAAGAGCTGATGCACAGGGAAAACCTGACCCATCCTTAATGTCTGTCTCACTCTCCTCCTAAACCTCGACCATCTGCTAAGTTCAGCCCGAGCTTCCCTGTCAAAGTATTTTTGAAGATAAATGCGGGTCAGCAGCTTTTCCCCCACGTGCACCGAGAGTCTTCACGTCTCCCAGTCAGAGCCGTGCCCCTCCCTGCCATTCCAAATGTGCCTCAGCTCACCTGCGAACAGAACCAGCTGTGCAAACGTCGGGCGAGGAATGATTTGAAGGTAATTTGTCGTGACACAATAGCTACCACACAGCACTGCTCTGGCTGGTAGATTCAAATTACATTAAAGCCATGACTCACGCTAAGCTAAAAAACGTCCAGCACTTTGGTCAGCAGGCTGCATGTCGCTGGCATACAGTGCGGCGTCCGTTAGACGCGGGCAGTGGAATGGGCACTGGTTTCTTTCACTCTGGAGGGTGGATGTGTGTGCGTGTCACTGACATTGGTGAGGAGATGTTCCGGATGGAGGAAACACAGCGAGCTGAGGAGCTCTAAAGTTAGCTGCAGTGGAAAAACCCCAAACCATCGTCCTTCTCTAGGGGGCTCCTACCAAAGTGCTGTCTGGAAAAAATGATAGGACACTTGAATCATCTGAGCCCGGTGATAGAAAACAAATGTGGTGCCACTCTCAACGTGCTTAAACACAATCCCATCCTTGTGCTTTTTGGGCCGGAGGAGCCCTCTGGTTTGTTTCTGCAGCTCATTTTCTCTCCCTTTATCCACGAGCAGGGGGTGATGCTGCTGATGTTATTGATGCATACAAGATGACTTTCACAGACTCTCGTCCCTTTCAGCTTCCTGGCTGGATCCCTCTATTCGCTGTCCGCCACATCCAGATGTCCACTAAGAGACATTCCCATGGAAACGCAGCACGGGTGCAGAATCTTGCAACGCTTTTCCATCACGAGTCATCTTTTAAAGCAAAACTCTTTTGCTCACATTCCCTGCATTAGTGGTCTGATGCTGTAATGTGGTAAGAAAGAGCCATTGTCTCCAGGCTGTAGAGCGATGAACTGGCAGTATAGAGCTGGTGAGTGGTGTGGGGGCTGGAGCGGTCGGGACCCAAGCATCGGGGTGCATGGGTTCCTCCTTCCAACAAGGACTACAACAATGAAGGAGTCTGTGAGCTGCCTGACCTCTCGGGCTTTCCTTCTTTTGCTTTTCATCCTCAGTGGTCTGTTTGTCGTACATGTAAAGCTTTACATCTTGTATGGTGAAAGTGAGACCATTAATACTTGTCAGGAAATTGCATTTGAAGTTTCGGACCGGGGCCTGATGATTTCACATTAGAGAACGGAAGGCATTTCAAATCTGTGACAAAGCTGATGAATCGCAATTCACACACACAAAAAAGCACACTTCATTTTCAGAAGTGTATGGTGCCTTCGGCATAACACAAAGGGGTGTAAAATGGCGGAGCCATGGGGACAGCGGTCAACTCCTCCCTCACCCGTTTTAACGCTGTCAACCCCACTTGTCCTCCCTGCACTCAAAGGTTCAATTATGCTGAAATGAATTTAACCCACAAGTTTTCTAATCTGACCCCCTTGGCGCTTTTGAGACCGTCAGGCAGCGCTGAAGCGTGACTCATGACCTGACCTTTGCATGGCCCTCGGATGACCTCCAGCTGGGGGTCGCGGCACTTGGCTCGGTTGAACTCGCAACGAGATGTGAAGGTCCTGCCATCCGAGGCGCAGAGGGGCTTGCGAGGAGCTCCGCTGCATTCCATGTTGCACTCCTTATCCTGATCCACCCGCAGGAACTGCACAAGTGAGAAAGTAGGAGATAAGCAGAGAAAACATTTGCTAAATGAGACATTTCTGGGAATCAGGGAACTCTGCACCCAAAACTGTTCGAACCTCCACAACTACAGGTGGTACCTGGGGGGGGGGATGCGGACTCTAGAAAAGTAGCCGGCTGGACAGAATGTCCATTGGAAAAATCCCCGCAAATTGTTTTCCATTTCACAACTTGATGTCAGACGTTGAAGATTGGGTGCAAATTTGATTCATGAGAAAACGAGCAGGAACAGATGAGCCAGCACACGGCACAGAGACAGAAACAAAGGGCCAGTGTCAGCACAAGGCAGGCTGCCGCTCGGCTTTGTCTGACGGGCCTGGAGAAGACTTGACTGACACATCCGCTGGTCTTTGTGTGTGCCAGCACCTGCACAGGTATTCACCTGGGCTCGCTCCTAAAGACGTTTTTACTCAGTCGTGAAAAGAGAAATGAGGACAGAGACCTCTGGCTGAACGCATCGGATCACCTGTGTCAATGCCACCATTGTATCTGCCCCCGTGGCATGAAACCCCCTCGCCAGCCCACACAATGGGCCGGCGGCGGTGGTAAGGGGGTCGACAACAAGCTGTGACTGCCACAATGAATGAAAAGACTGCATGAGCGGTTGAATAAACTAGATGTCAATGAGCTTTGAATGGCTACAGTGTGAGCATTTTCACGGAGTCCGTGTGATTCACTGGCTTTGCCGGGATAATGAACGGCGCAGAGTGGAAACAAAAACAAACTCCACACTCGTGTCAATGCAGGTGCTGTTTTTTCAAAGTGAGCTATATTCAAAGATAAATACCTCTTTGTCAATTCTCTTATTAGGGAAATATTTGCACAAATCAAACGCAGACGTGTGTTTTTCAGCGAATGCACGCATGTGATAAATCTGTCATTGACAGCCATTCACAGCAGTCCGACTGTTTTTCATTCCCTCTCTTATTCTTATCAATTTGTGAAGCTGTTCGAGAGTGATCAATAGAAACAACAAAGAAACCACACAACAAACTGCAGAGAGAGATAAAAAAAAAGAAGGGCGTTCTCTGAATAGGGAAGGTTGATTGCAAATTTGAAAAAAAAAAATGTAAAAGAATTAGTTGCATTTGACATCTTACAAATGAAGTGAGAGATGAGGCTTGGCGGCAAGCCCCCCTCTCCTTCCGTTAGGACAAGCACGGCTGCAGGGCTGCATGCACCTGGGAGAGGGTTGGCAGGGGAGGGTGAGTCGCCCTGGGCCAGCGGAGGGAGGGGTATTGGGTTTGGGGGTAGCAGGGATGTATACGGCCCACTCTGTCAGCCTCGCTCATAAATCTTCCCGTGTGGGGGATCTGAGCAGGGAGGCCCGTTCAAACACATCGGAAGAGAAACCACAAATTTTTTTTTGGGTTGGGGGGGGGGCATTGATCCTCTGGCCAGAAGTGTTCCAAATATGACTTCATTTTTTTTAAATCCATGTTTATAGGCTTTTATGATGTCTTTGTTTTTCACCCAACACAATACAAATCAGAGTCCCCTCACACTGCAAGGCTGCTCTGATGCATGGCTCATGTTCTACCATTTACCAAAAGAAAAGAAAAAAGAAGTCATATTTCTCTTCCTACCCCAGGCTAGGGATAAAGGTGAGTGCTAACACTGCAAAGGCAACATTGAAGAATCCATTAATTTTTTTTAAACTTAAAACTTTTTACTTTAGCTGGTAAAACAATTCACCGTGAAAAATCCACACAGCCAGGCCCGTTAATTAGGATAACCCATCAGGTTTAATGCAAAGTTAGCCGTTTTCAACAGATTCTTCATCCGTGAAGAAGAGGTCATCTATAAATTCCACTTGAGTTGACGGGATGATTTCCCTCCCACCATCTTAACACTTGACCCCAAAAGAAATTGCTGTGACACTTTCATATGAATTGCTGAAATTTGGGCCTCGACGATTGTCATATTTTCATAGCACAATTATCGAGGCGAATTCACGATAACCCAACGTTAAGCCGTTAAGCCAAATCCCAAAACTGTCATGATTGTGCGTTTTTCCGTCTTTAACAGCAACATATCTGTATGCCTTCATCTCGGCACCAACCGGTGGTCCAACATTCGACATCACTGGTTAGTTTCTTGGTTGTAACGCTAGCCCCCGTCCCTCTCCTCCTAGCCTCACGCATCAGTGAGGACACCCCCTTTGCACTCTTCGCTCTGTCTCTCACACCTCCCACCCCTTCACATGAGAATGATATTTTTTAGCAATGATTGCAACCTTCCAAAGTCAGTCAACCAGACTGATGCTGTCTGTGTGTGCTCAGTCATGCCTGGTGGGGACCGGCCAGCAATCGGCCCTGCCAACGCTGGTCACCCCGACCCACGCAGGACTCCAGCATTATCAGCATCGGCCCCCGCCGGCCAGCAGACTGACAACCCAAACAGAGTCATTGAAGAGCCCAGCATTCTGCTAAATGTTCACTATAAAGCAAACAGCAGTGTGTCAAGTTCACCAAACAGTTTCAAGATCGCAGCACGGAAAAACACTGCCATGCATGAAATCAGCCACCCATGAAATCAGCCACCCAGATTCCCTATCGGACATCCAAGCATTTCTTTCAAAAGTCACAGTTGGCCACACTGAAGGGGGACAACAAATAAGATGTGAAAGCCAATGAGAGGAAGAAGGTTTGGAGACCAGTGGTGTGTTGAGGAGCTCTTCCTCTCCTTCCTCTACCCCGAGATCCCTGCGAGTTTGGCCACGCGGTGATGGATTGGCGAGGCTGAGACAGAGCCCTGACGCTCTCCTGATGTCTCATTCAGGCCTCCCCAAGTCAGCACATCATCCTGCACAGTCACATGCCAAAGACTGATGGATGGCCTCCACCTCGGCGAAACGCAGCGAAGGCTTCCACCCTAATTCATCATAAAAGGAAACTCATGCAAGACAGAACACATATTGTGACTCAAGTCCATTTATGGCTCAAATCCCTTTCCAGTCTACCTCCAGACAGCTGGCTCTCACTTTCTTCGTTTGGCTCTTTATTTTGCTCTCTTTCCTATTCAGTGTTTTTTTTTTTTTAGGTTTCTTTGTCTGATCTCTCTTGGAAGATGCTTTCTGCATCTGCTCAAAGAACACAAGAGATTGGCAAAGGAACAAGAGATGGGCGAGAGACAGCGAGACACGTAGTGAGAGGGGACATTTTTTTTCCAAACCAACCGGCACACAAATCAAATCCTATTACCTCCTGCTGGCTCTGCAGTATTGTGGGAGTGAATACAGAATGGAGGAGGCGAGCCTCCAGCAGAGAGCTTATTGTAGGCTGATAGGGGCCTTGTGGGCTGGGAGGCCTCTGCTTCCAGCACCCGGAGAGGCCCCTCACACCACAGCCCTGCAGGGTCAATGGGGGCCCTGGCTGAGAGCTGTGGCAAATGTGTTAAATGGCCTTGCCGAGATTTCCTGCATAGATGTAAGGATCATTAGTTTCCAACATAGTGGAAAGGGAGAAAAGTGTCAGCCTTTAACTAGCCTTCTAACTCAATTAAAGAAAAAAAAGCTTTTAATTGGTGTGAATGACATTAAAAAGAAAGGTTTTGTCAGGGGAGGACAATGCTAAAGTGATCATGAGAAATGGGACATTTGGGCAGGTGCACACACACAGGAACCTCTGATCCCATGCATCACACTAAATGGCTATCTGCAAAATGTGAAAAAAAGTCAGAGGTAATGTTCTGTGTGCGATCTTCCTTTCACACATCATTTCGTAGACCCATTTACTGTGGAAAAACTCTGCCTCATGAATTACCCGGGCAAATATCCCATATTTTTAACTGCCTATTCAACCTCAAATATGTCCAAAAATGTCACACGCAGACATTTACTTGAAACCGGCAAGAACCTCTCCTGTGTCACTCAAACAATGAGCCATTAATCACTCTGAGAGTTGTGCGAAATCAAGTCCAGTGCTCCATGTGCTTTTCCAATAAAGCAGCTCTAATGAACCACACTGGAGAAGTATCACACAGACACTATGTGCAATGAAATGACATTTCTGGTGTTTGCTGTTATAGCAGGAACACAGAAAAACCCAGCATAAATACAGGTGGGCCTGCAACTTTTCGACCAGCCGCCAGTGGAAAAAACCCACATGCATCCACCTTATCTGCAGATTCAGTGTGTGAGTAAATGTGTGTATCAATGCAAAGGATTGTTGGCGCAGCGAAACAATTCCCCCTGCATTCCACAACTGCACAGCACTTTCAGGGAGAAAGGATACCCAACCTTTCACCCACAGGTTAACTATTGCTGGACATTTGTTTTCAATTGGATACTGAGCCATCTTAACCCAAACCATAAATAATGTGACCGGGGAGGTGGCTGTCACGTCAGCCTGTAAATCAGAGGGGAAAGCATCTGACAGAGCACATTCCGCACTCTATTAATCGTTCTTTGGCTCTGTACCTGAACTTGATTGTGGCCGTGAAATTTTTCTCAATATTATGCACCTTCTCTCGCAATGCGCTGAAAGGGTTGGTGCCATGTGTTGAGAAGCAGCACATCACCGGCAGCTCAGAAAAGTCACAAGAACAACTAAAGACAAAAGGACAGAGCTGGCAGGCAGGTACGAGAGAAACGCACAAACAGAACTTCTTCTCAGCTTCCCAAAAGCACAGCAACCGCTCCGCGGATCGAAACATAAAAGACCTCAAAAACAGAGACATGGAGTTTGTATGACTCAAAAAAAGAAAAAGAAAAGTCGCGGTAATGAGTTTTTACAAAGTCTTTACATATCTAAATGCTTTCTAATGTTGTAAAATTGGCCAAATGTGTAAGGTTCGAGCAACGAACACTTTTTGCTTTGGAATATGATTTTCCAAGCACAACCTAAAAAACGTGGTAGCTTTAAATATACAATACGAGTCAAAAGTTTGGACTCAATTAGCCATTCAAAATGTATGAAAAAAAAAATCAAAAGCGTTCACTTTTACTATGTTTTAAATCTATAAATACAATCCCACGTTTTGATCGAAAAGATTCGCCCACAAAAAGTCAATTCTGTCGTTACTTCACGTATTCAGCGGAGTGCTCTACATGCGTAACGTACAATACCCCAAAACCATGCTTTAAAAATAAAGGTAAATATGCTGTGACTTCTTTGTACCGTGATTGCGGAGAACTTCTGAGCGTGGCCAGCGCACAGCAGACAGATGAAGACCAGCAGCGGGCAGACGCGCATCCTGACGCAGTGGCAATAAACTCTCCAAATTACGCACGGTCCAAAATTCACTTTGCTGCGTGGAGTTCACCTTAGCCCCAAAAATGTCCTTGGGGAAAGTCGAAAATCGTTCAAATTCCGATCTATTCCTTGTGAAAATGTATGTGTTGGTGAGAGAGGGCTGCTGGTTTATTTCACTTCGTTTCCTTGGTTTCGTCTGCCAAATCGTGTGTGTAGACACTCTCCTTTTTTCTGGCTGTGCGATAACCCCCCCGTGTCCCTGACCTTTTTTCCCTCCCACGGTGTCTCTTTTCTCTTTCTTCCTCTCTCAAATTCAACGTTTTGTCCCCACACCCCTTTCTTCCACACTTGATTTTGTGGACTAGATCCCTTATCGGATGCAGGCAGTTCACCAGCCGGTGGGGAGGCAGGTAACAAGGTGTAGGTGGAGTGGGACTCCTTCTGCTGCTGGTAGCTCAGGCAAACACGTCACGTATTTTTCTAATTCCCTCACCTCCTTGAACACCACAACACGAATAACTCATTCATTTTCTTCACTCACAACTTTACGCTGATGTTCGTTCTGCAGAATGGATGGAGGACAAGAAGAACATGAAACGCGTTCAAATACTGATGTTCCACCTCAAAACTTCTCACACTCTCACAACAATATGCAAGTCAGATAAGTCATCTCCCAAACCTACAAAAATGACCACAAGTTGACTCTATTAGTTAAACCTGTTACTACACACCTTAGAGGTTGCATTCTTTATTAATTAATCTGTTCCCATTTGGCCCTTTAATGGTTAAATCAGTTACACCCCTTATGAAAATCAGCACACTTATGAATGAAGAAGCAGAAAGAGATTTGAAGGGGCATTTATCAGTCGAGCGTTTTGTCTTGGTGCCTGTTTTATTGGTCCATCATAAGTTTTCGAAGTCAGTCGCACTCAGTAACAGTGACCGTACAACGTTGGCGCCACACCGTGGCGCTTACTTGTTGTAAGTTCTCGCTTCTCCAATTGAATTCAGTTTTATTGATGTGGAGCCAAATTACAGCGATTGCAATCTAGTTAAGGGACTAACACATTGCACAAAAACGCCAATCCAATGACCCACCCTAAGCAAATGTGGAAACAGTTTCCTCTTTTTAAGAAGCAGAAACGGATCGTTAATTGAGATTCTAGATTTTGTCTCTTTAGAAATTGGCATTGTCCCAGTCTATGTATTTTTATTTCATTGACAGAAACAAACATGTCTGAATGACAATAAAATCCTGAATAAACTGTTATTTCTGCACACCTACATTTGGCCCATGAAAATAAACCTCAAATCATTATTCCGACAAACAAAGCTGAGAAACTCAATTTCCCAGAAGGCCTCAGCTGTTCTTTTGCGCTTGACGTCAGAACTTGTTCCTTCCGCTCTCTCTCGCCTCCTCAACGCCAGCTGCGTGGCTTTAGCGGTGTTAGCATTTTGGAATCGCGTGTAGCTTTTTACTATAGTAGACTGCACATTTAGTCTAAAAGATATAAGCATGTCGTACCACGAAGAAGAAGAGGCCACTGCAACTGTATGTATTTTTCTTCAGGCTCAGAAATTGGCGGTTGTAATAATTCTGAGACTCAAATGAGCGTTAATCGGTTAGCTGCATAGCTAAGCTAGTTCCACCCCGGCTAGCACAACACTAGCTTGTGATGAAGTAGCATCGTGCTTATAATGGTTGTATTCACTTCATTGCCTAGTGTATTGTAATCGTATCACAAATGGTGAGCAATTTACAGCTAATTTTAGTGATAGAGGCAGTAAGCACATACAAAGTTAGCTTACTCTAAGGATCGCTGTCTGGGTGCCTGTTGACACTTTGGATTAGTAACATTTGTCAAACCACTATGTCTCAGCAGTATGATCCGTACGCCTTCTCAAATGACTATGATCTGCACACCGGTTAGTATGCACAACTTTCTCAATCATTTCCTCTGGCTTGTAAACCAAATAAAATATATTGATAATAGTATAGCATTATGTATCCAAACGATTAAAGCAAAGTGCGTTAGTATCTTCCCATTCCCATCGTCTCCTCACAGGTGACCCTAAAGCAGACCTTGCCTACGAGAGGCAGTACGAGCAGCAGACTTACCACGTCATCCCAGAGGTTATCAAGAACTTCCTGCAGTATTTCCACAAAACTATCTCTGACTTGATTGACCAGAAAGTCTATGAGCTGCAGTCAAACCGTGTGTCCAGTGAGAGCATTGAGCAGAAGATCTACGAGATCCAGGACGTTTATGAGAACAGGTAAGCTCAATGCTGTGTTGATAATGATGTGTCAGCATAATGACGTGTCAGCAGGATAACCGTCTCTCCAATCTGCTTTTTCTCCTGGTCAGCTGGAACAAGTTGACCGAGCGTTTCTTTAAGACGTCCCCCTGGCCAGAGGCTGAGGGCATCGCATCACTTGTTGGCAACGGTAAGAGAATCATTCATCATGTATTTGGTTATGGTTACTGCAGCATGAATGCTGTCATAGGTTACTGTTACTGTTGACAAAGTGAGAGATTTAATATTTAAATGTTCTGTAATGTTTCTGTTGTCACAGATGCTGTGTTCCTCATCCTTTATAAGGAACTGTATTACAGACACATCTATGCCAAAGTCAGCGTGAGTAGCTGCACAACATGAGCATCTTTTGGTCTGTTTCTGGCCGCAGTGTGAATGTGTCAGAACATCCCCAGTGTTTTGTTGTAAGTGACGTTTTCTGTCTAACCAGGGTGGCCCAACTTTGGACCAGAGGTTTGAGTCATACTACAATTACTGCAACCTCTTCAACTACATTCTGAGTAGGTGCTTCCTTTTTTCCCCCATTTCCAATAATTTGTGGTTGTCAGTGTGAAATCACTGGCCAGAGATGATTCTTATGAAAATGTTTTACTGGAAACAGATGCTGATGGACCTGCCCCTTTGGAGCTGCCAAACCAGTGGCTCTGGGACATCATTGATGAGTTTATTTACCAGGTACAAATACCTATACCCCTTTACTTGTGACTGAAACATTTCTTTAGGTTGTCCCTGTTGCTAATCCCCCTTATATCATCCCCTTCATTAATAGTTCCACAGTTAAATTTAGTTCAAATGAGAGGTGTTAATGTTGATGGAGAATCGGCTCTTTTCCCTCTTCAGTTCCAGTCTTTCAGTCAGTACCGCTGTAAGACGGCCAAAAAGTCGGATGAGGAAATCGAGTTCCTGAGGAACAACCCGAAGATCTGGAACGTCCACAGTGTCCTCAACGTCCTCCACTCCCTGGTCGACAAGAGTAACATCAATGGTCAGCTTGAGGTTTACACCAGTGGAGGTATGTTAGATGGGGAAGAAAGCGTGTAGATCCCAGTGAATATTTCCACTTCATTTCTTGCACATTTGCAGTTATAAGAATCTTTCTATGTAGACTGGACTAAGTAAACAAGGACGTCAACTTGTCTTCTGTTTGCAAACACAGGAGACCCCGAAAGCGTGGCTGGGGAGTATGGGCGCCACTCCCTGTACAAGATGTTGGGCTACTTCAGCTTGGTCGGACTTCTGAGGCTTCACTCACTCCTGGGGGATTATTACCAGGCCATTAAAGTCCTGGAGAATATTGAACTCAACAAGAAGGTACGGCCTCAATCACTGCTAAAGGGTTTGCCACACAATGTCTGGTATATGTATGTGTGTAACCTTTTCTTTGTATGTAATTAACTCCCCCCACCCTTTTCTTTCAGAGTATGTACTCTCGTGTGCCCGAGTGCCAAATCACCACCTATTACTATGTGGGCTTTGCCTACCTAATGATGCGACGCTACCAGGATGCAATCAGGGTTTTTGCCAACATCCTCCTGTACATCCAGAGGACAAGAAACATGTTCCAGAGGTCCACATATAAATACGAGATGGTCAGTAAGAGCTCATTCAAAGGCACTTTGTCCCGTTGGATTCGCACAAACGTCTCTTTGACGGTCAGAAGAAAAAAAAAGGATGACGTACCACATGCTGTGTTTTTTAGATCAACAAACAAAACGAGCAGATGCATGGCCTGCTGGCAATTGCCCTCACCATGTACCCCATGCGCATCGATGAGAGCATCCACACCCAGCTGAGGGAGAAGTATGGAGACAAGATGCTCCGCATGCAGAAGGGGTAAGAGACGAACCCACAGCGTTTGCTGTTTTCTTTTTCTTATTGCTTTTTTATCAACGTGCTACTTTGAGCATTGCATTTGGAGGATGACATGGTTTTTAAATGCGCTGTGTCAAATGAGCACAAAAACCCTAAATGAGACTAATGTACGCCTTTCCATCTCAGAGACCTGGCTGTGTTCGAGGAGTTGTACAGCTTTGCCTGCCCCAAGTTCCTGTCCCCTGTGGTACCAAACTACGACAATGTCCACCCGAACTACCACAAAGAGCCCTTCCAGCAGCAGCTGAAGGTCTTCGCCGAGGAGGTGCAGCAGCAGGCTCAGCTCTCCACCATTCGGAGGTACAACACGCCAGCGCTATATGCAGTGTGTCCCTTTTAGTTTTAGAAAGGATTAAAAAAAACATTTTTTTTGTACTATTCACCCAGTTGTTTAAAAGTTTGTGCAAGTGTTTGGTTAATGTGTGCCCGTGTCATGTATGTCTCCCTGTGGTGTCTTCATAGCTTCCTGAAACTCTACACCACCATGCCAGTAGCCAAACTGGCAGGATTCCTGGACATGACGGAGCAGGAGTTCCGTATTCAGCTTCTGGTCTTCAAGCACAAGATGAAAAACCTGGTGTGGACCAGCGGCATCTCGGCGCTGGAGGGAGAGTTCCAGTCCGCCTCCGAGGTCGACTTCTACATCGACAAGGTCCGTCTCCATGCCTGCTAAATGTGTGTTTTATGGGCTGGCGTGGCCCACTCGCACCCGCCATTTTAAGAAGCTGTGTTTTTTTCCCCCCCTTACGCTTCCACAGGACATGATCCACATTGCCGACACTAAAGTCGCCCGTCGGTACGGAGACTTTTTCATCAGACAGATCCACAAGTTTGAAGAGGTAGGTTTTTTTTTAATCTGTGGATACTTAACCGTTGCCGTCATTGTGTGATTTGTTGTGACTACAGCATGATGTTCATGTCTCAACACAGTTAAACAGGACGCTGAAGAAGATGCCAGTCACTGCAACGACGGGGACAGCAGGGAGCGCCACCAGCCGATGAGTCTGACCTGACTCTTCCTTGATCTTTTTTTTTTTGACAGATAATAATTGATGGAAACTTTTGTAAGTAACCTGGCAACAATTAAAGGATGGATTGGCATGTGAGAACTAATCAGTTATTTTGTTCCCTTGCGAAGCATTTACATCCATCAAACACCAGGTGGCGTAGCGCACCAGCTGTGAAGCAGCCTAGCTGCATATTTCTAAAAAAGTTAATGAAAATGGCTTTTTTCCCCCTTTTATTTAAACTGCAGCGCATCAGAATTGATTAGGATATATAAATATATCGCTATATAATATAAAATGTCTTCAACTGCCAGTATAATAAGTGTTGTTTCAGGTGGGGTCCGTCAGCCTTTATTCAGTTGAAATCGTCACGGGAGTTCAAAGCCACAGTCAATAAGGTTTTCGGCTCATTGTGCTGCATCCCCATCACGTTTCTTCTGCTGAAAATACTGCTGTGACAGAGGTCCAAAGTTATTGCATATTTCTTTTATTATCACAGATCATCCCACAACATTTCCCAACACAAATCTCAGGGCTGGTGACAATGACTCGAATAAATAAAAACTTACAAAATGGGAATATAAAAGTAATTTCTCAAAACACACCACTCATCAGGAACATCATCACTGGTCATATAAAGGAAAACAAACTGACATGTCACCATAGAACAAGACACTCTTTACTCCAAACATCCAAAATGGTTTCCTACCTATTTTGGTAAGCCAGCTTTGTTTTTCTTTTTTCTTCAAAAATATTTAGTGCCGTCTTTTTTTTTTTCCATAGAAAATAAAAAAATAAAGCAAAAGTGCTCATTTTGAGCATGACTTTTACTCCCCCCACATGGCAGTGTAAAGTCTGTGGGCAAAAAGCCATCTTTACGTCTATCAAAACCAGAATATTTTTTTCTTCTCCATTTTAAAGTCTTTCTTTAATAGCAATTTATATCACACTTGTTACTAATTTTTTTCTTTCTCTGGCAAAGACAACATCCTTCATGAACCACCGTCAGCCATTGCTCAGTCTCTGGAAAAGTTCTCCTTATTAGACTGACGCAGCCATGCTGAAGATGGAGGGCTGGCCTGAAGGTTCGCTGCTGCCCATCCAGACTGGACTGTTTTCTTCTTTCAACAATTAGAGCACTTTCACCAAACTACTATTATGGCAAAACCACTCTTCACTTGTCACTATGATAATCATCACCTGATAATAATGGAAGTTTCCATGTTTGCAATGAACGGTCAATAATCATTTTTGAACATCAAAATGAGCATGTGAGAACATTCTTCCAAATCCCCTCAGCTTGCCAAAAGATAAAAATATCCTGACCACCGTGTCATTTTCTCTGCTCTACTGCTGACCGTCTGCTGGTCTGAGTGTGTTTTCTTTTTTCCTTAAGTATATGTGTTTGTGCGAGCGTCTGCGGTCCAGGCGTGACTTAAGAAGGGTCAGTGGGAATGAGGCACGTTTTGACGACTTAAGGTCATGGCTCAGCAGTCACTTCTGAAAAGGAAGTCCCGTCTGTGCTTTCCTCAGGACTTTGGATGAAAAAGGGGGCGATGGTTGGTTTAGTTTTGCTGGACACATGTCCGCTGAAGGTAGCCTTTCATTTTTAGGTCACTTGCGTCACCCGAGACCGCCGTCAGCTTTAAGTCCACTCAAACGGACCCAGTAGAGGGTGAGTCCCGGCTGACGGGGTTCTCTGGACTACACCCACTACCCCTCCTGTTCTCCCCAACCTCGTCGGGTTGACGGTGTGCAGGCACAAGGACGCACGCAAGTCACGTTTGTGCTCAGACCAGCGAGGCCTCGGCTAGTCATAACTCGGTGATCTCCAGGGGACTTTGGGACAGGGCGTCCCCCCCCTTGTGGCGGTGCATCGGGGTGGACTTAGCCGACTCTGTGCGGGCGTTGTGCTCCGAGTACAACCCCCCGTCGGCGTTCAGGGCCTCTAGAGAACGGGCCAGCGCCCGCTGGTCGTCCTCGGGGAGGCTGTTGAGGTCAGAGGTCAGGAGGGTGCCCGTGCTGCCGTGGACCACGTGCACACCTTCGGGACCCTTCAGCTCCACGGGGAGCTTGTGCTTGAAGCGCAAAGTGCCGCGGCCTCCACCCATGCCCAGGTGCTCGTCCTCATCCTCGTCCAGATCGCTCTGGATCAGCTTTTGAAGGTGGGCGAGAAAGGGAGAATAGATCAAACCATCTCGTCAGAAAAACCACGACTCCACTGGCAAACATGGTAAATAGTTAGGATAGGTGTGAGGAGAGAAACCTGCAGATTATGAACATGGAAAAGCATTGAGAGGACAGGTAATCATAGAATAAGATATTCATCACCAAACCTCTTTTAAATGGAAGCAAAGACTCAATCAATTTGTCTTAATGAGCATCCGAGAAAAAGTTCAGAGGTTCAAGGGTTTGACATAGAATATGTAATTAAATCAAAGTTGTAAGGACAATTTGTTGCTTTTGCATAAATTGTCTCCACTGCTGTCTGGTTGCAGTGAGGGAGAGGAAGAGGAGGCAGCCGACAGGACGTCAGAAAGAGAACGCAGAAGAAAGCAACACGGTTGTCCTGCAGCAGGCGGCCCGGTTCAGAGCCCACCTCAGTGACGGAGGAGTGGTCTCCCTGGCTGGTGGAGACTGTGACGAGTCGGGCTGCAAAGAGCGTTTTTAGCCTCAGGTAGTCGTCCAGGACCACCTTGAGCAGGGAACCCTGACAGGACGGCAGTTAGGGTCAAGCAGAGTCTACGGCACGGCTAAACTCAGACTCCAACGCTAACGGTACTCTGAAGGGAAAACTGTCGAAGCACCTGGGCCTCAGCAACCAATCATAATGTTTGTGAGATTTTTGTTTCCTGTTTTAGGATGGATGGAGAGTAAGAGCACTGGCCAATGAAATAAATGTTCTTTCTGCGTGTGCACCCCACATGGGTCTCACCTTGATTGGCCCCTCCCTCATGATCTGGCCGAGCTTAGCAATGTTGTCATACTCCTGAATGGCTGCTCTTAGGTAACGGTCATCCTCAGGCCGTGCTTGAGGCTCTCGACCAAAGGTGCCCTGTGAGGGCAATACACATAAAATGACATCATGCCCGGGCCTCCAGAAGCCCACACTTCAAGATACTGTTGGAAAACGTAAAAGTTGCACCCACATGGGTACGCGCAGGGCTGTTCCACAGGTCAGTTATCTCACTCAGGTTCTCGGGCAGGTCGTCCTCATGGTCGGCCTGAGCGGCCAGCTCAAGGTTCCGGCAGAAAGGGTCCAACCACACTGGATTAGCCCTGCAGGGGGAAAAGCATCCACATGCATCGTTGAGAAAATGGGCGAGCGATAAGACCCCCTGAAAGGTGACATTTGACAGTGACATTTGGATGTAACTGGTTAAATGTGAGGCTAAAGACAGTTGAACTTTATCTAGCATCTATAAGTCTGGGAAAAAGAACAAACTGTGCATAAAATGAATCTTCTTACGTGTAAATGTTATATCTGTATGATCTATACAAACCACTCCAAAACAAGATGTGGTTTGAACATTACTGACATTCTAACCTTACCAGTCATGACAAAAAAAAAAATAAAAATCAGACAAAACCTCAAACCAATGACTCATGTACACACTCAGGAATTAAATAGTAAAACATTCTCTCACCCCTCAAAGGAGTACTTGTTAGTGTTGGGCATGTCCAGAATGTCCATCAGACCCTGGTTTCCTGTGAAGTAGAAGGCAGGAAACTGTGTTGTAAAACAGTCTTGAAGACATCAGATAGTAAAGCCTGAACATGCCGTGCAGAGATGGGACCGTCCCGTCCGCCAGGCTGTTTCTTACCACTCGATCCTGCCACGATCGCTTTCAGCTTCCTCTGATGTCTGCAGCGTGACACATAACGAAAACATTACCACCTTGATTCGCCACGCGGGCCGACAGCCTAAAATGCTGACTCTAAATCGCTGGTTATTATAACTAATCTGCTGTAGCTCAAAGTTTCTGAAGGATTCTTACACTCTGCGATAATGCCAGTTCATTGTTACAAACAAAATTCCCGCCAAGCACAGCAGCACCGCCAGGATAATGATGACCAGCTGTGGAAGACACAAAGAGAGGAGGCTCAGAAAGCACCGGTACAGTGAGACCCCCACAAACCAGGAACCCTGCGCCCCGCAGACCTGAAGGGTGGTGATGTCGTCGGGCAGCTGGTCACCAACAGCAGGCTGGACGTCCACAACGTTGAACGTCCGGAACAGGCTCCTCAGCTGCTCCTTGTTCTCATCGATCATCTGGATTACCCTGCAAAATAATTCCCCAGGCTGGCTTCAGACAGGCCTTACTGTTTGAGCATTCACACAAAAACTCTGGACTCAGAGCATGTCAGTGTAGGAGACCTTTCCACATCCAGGATGGTGTTGGTCTGATTGTTGACGACGTGGATGAGCATGTCCGTCTGAGCATAATTCACTCTGCCCTTCTTATCCACATGGAACTAGATAAAATAAGGGTGGACCGAAAGGGTCAGACGTTTATATCACTATGAAAACTATAAAAGGAATGAAGACCGTGTTATCAGAGAGAAGCCCAACCTGTATGTCATCTAGGTTTACGATGGCTCCGGTGATGTTGGACAGGAGGTTGATGAATTCTTCCTGGTTTTCACGAACCAAGTCGGGAATCTCATTGAAGACTATCTTGACCCTCTGGTCGTCTCGGAGAATGTAGATGTTCACGTTTGCGGTGGTGCTGTGTCCGGCAAAGTCGCAAGCTAAAATCTCCAGCTGAAAGTAGCCTGGGCTGTAGGCTGTGAAGAGGTCATAGGTGCGGATGATTCCATCCGCCAAACCTGCGCAGAGGGGAAGGACAGATTAAAAACAAGTGTGAGTCAGAGGCAAAAGAGCTCAAATGAAAAATGAAAGAATACATGAAAGACAAATCTGAACCAGAAGGTGATGATGTAACTTATCTGAAGAATACAGTGTCAAACCATTTCAGAATCATGTGATATGGAAAGAATGCTTAATTAAGAGGAAAATACAGGAGATAAAGTCTGATTTGAATAGAGCACATTTTGGGACACTCACCAATGATGAAGATGCTGCCCACATCCTCACTGCCGTTGCTCTGGGACTGGTAGTAGCGGATGGTAACAATATGGTATTGGACTATGCTGTTGTTGCCAATGTCAATGTCTATGGCCACCACCTTGATTAACTCTGAACCCACTTTGGCGTTAGCCGCGACTCCTAAAAGACAGCAAAGAGGGAGCTTTGTGGTGTTCTACATACTGCTGACCGTGTTACACGCTGTCCGTGGGCAGAAACCCATTACCTGCAGTGTATTCTGCCTTAGTGAAGCGCGGGGTCTGGTCATTGATGTCTTCCAGTTCAATCTGGACTTCCAATAGGCTTGGGTCATGAGAGGGATCCAAGGCTTTGGCTCGTAATGACCTCTGACCCCTGGGCGGAGTCCAGCTCCGGTTGCTGGAAGCCTTAATTATGATGGAGTAGACCGGCGTCTCCTCCCTGTCCAGATCCTTAAGCACCTTCAGCTCACCATCTAAACTCAGGCCAAAGTTTCCATCGCTGTTTCCGCCTTCAGGAAGAGGCGGAAAAGCACTATGAAGTGTCATCATTATGTCTTATCTTCCAACTACAGCCAGCCCACACAATGGACAATAAATTAGGAAAAACTCTTCATCCTCTTTCCTTGGATAAAGGACGTTATGATGGATCGATAAAATAAACAACCTTGTTACCTGCAACGAAATAGTAAACGATGGCATTGGAGCCCTCGTCGGCGTCCACGGCTCTGGTTATGTTCCCCACCACAGTGCCCGGGGGGGAGTGCTCAGGCACCGTTAGCTTCTGATAAGGCAAGCTGCCCCGCTGAGGGGTGCACGCAAACACAAGCAGAGCAAATTCAAAAGAAAAACAATGCACGAGTAGTCGGTGAGCAGCTCCACAGTATGCATCCTTACAGCCCATTCACAGAGCTTCCAACTCACCGGCGGCTTGAGGAAGACTGGCTCATTGTCATCAATGTCCAACAGCGCCACCTGCAGGGGCTGGGTGGTCTCATAAGGCACTGGCTGACCCAGGTCCCGGGCCACAATGATAAGCTGGAAGAGGCATTTGCGCACAGTTCAACAAAGTTGTGAGGCGTGAGACGCACAACCTGCAAATGAGCAGCGCTGACTCACGCTGTGGAGGGCCTGCTTCTCTCTGTCCAGCTTCACAGACGTGGTGATGACTCCAGACGTGGCGTCGATGCGGAAGTTTTCCCAGTCTCTGTTCCCCGCTCCTGTCTGCAAGAAGGCGTAGCGGACCTCTCCGTTCACGCCCTCGTCAGAGTCTGTGGCGTGCACCTCATACACCGGCAGGCCTGGAGGCTGCTCCTGCAGGGTGAGCAAAGAATCGGTGTTCAAAATATCTAAACTAACGCACCAGCACAGCAGCTTTTGAAAGGCCAGGAAATAGATCTGGAGTATCCATTTTCAAAAGGTACAACAGATTGATATTGTTGGCCACTAATAACTACAGTTGCACCACATATATATATATATATATATATACATACTCAGAAACACATACATACATATATATATACATACTCAGAAACACATACATATATATAGTAGTGGTCAACCCTTTACCAAAAAATCCATATCATCAGTAAAAAGCAGGAAATGACACTTGCGCTAAGTGGAGGTATAAGTAGTTGTAACTAGCTGTGGTGTAACTGATTTTCTTCCGGTGGGTGATGAGTAATGTCTTTTCTGTTCTATCTAATGGAGACGTGAATTGGCACTGACACTGTAGACCTAGCAGTAAATGAATGCAGATACCTCAGAGATATGGATAATAGTTCCATTAGCTGGCCTGACGAACAGAGGCCTGTTGTCATTGACGTCGATGACTGTGATGATCAGGTCTGCAGTGCCCCACAGAGGAGGCCGTCCCTGGTCTGTAGCCACCATAGTGAAGTTAAAGCGTTCAGAGGACTGCAGCAGGCGCTGAGAACGCACCAGCCCCGTGTTCGGATCGAGGTAAAATGCATCTGAAAAGCCAAAAAGAACAGGATGTCTGAGCCTTGTTCTTTTAACCAGTTTGATTTGTCACAGAACAAAGACTGGAACAGGGTTTCCTCATACCTGAATGTGCTCCGAGGATGCTGTAGAGCATGGCAGCGTTCTCGCCTTCATCCAGGTCAACGGCGGTGACTGTGATTATGGACGTACCACTGGGCTCGTTCTCAAACACGCTGGTGTTATACACTCGCTGTGTGAAGCGGGGCCGATAGTCATTGACATCCAGGACTGTCACCAGGACCTGAAGTACCAGAATAGAGGATACATTCTGGCTACTAGGTGTTGAGTTGAGCTCATCAGACTTCTCAAGCACAACACTTTTGCTGAGAAAATGATAAATTACATTTATTGCTCTATCTACCTAGTCTGTCCTGAGGTCAAAAAGACTTGTTTTACATTTCTTAACCATTATCCATCGTAAAGCATATCTTTGGTGTACAATGAAGGATTGAAATGGTACAACATATTGGTATATATCTTATATGATGGTACAACATATTGTACCATCATGCCTTTAAAAAAGTATATATATATATAAATAAATAAATAAATATATATATAAATAAATTTTATATATATATATATATATATATATATAAATACTTCATCCTTGACTGAGTTCTGACAACACAATCATCACACAAGTGACAAAAGCAAGCCCTGACTCCTACCTGGACAGAGTTTTCTCTTCTGTTGTTGGGGCTTCCACCAGGGTTGTCTCGGGCCAGGGCCGTTAAAGTGTAATGATCCTTTGTCTCCCTGTCCAGAGGGGAGAGGATGTAGATCTCTCCCTGACAAAGAGGAGAAGGAATGATTAGGAAGGAAGTACAGACTGGGAGTGGTAACTCTATCAGGACATTAATTTGAGTCTCTGCTCATGGCAGAAATGAAACATGAGGCTAAAATATGTAGATTGTCTTAGTGAAAGTCGGATGTTTTGTTTAGACTTTAATTTCCAGGCAGGATGGCATTCAGCACTGCCCGGAGAGAAAACCCAGCAGAACAACTCTGACATGTTAACGCGTGTTTATCTTTTGTCTGAGGTCACCAGAGGGGAAATTTCAGACATTTTCTCTGGACACTGTGGTTCAAAAGGTTACCCAAAAGATTGCAATCTTTGGTTTAGCCTCAAGAATGAAATCTCAAGAAATGGAATTTTCCATTCCATCCGATTACCCGAAAATGAGGCCACCACCTTCAAGGGAAAAGACCGAGGCAGTGAAATATTCTGTCTATATCTTATATATTATTGCATGTACTATTCTCAACCCTTTAACATCTTGCTTAACTATTGGGTAGAGTGCATTTTTCACTGATTACACTCAGCCATAGGATATACTAACGGTGGGGTGCTCACCTAAACTAGATCTAAAATTAGGTTTAATTAAGTATCAGTTATGACATCTCATTCTTTTTAATTTCACACTTTAGAGTCCCCCCAACTAACTGTGACAAAATGCATTGATTTTAGTTTTTATTGCTCCAAAGAAAAGCAAAGAAATATTTTCCTGTCCTTTTTTCCCCCCAAGAGTAAACGTTAAAGAGAAAATAAATAAAAACGGTGCAGCGAGGCAGATTTGGTTGTACAGGTCTACTAACTGACTTACAGTGGACGGTTTGATGCCAAACTTGCCCTCTCCGTCAACGAGGCTGTACTCAATGACAGCAAAGAGGCCAGAATCAGCATCCGTAGCTCTGACGCGGACTATTGTGGTACCCAAGTTCACATTCTCAAACACGGGCTCCTATAAAAGTAAAACACAGAGATTAAAGAAACTGCAAAAACGGACTCAAGATTGACTCAATTCATTTAGTGACTGTTACTTTTTATGTGATCTGACACAAAAATTAAGCTTCTCATTAAATGTAATATTTGTATTAATTCCTCTATTAGTTGTCGTTATGCCAGTGTGGGAGTTGACTTGCTGAGTTTTATTTAGACTTCTATCAAATTTAGCATGAACTTATAACAATCGGAGCTGCATTAATCCTGGTTATTAGTTATACATTTGCGCTACCAGATATACTATTACTTCAAAGACTCAAGCAATAATCGTCTATTACTGAAGACACTTCATTATCTAGTATCAACGAGGCAATTCCAAAAGCCCACTACCAATTCGATCAGTACCTGATAGGAGGGTTGTAGAAACACAGGGTTGTTGTCATTGACATCCACTATGCGCAGATAAACTGGCAGCTCAGCGCTTCTTGGAGGACTGCCGTGGTCTTGAGCCCGTATGGTGAAATTCAGCCACTGTATTTGCTCAAAATCCACCGTTTGGTTGGCGACGATCTTTCCTAAAAGAATTTAATCACAAGGACCATTACAAATGGGTCTCATTTTGGAAATTACATGTTTTTAATATCTCATGGCATGGGAAGATAAAATCTTCTTTGACAAATATGTTTCTTCAGCTTAAAGCAGCAAACTGCCAATCCTACCAGTGGCAGGGTCCTCCAGCCTCACATATCCTCCTCGAGGCAGGTGCAGCAGCTGGTAGATGACCTGTCCGTTGGGACCTTTATCCGGGTCCACAGCTGACACTGACAGCAGCGTTGTGCCTGGTTGAGCCCCTTCTAAAATCTTCTCCGTGAAGTTGGTCACTCCGAAGGGCCGAAAGCGAGGCGCGTTGTCGTTCACGTCCAACACGTTGATGGTGAGTCTCGCTTTCGATGACAATTCAAAGATATTTCAGAAAAACAATCAACAACCGAGGGCATCGGCGGGGTCAAACGCACGGCTGACTCACCATTTGGAACGCTGCCGGACTGATCGATGACATCACTGGCGTTGTCATGGACCGATACAATGATCTCAAACGTAGCCACTAGCTCTCTGTTGAGCGGGTTGCGCACAAAAACGGCACCTGGAAATACACCAAAGCAATTTTTTTTTTAAACAAATGTTTTCAATGCACCAGCCGTGTGAAATTCCTGTCTCACCTGTGTGGAGATCAATGCCGAAGGAGTCCTGCAGGCCAACCACTGCATTGTTCCCGTCGTCCTTCGCCTCCACTGAGATGATGTAATACTCCAGCCGGGGGTGTAGATCAGGGTCCTCTGCGGTCAGGGTGGCGACCACCACACCTGGTGGGGTGGACTCATTGACGTTGATCATGGTCACAGGCTCTTTGAAGCGCGGCCTCGAGTCGTTGACGTCGTCCAGGATGACCGTCAGGGTGGCAGTTCCTGACAAAGGGGGCGTGCCCCGGTCGGTTGCCATCACGACGAGGCGATAGGAGCCACGCTCTTCCCTGTCAAGCGTGGAGTTGCCCACCAGGACGGCGCCGGAGAGTGGGTCGACCACGAAACGGTCCTGAGCGCCGCTTTCCAAACGATACGTCAGCCAGCCGTTGGAGCCAGAGTCGGCATCAGTGGCGGACAGCTGGGTCACCACCACACCTGGAAGGGATGAAGGCGCGCAATCATGTACATTTATGTGCTATCCAGTGGGAAAACCCCTCATCACTCTCCACGCATCAACACAAGCTGTCAAACAGTGGGGATGATGGTCAGTGTCACCCTTAAGAGGGTCAACATGAAATACATCGACCTTCCTCTGATGCCACTCACATACAAACCAATTCAAAGGTGAAATGCTCACCTGTGGGGCTGTTCTCCGGGAGCCGGACACTAAAGCTGGATGGGCTAAAGACGGGGGGGTTGTCATTCTGGTCCAGGATTGTAACTGTGAGGGGAACACTGTTGTTCAAACCACCTATGTCCTCCCCAACCAAAATCAACTCGACCCGGGGTTCTTGAAATGCTTCGCGGTCCAGCTTTGCCCCCTGACGCACCAGTATGACACCTGGGGGGAGATTCAGAGACATGAGCCGCTTTCCACTTTTCCATGATCTGCTTTTAGGTGACTTCTCGGCGGAGGATGGATGTTACCAGTCTCAGGGTGGACGGTGAAGAGGTCCACTCTTGTTCCCAGGAGGCGGTACTTCACCACAGAATTGGGCCCGATGTCTTTGTCCTCTGCCAGAACAGGTCCATTTAGAACAGTTACAGTGCTGCCTAAATTAAAAGGAGAGATCAGAGGATGAGAAACACATATTCTTTAGCAGCTCAACAAAGGAAACGCACAAAGAAAAAAAAGACCCTATTCCAAGATTAGTTGCTCTGTCTGAAATTAGGCCAAGAGAGATTGATAAATGTTTTTACTAAATCTGACAGCCTCGTAAATCACATCTGTTGAGGAATTATTACAATTCCAAATTCAGAACATTTGCTAACAATTTCCTTGGTGCAGATACATGCAGTGAATATCAATTATAGCTAAAAAAGAAACACAAACTACTCATGTGTGGTTTTCTGAATATTAGGTATCAGGATGGGAGACTTGAATAAAGTGGACAGCAATTTATTGGTTTTCCTAGCCAAGCAACTTTTTTGGGTGGATGGTTATTTATGAATGGGACTAACTAGGAATTTATAGAATGAAACAGTGATATAAGTAAGTGGATTATATCTTTGAAGCGCTGTTCGAGTTTATGCGGCTGTGTGAAGGACTGTTGACCTGTACCCCGCCTCTTACCCAATGTCAGCAGGGATAGCCTAGCCCTCCCTCCCCAGTGACCCTACCAGGAATAACCAGTATAGAGAATGGATGGATGGATGCATAAAATTGTTTTTTTATATATATATATATATTTGCTTGAATTTAGAAAAAAAATTTTTAAATAAAAGAATTATAATAAAAAAAATCTAAAGCTTGGCAGTAGCTTACAGGTATCACTTCCTCTATCTTACCTACAAAAAAACTCCTTCATATGTAAGCCTGTGATAAACAAATTCAGGAAGTGGTTGGAACAGCGCGAGTGTTTCTCCCCTGTGCTGCAAATCTAGATTCCTTCACTCAAGGGAAAGGAAGACACATTTTACGTAAACAGCATTTACCTGCTGCTGAGTTCTCAGTGATCTCTGCTCTGTAGCTGGTCCTGGTAAATATGGGCTTGTTGTCATTCTCATCCAGGATGGTGATGACCAAGAAGTCTGAGTCCTTTTGATGTGGGACAAGGGAAGAATAAAAGGGCAACCGTAAGAAAAACCCTCTCCCATAGTCAGACAAGATAAATGTTAGCCTTCCTCTGGTGTTAACCCCTTTTGTTCCTCTAGTGGTAAACCGAAAAAAACGTGTCAGTGCCAACCCCAGCACAAGAGGAAGGATAAGTTAACTGAGCATGAGCACAGGTGTGAGTGTAGCTCATGAGACCAGGCGGGCGTATCTGTCCACCTACCTGTCCATCTCCACAAATGGATTTATGAAAGAATTGTGTAACATAATCAATCAAATAAACCCCCCAAAAGACAAACCGCTGCAGAGCATGCTTCTTACATGAAGTAATGTTCAGCTATTGCATTGCTTTTCACACCTCAACAGGCTCAGCGGTTAATCTTTTTGGATCTTTTACAGAGCACAATTTCTCACCTTACCCACATTTGTATAGAAAAACACAGCGGCTGCAGGTAAATGTACTGTCATTTTCTGGGTAAAAAAAAAGTTTCAAGTAAGCATGCCAGTGAGAGATTGTATTGTTTGTTAAATGTCATTGTCTTTTACATTTCTGAGTCAATTTCTGGGTCAAAATAAAACCCAATGAATAATTTGCAATGTATATTTTTATCGAGTCTTGTCAGCTGCTTTTGATATTCTATTTAACTCTTTCATGTTTTCATAATGTCCCAATGGTGTTTTGATATATAGTTTAGTACCTCCCCTACACCAATGACTTTTTGATGAGTTAAATCCCCTTACAGATATATTAGATGGAAATAAAATATATCTACAGACTTTAAAAAGAGGTCAATGACATTAGATTTTTCTAACAGATTACCCTGCGAGCAATGCGGGGGTTCTCTGGGTTGTCCTGCACAGTGATGGTGAGCGTGTACTCAGCTGTCCGCTCTCGGTCAAGTGGTCTGTTCACCTGTACCACACCAGTCTACGAGACACAAAGCAGAGGAGGAGTGGCTGTGTAGCACATATCATTATATGCATGTAAGGCGTACAAACAAAGCTAAAATCTCAATTCAAAACATTTATCAAAGGTGTGCAAAGAAATTAAGTTATGTTATAAAATGTCCATCCAATTGATGTTATGCTATTTTTGTAATTTTACAGAGATGTGGAGAGTCTGATGTCAGTCTGCAAAAAGCTACATATGTAAACAGGCTAAAAATGTAAACTCGCCACTATTTTGTATGTATGTTGGTGCAAGAATTTAAAAATGTCAAGTTGTTAGTGTGGCTGAAAGAGCTGGGACACCAGTTTTAGGGCCAGGATTAAAAAATATCTTGATACGTGATTCAATCATGGATCTTCAGTTCAACCACTGAGTTAATGTTACTCACTGTGTCATTGATGTAGAAGGCTCCGCCGGGGTTCCCTGCTGTGATGTTATAAGTGAGCAGAGCGTTGCGTCCACTGTCCGCGTCTCGTGCTCGCACCCTGGCCACCGAGGTGTGTATGGAGGCCCCTTCACTCACACTTGTGTTGTAAGGCAGGTTGAGGATAACTGGGTCATTATCATTTATGTCCCGGACATGGACTCCGACCACCACCTGAGGGGAGCCAGAGGTCAAAACGTTTTCCCAAAACTGTTTGAAACGGAAGCCAGTTAGCATGAGCATTCTTTTACCTTACAGTTTGTCGTCACTAGAAACCTTTAACAGAAGTGCAACATGTGCCCGTATACGCATCAACATGAACCTCTACCGCATTTCAGAGCTCATCGATTCTCTGTTTCACGGCAACAGTATAGTTTGATAGTAATGCAGTTGTGAAAGTGGCATGGGGAGTACAAATGCAAGCAAAGTTAGAATACAGAAGTGAAGTTTGCAAGTTCCTGGTTTGTTCAGGAGGATATGATGAGAAAGAGAGGGCAGCTACGTAGGACGGGGCTGGATCAGTGTGGCTCACCGAGCTATTGCGGGACGGGCTGCCCAGGTCTCTGGCTGTGACCGTGATATTATAAAAGCCCGTGGTCTCCCTGTCCAGTTCCACGTCTTTCCTGACTCGAAGCTCGCCTTCCACAGGAGAAACCATGAACTCATCTGACGTGAAAACAAAGAGAGATCGCAAATGAATGCAACGTTTTTCAATTAAAATTCTCTATGGACCAAAAGGGCAAACCCATCTGAAACTAACTTTGGTGATCGCCACCAGTGATGCTGTACTCCACTTTGCCGTTCAGACCCGAATCTTCGTCACTGGCCCTTACAGTCCACACCCTGGGCCCCGGCTGGCCCTCGGTGACATCGAATGGCCCCTCGTAGGCTCTGGGGAAAGTGGGCGTCACATCATTCACATCTAAGACATTCACCAGCACCTGGAGAGAGAAGGAGAGACTCTGCGTTACAGAGGCGGGAACACAGTGCCATCAGTCCATTCTACATTTAAGAATGTGTCGTGTTTCGATCGCTGTGAAAAAAAGCATTGTTTGTTTTTACAGTTGTGCTAGATGTCAAGCGAAGAGCAGGTTGTGGACACTGGTCAGTCGCTGTAACAACCAGTGCATAATGCCCATTGCTGATCTCATAGTCCAGCTCCTTCACAGCCGTGATCCGACCCTGAAAACACACATGACACACACTCTGTGACTGTTCTTTTGCCTGCCATTATACCTCCACGCCACCCTAACAGTCAGAATCTCCCACCGTGATGCTGTTGATGTTAAAGGTCTGAATGATGTTGCCCGCGGCGATGGCATATCGCAGCGTTCCGTTCAGACCCTCGTCTGGATCGATGGCTGTAACCGTGGCGATGGTGGCTCCGACTGTCTCCGGCCCCTCGCTCAGCACCGTGACATACTCCTCCTCAGGGAATTCCGGAGCGTTATCATTCTCATCCACCACGCGAACATAGACGGTGGTTGAGGTCTTCATTAGGAAAAAAAATATGAGGAAAATATTTACAGCCAGAGCTCTAATAATGTTTCATTTGACTAAAGTCACCAACGATACGTTGTTATCATGAACCAGTAGTGGCACTGGGCCTGGAAGGGAGTCCTGGAAAGCTTTTGCCAGCTTACTTATTGACCATATTACATTAATTAATTGATGCAGGAAAGCAAACGGGAACATTTTACAGAACAAATCGAAAAATAAACTGAGAACCAAAATAAAATCAATTGAGCAAGTAACTAAAATAAAGTTAGAATTGCGTAAAAAAAAAAAATCCTGTTAAACCAGCTTGACAAGCCGGTTCCCCTCCCAGAGTTATAAAAAGATGCTGCTCTGCATCCTGAAACTGAGCTGATGAAAATTCGGCTTGATCGATATCCGAGGAGGACTGAAACTAAAGAGGAAAACGAGAAAATAAATATGACGATAAGTTAATTAAGATCAAAAACAAAACATACACGTGTACATTTTGATGTCACGTCATATTGTTGATAGATTTCTTGTCATTTGACCTGTTTATAGCCCCTTCATGTTTCCCTTTCGCTGTTTTTTTGCATTTCTGTTCCATGATGTAAATGAGGGGAGTCGGCTTTTAGATTGTATCATGGAAGGCCTGTTTCACAACCCATCATCTCAAGGCTGACTAAATTAGCATTTAGTTGATCTTAAAGTCAGGCCCGGTCGACATTCTTGATCTGCTATGTTTTAAGAAGATCCAGTTGTTACTAAGATACTTGAAACTGTTTTGGTCAGTTGAATCAAAAGGATATCTGTAGCTTTGGTAGCTAAAGTTTTTTTGTTTTTCCACTCTTGGTTTCAGGCACAGTTTATGAAAACACAATCTTCACAACCTGAAGATATAAAACTGAGCCAATGATTCATTTGCATAGAAACATATAAACATGCACAGAACTAAAAAAATGGAAGACTGGGGAAACATGCAAGTAAAGAACTGTTGGAGCTTTTGTGATATGTAGGAAATAATACAGAAATAAAGGGAACAGTAAACAAACACAACATTAACAAAAAAATAAAGTATTTTTTCATTTGAAAGTAAAATAAAATGGAAAATAAATAACTAACATAACTGTATATGAATACAGTCAACATTTTTTTTTTCTTTATTTTACTTAAGTAGTTTATCACCAGATACATTTCTTCATCTGGCCAGTTATATGTTGGTATTAATTGAAAAAATAATGCAGTTTCAGTCCTCCATAAAAACAAAAACAAACAAAAGAAAAAATAGGGCCAAGTGGTGCAGATTAGCTTCACAGGGTTCTGACTGGGGTTCACAGTTCAGAATCAGAGAAGCAATGCAATTCTGAAAACAGAAAACTTCTACATCCAAAAAAGGTTCCGTTTGAAAATAGCTATGCTCCTGCTTTCTTTACCAAGTGAAGGGCACTTCAAATATGCACGCCAAGGGGGCCTAGAAGCCCCCGCTTTTACCAAGGTCCCACAGCTACTTAGTGGATTTTTTTAATTTGGGATATTTTGGGAACTTCACATGGTTACGCATCTGGAGAATCGATCCTGGTGAAAGTCGGCTTGCTCGCAAATGGCCCCAGGTTCCACGGGTGCCCTTTGTTTACCCGCTGGTGGTGGGGGGGTGTGGCGCAGACAGGCTGACAGAAGAGGAGGGGCCTCTTTGTTTCCCCCCCCCCTCTCGTGTTGCCTCCACTCACAGAACTCAACGTGAAGTGGAAGAGGCACCCGCAGGACAGCAGACGCGTCGTTTCGTTTCGGTGCGCGGCGCAGAGGACGCAGCCAGGTTCACGAGTGGATGAGACCAGCTCCAGAGAGTTTACGAGAGGACAGAGTCGACTGTGGCCCGAAATAAACACAGTTTCTTTGCCGATTCATCACGTCCAGACAGCCATGGAGTGGGAACCATCCCGGCCGGCGTCAGTTTGGGGAGGAAAGTGCGCGTTTTGGCTCTTGTCGGTGCTGTTGGCCGCAGCTGGAGGTAAGAGCAGAATACAGCTCTCTGACACCTGATAGCTGTTATGGACGCGGACTGACCTGTGGCCACGTTACCCAAGTTTAAAACTCTTCCTAATAGAATCTGCTCAATGGGGGGGTTTAACTTTATTGCACAGACTCCTATTGACCCTCATGTAATTTGATGATTTGTCTCAGATTTTTTTTTCTTTTTTAGAAACCCTATTCTTTTTGGTTCTTGTCCAGAATTCCTGGCATCTCTTTGTAAAACTGTTGTTTTGAGACTGAACATCTGGCACGAGGCCGCGTGAAAGCCCTCCCACGGGTTGTTGTGAGCGTAAAGCCATCCTAAACAAGTCATCTGTTGACGACTTTAAAATCTGAAATGCGGCCAGCGTCGTGCGATGGTTCAGGGGAGCGCCACCTCTGTGACCGCCCCATTTATTGGCCCCATTACAGCCGCATTTTAAAAAAACACATTTTACTTTATAGGAATTCCTCGCCTTTTCTTGGAAGCTGTAATCAAATGCCAAGGTTTATTCAAGGACTTAGGAGTTCGTGCAGCCACGCAGGAGGACAGATGAGAAGCAGCTGTTGCCTCGGTGGGCTGACTGTTTCACTTCAAACACCCATGAAAACTTTATCAGCTTAAGTCTATTTAGATAAGCAGAGTGGAAAACTCTGCCCAAGGACTATGTTTAATTTGGCACTTTAAACATTTGGCTGACGAGTTTCTGCGTCATTAGTTTATTTTGATGTCAGATGTGTCTGAAATCATACGTTTTGAGCCGGTCTAAAGTGCCGTTAGTGTAAATTGTGATTCTTAAATCTTCCCCTGAGACTAAAAGGCCACGCGGAAACACATTAGACCAACTTAAATGTTAAATGGCCTCCTTTCAGAACCGTTATTTCCTTTGTGAGGAAGTTTCCGTCTTTTCAGCCTGTATGAAAACAGCTGTTTGTTCCACTTTCAGTAATGGATTTCCACTCGGCAAAATATGACCTGAGTGAAACCCAACAGTAATCAGTGCCTCCTTTCCTCTCAGATAAGCATTTAGCTCCGTGTGGAGGACAATGGCAGCAGCCGGAACGCTCAATGAAACGCAAGAGGGGAGACCACTCTCTTTCCTTCGCCTCTCTGCTTTCTCCTCCTGTTGTGGTGGAGCCTCTGCTGTGTATCGATTCCTCTCATAAATGAATAAATCTTTATTTAGATGCGGGCTTCGGTGTCACTGACAGGAGCGCTACCAGCCGGGGAAAGACGGCGAGTGCAGGGAAGAGCGCCGCTCTTTGTTTTGTGGAGGCTTGTGCAACATGTGCATGAGTAATAATAATAATAAAAAAAAACAACCCAGGGGAGCAGAGGGAGCTTCTCTGGTAGGTGATTTCTCTGGGTATCGCATCTTTAAAGGTCGGAACATTTTTAACCGACGCACTCTTTAACATGCAGTAAGAACAACAAATCAGTGACCTCCACGCTGATGGGAACCGTTGGTCTCCCACACTGGCCGCTCTCTGAATAGCTCAGGGCCACAACGTTTGGAACCTTGATTACTCATCTAGATCTGTCATCAGAAAGTCCAGCCTTGTTAACAGAACTAAACTAAAATGTTTCACCGTGTATATACAGTTTAATGGAAAAAACACTTGAAAGCAAGAGGGACCTACAAGGAGGAAGTAGTTAAACAAAACTGTAATAATTTAACTTCCTTTGTTAAGGAAAAATGAAATTGTAGTGCCCTCACCACTAGAGTAAAAACTGTGTTACTTCTGCTGTAAATATACACGTTACACAAACCATACATGTGTTTTTATGGGGTGCTGAACACCACGACCTGCTGACATCCAACCACTTCCTTTTGTGACTAGGTGTCTGACTGGTCGATTGAAACACTTCCTGTTGCGTGTGCTCGCTGCTTAAAATGCATGAAGCTCTCCTGCGTTTCAACGGGGTAAAAAGTTCCCTGGTCTCCTAAATATTCTGAAATAGAACCTTAACTCTCAACAACTTCTCACTTGGGAGAGGGAGGAGGTGATAGGAAGATGGACAAGGGTCAGCACCCCCGTTCTTGGACATCTTGTGCAAAACATTACCTATTGTCACTCGTGCAATATTCTTCTCTCTCACTGTGCAGTAACACATGCCAACTACTGTGTAGGCTGTGTAATCTTTTCCTTTTTTATATGGTCAGGACATCTCTGCTGTACAGGTGAAATGATCCAAGTCACCTACTGTGTAGCCTTTCCTTAGCTCTTTACTGCGCAGGTATTTTATATCTAAAGGAGACATATTCCAGGACATTACAACTTTTCATATGCTCTTTTGTACTATAAACACTCTTTAAATATTGTCTGTTGTATTTTTTTAATCTTAATTGGCATCTTGCTTTATCTCTGCCCTTTGTATTATACATAAGCAACTGAAAGCAGAATTTTCCTGATGGAGTAATCCTAAAGGATAAATAAAGTTGAGTCTAAGTCTAAGTGTAAGTCTATGACAGAAGTTGTGAAAGTGGCGTGACGGGGAGCAGGACTCGTGTTTATGTAGAGAACATGTGCAAGGGCCAGAATACTAGATTTGCCTGTAATGCAAGCTCAGTATGTTTTTTTTTTGTTATATCCACACAAAGTCTTGTAGCCATTAAAGGGCAAGCATGAATTAACAGGTTTAATGAAATCGCATATGTTACTTTTCACGTCTGACGGCAAGAAGACTGTCAGCAGCGGTATGCTCTTAACAGGTGGCTCTAAGGTCTAGAACAAAGGAGGGCCTGTTTCTGGGCCCTCAGGGACTAACTGGATCCTGACAACAGAGATCATAGGTGGAAATGTAGATCCATAAAAGAGCCAAATAACAGCCGCCTGATCTCCACGCGTCAAAGAGTTTCTGCCTGTTGGGCTGAGGTCTGTTTGGGCCCGCGGCCCAGGTGCTGACGCCGTGGTAACCGACACCGGCCTCGCCATCCCCGGTTGGTGCCAAACAAAAAGATTCACGCCGCCCGCAAATAACCTCCTCATTAGGATGCTGAGCACGGCGGCGAGATACCTGTGAGGTATCATTCCTGCGCCGTCTGTAGGAAGGCAGGCCGAGCCGAGGGTCAGCGAGGAAGGCGGGGCGGGTGTGAAACGGGAGAGGAGAATGGCGTCCCCTCCCATGGTCCCACCCTCTAGGCAGAAACAGCCGGGGGATAACAGTGTCACCTTAACCACTCTGTGGTCTTCCTATTACTTTTCCGTGCACACAATGGCAAGCGTGGGCTTCGGGCGCACACACAGGAACAGGGCACAGACCGTGGCTTCCATAACAGGATGCGCACATGGCGTGTCTACTGGCACGCACGGCTCATCAAAGAGCCCAGGTCAAAGGCCGCTCAGCTACTGTATTTCCCCCCCCCCCCCATCTGCTGAATTTGAATGAACCATTTGAGGCCGATATTGACGCTTAAACTTCCCGTGCTTCCCGGTTTAAGTACTGACCGCTCCAAAAGGCCAGGTCAGTGGGCCGTTTGACTCTCTGTGAACTTGCGTTTTAACACACTGCCACTCCCCCGCCGAGGAAACAGCTGCAATCATGAGAGCGACTAAATGGCTGTTTTAATGGGCTCGTCTTTAAGGCTGTCAAGCGCAACTGTGAAAACTGTGATGGTAATCATGTTGCCTTGTATAAGAATTTACCAGGACTCCCTCTGAAGTCAGGTTATGCCAAAGCAAATATTCAGGCCTCTCGGCTATTTCGAGAGTCTGAGAGTAGCAGGTTTGACCGGTGGAATTGAGATTGCGGCTGACAGGGACTAGACAGGAGGAGGAATGTCTGAGTGTTGGGACGATTCAGGAAGGAAGTCCACTCCTCAAAACCAGGCACAGACCATTCTCCTCACATCTAGATATGCACATGCACGCCTACTGTAAAAAAATGTGCCCGGAGGTGCTTTCTGCACACTGACACATTTCTACATCGGTGCAGTCCACCCTCCCACACACGCACTTATTATTCACTTGCTTATTGCTTACGCACATTCTTCTTCCGGCCCTTGTTGTTGCAGCCGTGAGCAACGTCTGATTCCGCAGTGCAATCTGTTACAAAAGAGGAGCAACGATGGAGTAACGGTGGCCCTGTTGGTTTTCCATGCTCTGTGAATGCATTTCTGCGTGTTTGTGGAGAGGTGTTCGAAAATGTCCCCAAAACCCGAGGTCTGCCTTGTTTGTGTTATCACGATGAAACAGTCATTTTGAAGCACGCTTGAAGGCATTATTCTCCTCATGCGTTTAAGTGCAGCGCTGAAGTTTCGACAGGATGTGGTTGAAAATAGAACGCATGAGCGAGTGAGGGAGTTTGTGCAAAATGTAAGACGCGTCTCACAGCTGTCGTGTTGGTTTCCTGAGCGTCCCTTAAATAATTAGTTGGTGTACATATGCATCAGAAAAAAGGGCTGTTCCACGGCTTGATCTGGTTTCTGACAAGAATCAAACGCAGCATCATTCACGTTTCCACAGGAGAGGGCTATATTTGTTTTAGGCAGCAGACTGCACTTTTTCTTGCCACACTTTAAATACACAGCAAGGAAAAAGTGGAGTATGCAAAATCCGGGCACAAAAAAGGACGGGCTTTGGCTTTAAATCCCATGTTGAAATGACTAGTTACTGTAATTATATTTTGCAATGTGGTTACGTTTGTCGAGTCGTGGTAACAGGCAGGAAATTCAGGATTTGAGTTTTCGAACAAAACTGTTACTTTCCGAGCATTGTTGGTATTTGACAGCGATTTAAATGAAAAGATGGAAATGTTAAGGTAATACTACGGGCCAACGAGCTTCTGGCTGGGAGTAGTTTTGTCAGAATAATTAACTATTTGTTAGTTGTGTTTTTTTCCCCAATTAGCACTCCACTTTTAAGCTTTCAATGTATAAATCTTTTATAGGAACTGTGTGGAGACTTTGGGAAAACAGTTCCACTAGTGAAATATTACATTGCTTTGCATTTTCCACAACTTTGGATCTTTGTTTAGGTGACATCCTGCTACAACAACACAAGTTCCATGTGTCCAGCTGATGGTTTAAGATTCTGAAGTTGTTTTTCATTATTCGGTGGCCTTGAGCAATCTCCTAGCTCAGCAAAAAGGCCTCCACCACACTTCATAAGTGTTCATGGCGTGAACAAGTTTCCACTTCCTGTTCAACTTTTTGCTCTTCTGACAGTAAAATCTTATTTCCGAATCTTTAATTCAGCTTCATGGCATGGGTTTTTCTGAGCAGGACCTTGTTTCATGGCTGATAGCTCTTTGTCTACTTTGGATGTCTCTCTCTCTGAATGGTCATGGACTTCCCGTCACATTTTGTGCGGGTCAATTCAATGACTGCAGCTGTACAAATGCTTCTTTTCAACCTATGGTTTCCCCCACTTTCAGTGAATAACAATTACTCCCATGGAGTCAACAAGCCCTGGTATGTGCTGGAAAAAAATGAAGAAACTTCAAATTCTTCTTCTTTTTAATTTTCAAGTGAAATATTTCTCATTTAAAGGGCTCTCTACCTCAGGATGGACAGATAGCACTGATTCAGAAGCTTACGCTATGGCCTCCAAAGATTGTAGTGTTGATATAGCAGTGTCATGTGATCATGGAATACTTTCTTTCCCCTTGGAAAAAATAAGCAGCTGCCGCCACTAAAATAAACTCCACCAATGTGACTGTATATTCTTGCAAAAGCACTCCTATCTGTCCTTCTAATCTATAAATATACGATTTTCCTCCTGGGTCCAGTGGCTCTTCTTATGAATACCACTGTGTACAAGACCAACTTCTCCCACCAGCATATACCAAACCCATTCAACGATATCATTTGTTTAGCAGGAAGTAATCCGGTGTGATATTTAGCAAAGGACAAATGACCATGAAAGGAAGTCAGGTGTGATGAATAACAATCTTCTACTTTTGTTTCCTTCCTTCTCTCTAGCTAAAGTGGAGACGTCTCACCCCACACTGGATATTTCTGCCCTTCACCTGCACTACAGCTGCCCTGAAGGTGCAACTGCCAAACTGGTGTGCACCCAAAAAGGTGCCACCAAGTTCCCCTCTGACGTTGTGCGGCGTAGCTGGCTTTTCACATCCGAGAGTAACCAACACTGCGTGCCGGGAAAAGGTCCGCGGCATATAAACAACCATCTCCATCCCAACCAGACAGCGGCAGTGGGACTGCAAATTGGGCATTCGCATGAAAACATGTGGGTGGTTCTGCAGAATGTGACCTCTGAGGACCAGGGTCTTTACTGCTGTTTGCTCCTCGATACCAAGAGGGAGCACAACCACCTGCACATCATGCAGAAGTCTCACAGCCATATTTTTCTCCATGTTGAGCCAAGTAAGCGCGGCAAATGAATGAATGTGAAATAACGGCAACTCTGTCTGCTCATTGCTGCATTTGCAATGTATTCAATAACCCATTTTCTTATATGAGGACTAATTTTTATTTACTTGAATCTTTTCAGAGGGGAATGGGCGTATAAATTGCACCTTCTTGGATCCCACAACAGCTGGTGGTACAAAACTTCGCTCAAGTCTACATTACCAATGGATGTCTCCTCAGCTATTCTGTTTATCTAACTCATGGTCTCTGTGTTGCCTCCCCAGGCACTGTACCTGTGACCCTGGCTTTATTAGCCTGCATCTTGGCCCTGCTCTCTCTGCCTCTTATTCTTGTGCTGGTCTACAAACAGAGGCAGAATAGCCAGTCAGGCCGACGTATGTATTATTGATACACGCAAACATGCACACACAGACCAATTTCCATCTCTTAGCTTTGGGTCAAAACATAAATTTCTTACACTGGGGCTCCCGGAGCCTTTGTTCTGACATGTTTCCTGTGAGTGAGGTGGATTAACTGTATTTCACACTGAAGGAAGCACGTTCCCACTCCATTTTTGTTGTGGTTCATTCACAATGGCCCATTTCCTGTTTCCTCTCTCCCAGGTGCACAAGAGCTGGTGAGGATGGACAGGTAAGCTTTCCCACAGTCTGCCTGTTGGCCGATCCCACAGACCAGCATCCAAACAAAGCTGCTCCATAGTATTATAATAATCAGTCTAATACTGTGTTTATATTCCATTATGCAGCAGGCACAACATTTCTTACACAATAAGTAGTGTCACACAAACAAGTGTACCAGATGAAATACAAAACAGCTGAACTTTCATTACTTCTAGTTTATCAACAGTTAATGACCTTAATTACTGCAAACAACTGTGTACCCGGCATGTTACTGCATTTGAATACTACTTAGGGTTATGTTCGAGAAGATTATTGGAATGAATTGATGACTATATGGCATAAAAAGAGAAAATATATGAATAATTGAATATATGTGTAATTTTGTCAGGCGTTTGATTTTCAATTTCAAGTATCGGAAATGTGATACAGGCCGAAATGCAAAAGTTACAAACCCAGAGGTTCTAAATTTGAGCAACAGATGAGTTTGGAAAACAGTACGTTGAGACATCTCTGATCTTTTTTTCAATGTGTACATGTTTCTTTTTTTGTGGATGCAGTGAGGCTCTTGGCCATGAGAATCCAGTGTTTCTCGGGGAATCCCCACAAACAAAGACTCGCACTGTTTCCCAAATCATGACCAGGCAGTCCTCTGAGACACATCGCCACTTGCTGTCCGACCCAGGAACCCCCCTTTCTCCCCCCGCCCATGGGGATGTATTCTTCCCATCTGAAGGTAAGACATATATAAAAATGTATACAACCTAACAATGAAATGACAGGAAATCCGACACTACCGTGCTCTTGGGAATTCATGTAAAATCAGAGGGCTTTGGTTTTAAGATAAGTCTCAAATGTGGGTAAAATTACTACACATCTAAAAACACCCGTGTTGTGGGTTCCTCTCTTGCGGACAAGTGTGCCTCTCTATTAGGCAATATGTTGCATTGTGGGAAAATTGTTCTCTGTCTAATCACAGTCATTGCGTGCTAAAATGAAGCAAAAGGGTGCTTTCGGCATAATGGCAACATGTCACAAAAGTACAAACCTCGGAATGTACAGTACTTCTTTCAAAGTTCACACCCACTAGCCAAGAGGTCACTGAAGCATCCTCTCATTAGCGTGCAGAATGCCTGTTCACTCTCAAAACAGCCAGTCTGAGTTTGATGTAACTGAGATCTAAGGATTACATGATGGGTTTCATTGTGTCCAATTTCAACACACACACACACACAAAAACTCCCCTGCCACTGGGATCACTTCTTTATGACAACATCGGGAGGAGGCTGTCTTCTTCAGTGGCTTGGCTTACAGTAATTATCCACTCATCAGCACTCCCACTATGCCCTAATAGCCTTTTCGCTTGCTCTCTCCGACTCAACTTGAAATGTTTCAGCTTTAGTTACGGTTAAAGGTTTCGTTGCCTCGCGTTTTTGGATCCTCGATGCACCCGTGCAGACATTCCAGGCATGCTTAGGTGGATTGACCAGTTTCCTCAATGATGTTTTGAGATGGCAAAAATATTAAAGCAGCCTAAAGAACCACAGGTCCAACAAATGAAGCGGGGGGTAGGTCAGATGTTCAAACATTCACTTATATTCACATAAAAAAACGGCAGGCATACAGTAAAATTGGGCTGACACCTAATTGAAACTGCTCAAGCTAATTTCGTTGATGAGTCTATAGATCCTATACAGAAACAAGCAGCCTAGTTTTTTTTCCTCAGCATTCATGTGTGTGAAAGCTTTCTGCACGTCAGCTTTCTTCTTTACGTTTTTGACTTGCTGAACTTCAGCTGGGCTGGATTTTCTACCAGCACTTCCCTTTATTTTTCAGCCTGTCGCAACTCGGACAGTAAGACCATTTAGTTCACTTTTTCACGGGTTCCTTGTAAACACATCTTATTGATGGAATCTACTTGTCTCTCTTTGTCCGCATGTCAGCTTATGGAGTGTGTGCACTTGCTGTCACGATTGCCATTTGACATTTTACAGGGACTGTCGTATTTAGGCTGTAAGCGTGTTGCTGTATGTGTCATCACCCACATGTGTTTTTTTTTCACCTGTCAGCACAAAGATATGACATTTTGATTTGTGTAGGGGGACAGTTCTCACATATATGTGCTTCTCTCCGTTTCAGACACCATCCTAGAGTCTCCTGACCTCCTGCAGGTTTAAAGAGCAGCAGAACCTCACTCTTTGATCTAACAGCCGACTGTCTCTTCCTCTTCTCTCTGTTCTAAGAGCTTTCTTGTCCTCATGAACTGTCTCACAATAACCTCTGCCTGGATTGTTGTCTGTACATTGTCTGGACAGCAGGAAGGAGAAGGATGGCATTTTGATTCGAATGCCTCCACCTGCAACAACAGCGGGAGGCCAAAAGTGAACTTAAGCTGGAGCTCTGAATAATCCAAACGCATACAACAGCTCCTAGACCATCAGTACCTGTGTGTGATGGTGCCCGCTGCCTGCGAGGACAGGGTCCTGCCATGTGTAAGGGTGGAATGTGAAGAAAAGGATTAAGCTTTTTCCACACAGTTCAGGCAAATATAAACGTGTTACGTTTGGTATATTTAGGCTCGTGTGCAATCTGAATTTCAAACCCCAAAGAGCCCACTTACAGCGCACAGTTATCTGATGGGCCACACTCTTTTTCTGAATCACGGCTGCTGCGCAAGAAGAAATCTGGTAGAAATGATCCAACAACTGTCGTGCGTGAACGAGGGCAGGAGCAACACGTTGCAAAATCATGAGCAGAACCGAAACATGATTTCTTTTGTTCCTTTTTAATAAACTAGAGAGAAAGTGGTCTCCTTGTATCGTTTTGTTTGTGAGTCACAGAGTAGTATATTCCTCTGAGACTTGATCATCAGGGAAATCACACCAATCGCTAAGCAGTGAAGAATAAAAAATAAAAAAAAGCATTAATTTGTTTCTGTTTCTGCTCAGCTTTGTTTCTTTTATCTCTTGCTCTCTCCTACCTCAATTGCTGCCTGTTCTTACTTGCATTTTTTTTCTCACATTGATTAAGTGATGCACAATTGCCATAAATACTCTCAACAAGTGCTCGAAAAAAATGAAAATACATAAAAAATATTGTGCTTATTTTTAAAGTTGTGTAAAAAAAAAATTCAAGTCGACGAATCACTGCCATTACAATACAGTTTTTCTTTGTATTTCTTTCTGGATGTCACTGTGGTATCACAACTTGGTGTTAGGATATGTTCCTTTTTTGTGCAATGCGGCTGGTAATAAAAAAAAATGTGTTTAGCAAATTTGTGGCGGGACTGCATGAATTGGTAATCAAAGACATAAAATGAACAGGGAGAGAAAAAGTCTCTCTGCAAATGACTCAAACATTACCTAGTCGATGTATGACTGTGTAAAACCACTGGTGGTTTAATTTCAAACCGAGGTTGATATGTACAACAGGTGCTTCATGGACACTGTGTCAACAATGAGTAGCATGTGTATAGGACAGGGTATTATGTAAAGGCTATCGGTTATGCTTTGAAAGAGAATTTGTCTTATCGGGTGCCTTTGTGCCTCTTTGTAAGTATGGTGTGTGTGCTTTCAAATATGAGATGAAAGTTTTTGTTTGATTTTTTATGAATTGATCAGAGATTCATTATAAATATGTGTTTATATGTGTGTATGTTAACTTAAAGTTTTCAATTTCTCTGTTTTACGTGTAAGATGCTTTTATCGTAGAAAGATACATTGAGATCATATCTGAGCTTCAAATCTCTTAAAAAATGTCCTCTTTGTATGTCCTCAATTGTACAAATAAAGAAGGACCTCTAACTCCAAAGTTTTAAGACTCATCTCTAAAATCATTGTGCTTTTCTTATAAGTCTCCAAACTATTACAGCACAAGGACACTGCACTTGCTGTCCAGGGAGCCATCGCAGGTTGAACAAGGCTGTTCCACTTGTGTGCCTCTGCAATGGTGCTGACCAGAGGGAGGCTGTGAATGAGGACTAATAATGATAAAACAAGTCAAGTGTTTTGATTTATGCGAGGAGACAGACGGCTAAACAGCATTAGGAAGTGCAAGTTCATTGCTCCTTTTACCATATGATAGCGCACAAATGCAACAATATTGCAGGTTTGCATCAGCCATGTTTCAGAGGTTTTACTTATGACTTAAAATAGCTCCTGTCTGCACATGAATACAGGTTTTTTTTAAATGTTTCTAGACAGGATAAGCACCTCTCACGTTGGACTTGTGGCTTTCCTGTTGTCAAAAGCAGGTGTTGCCTGTACTCTCTCAGCCTGTTTACTGTTTATACAGAATAGCAGTCAAGCAGGTAAGGATTTAGGGACTCAAATAATTATATTTGAACAATCTAAATGGGAAAATCCTACTTAAGTAAATTGCAGAAGTTCTGGAACAAGGAACAGGAAAGAAAAGAATGCAGTTCTGATTAACCAATAGGTTTTCAGACTTTTTTTTTTGTGGAACGTTGTATAATTTCAGTGTTGAGCATGAGCTGATTTGCCGTGCTCTGCATCTGCTTGTCGTGCGTCTTACCGACAGAGGTGGCGTGCCGTCATCCTCCACGGTGACAGTAAGTCGATACTCTTGCTGGCGCTCCCGGTCTGGGGGGGCCGGTCGCGTCACCATCTCTCCGGTCACACGATCCATGCGGAAGGTCAGGTCTTGGTTTCCAGCGGTGATGTAGTAAAAGAGCATGGCATTAGGGCCGATGTCTTTGTCGGTGGCCATCATGCGGAGGACTGACGTGCCTCCTCCAACATTCTGGAAAATATGTCAATTAAAAATGAGGCCTTGTTGTCAGTGTCAACAACAGTTATTAAATGGACGCCCTAACTTGATCAAACTTAGTGCCAGAAAAAACGCCATCGGTGGAACCATCCCTACCTCGTTTACGCTGACGTTGTAGCCCCTCTGATTTTCAATGACAGGTGCATTATCATTGACATCCAGAATGTTGATGGTGAGTGAGTGGTCCGTGTGTCTAGGAGGGGAGCCGTTGTCAGTGGCACGTACCTATAACAAAACAGAGGAACCATTGTGCATAAGAATGTGGCCTCACATAGAGGACAAACAAACAAATAAATGAATGACAAGGGACTGCCTCTTTAATGTTTTGTAATAAAAACTATTATTCCTGTCCTTGGTATTGTATCCTCTCCTTGATTTCCTTCCGGAAAGCATTTTGGCATCTGTCATCATTTATGTGACTGGAGCCATACTAAATCTTAAAAATGGTGACACATTATATGAATTATTTGATGTATACTTGCATGGTTGCCATGTAAAACATCTATTAAGTTATACAATCAACACTATTAATATGTGAAAAGATTGCTTGTGCTGAATGATGTTTTTGGTCCAAGTATATAATATGAACGAAGAAATGCAAACCAAAGCCAGTGGTTAGAGTTACAATATCTGGTGAAAAACTGCCCAAACTACAGATGCATTGCTGGCTGACCTTAAGTAAGTAGCGGTCTACTGACTCTCTGTCCAGAGGAGCATTGACATAAACCTCCCCGTAGCTGTTGTTCACTGTTTTGATCTTAAACACATCCTCCATGTTTCCTGCCGCCAGAGTGAAATTGACCTGTGGGATAGTGGAGGAAAACCTTTAATAGTAAAGTGTTTGGGCCATGCTCTTCCATCTGTCTTTATTCTCACCAGTCCGTTTGAGCCAGCATCTCTGTCCCTTCCCAGCACCACAGCCACTTTTTTCCCCATGGCTGTGTTTTCTACCACGCTCACTGAGGTATCAGATGTAATGTCAAACTCTGGACTGTTATCATTTTCGTCCAAAATAGTGATGGACACCTGTGAAGAAGTAAGACCATTTGGAACTCCTCTATAGTTTATTGGAGTGATAGTTGCTGTGAACATGATTCATGGTTGGGCCAACAAACCAAATATTATGATGTTCCCTTTATATACCACAGATGAAAACATTTAATGTTGCCTGATCAATGACAAGTCTTACCTTCTACAGTTCCAATGAAAGATGCAAGTAATAAAAGAGGAATGCCATTAAGATTCTACAACAGAATGGACACATGTACAATAATAAATCCAAAAACTCCAAATAGTTTTGAAGGGTGAGGCTTAAAGAGATTAAAAAAAAAAACATACCACGGTGGAGTCCTTTTTAGGTCCTCCATCATCAGCTACAACGGTCAGAGTGTAGAAATCCCCCTTTTCTCTGTCCAGCAGGCCTGTTACTGTTATGCGGCCCTGAAACATCACACAACCAGGAAAATACCTTTAATTTGACATCCGTCCAAGATGGAAATCCACATATCCAGAGCATAGTTAAATAGACAAACTAACAAGTATAAGACAAATAAATTAAAAAATCATCCTTTCTCATTTATGAAAGGACTCGAATGACTTCAAAGAAAACAAACTCTTTGATCAGCCCACAAGTTCTGCCGCAATAACACTGCCGGCTCAAATCACACAGGAAAAGATGTCCTGGAATCTAAGTGTGTTGAGATGCATCAGAGAGAAGGTAAGTGAACTCTTTGAAGTACACAGGAAAAGAACTGTGAAAATGGTGTTTACATGACCAGAGACCTTTCCTCCTCTGCTCCCTCACTCACCGTGACGCTGTCTATTTTGAAGAGGGCCAGGGCGACGGGTGATGTGTCAGGGTCAAAGCGGTAGGTCAGCTGGTTCAAGTTGTCTGCGGACTGGGCCCGCACCTGGACCACCTCTGTCCCCGTGGCGATGTTCTCCCGGAGGGAGGCCTCGTAGCCGGCCGAGAAGAAGGCCACCGCCTCGTCCAGCTCGTTCAGCAGGGTGACATAGACGGTGCAAAAGCCTTGGTGAAAAGGTGGAGCCTGATCAGTGGCCGAGACGTTCATGAGGTAGGTGGTCTTGGTCTCGTAGTCCAAGTAGTCCACAGTGGTGACCAGGCCGGTGCTCACGTCCACCTCGAACTTGCGGTCCGAGCCAGACATGAGGGCGTATGCAACAGCCCCTCCATCACCTAAATAACATGGCAGGGGAAATAGGCCTACAGTTAAAAACCAGCTAAAGTCGGCTTTAAGGTGTGTGAAGGTGTTTTAAGAATAGGATGAGCTCATCATGGCATCATGATGTTGCATAAGAACTGTCACAAGCCCTTAAAATGTGATTCTTATTGGACTAATGCTCTGGTAGCTGTGCTGTGTTTATTTCAGTTTCAGATCTGCTCTGCTGTTCTGGAAAATGCATAACCCAGAACCAGATGTGTCATAAAATGTCTAAGCAACACTTTACAAATAGGAAGTGAGTAGAGGAAGTTTGAATTGCAAAAGAGAAGTACAAATTTAAATGGTAGGTGCAAAGAACGCAATGGTTTTAGAACACCAAAATAACAACTAGAGAGAAAAAAAAAAAGGACAGAAAGGCTACAGTATTCTCCAATGGAACAGTGCACTCTAGTGTCAGGCTGATGATCTGCAAACAGTTGTGCGCCAGCGGGGCAGATGTGCTCCGGAGCCTTCGCTTTTTTTTCACGGTGAAGTTTACATGTAAAGTTCTACATTCAAAGGAATGTAGGGACACCAGAAAATGAAGTTCAGCTTAGCTGCCGTCCCTCTGAACTCACCGGTGTCAGGATCTGTGGCACGCACCACGATCACAGAGGTGCCAATGCCAGCGGTTTCTCTCAGGCCCAGGCGGTTGTACTGTTGCTGGGTAAATACAGGCACCTCGTCGTTGGCGTCATCAACGTATATGATCACCTGCAGGGGAAAAGCAGTTCATGAAAAAAATTAAAAGCATTTTATCAACTCCTCAAGCTATAAGACCGCTTGTGCGTGACCCAAATCTGTGACAAATTTGATGGGGTTGATTCGAGTCCAGATTTTAGACTGAAATATCACATGAGGTCAACAGAGAGGACCCTTCCTTCATAGGGCATAACACAAGGTACGGCACACATAAAGTATAAAGTTGTGGAATAAACTTGGTAGTGCTGAAGTATCTTTTCTGTGCTTGTTCCGCTCCAACAACTCGCTGCATTCTTACCCTCACAGAGCTCCTCATGCTGCCTTCATCACTGTTGTAGGCCTCCACTTCCAACACATGGGAGCTGCTGGTTTCTCTGTCCAGAGCCCTCAGGCCTCTAGTCACAAGCCCAGTCCCTCTGTCTATGCTGAACAAATTGTTGCTGTTTCCTGTGCACACGAGCACACAACCAGCCAGCGAAATGAAAACAAAGGAAAAGTGAAACATTTTTATCATTTTATATGTATAAATACGTATATATTTGTTAAAAACTTTTCCGCAATTGTGATTTCTTCAATTTCTCCTTCTTGTAAAGATTCCCATCGTATACATTTGATTCTTTTAGACAGTATACTTTATACATAACAAAACAGCAAGCCTTTCTCAAAACTTCAGTTTGGTCAGAGTTGGGGGGAACATCTAATATAAACTGGTGAACAACTACTTACCTGTTAGTATCCTGTACAAAACTCTGCCATTCTCTCCCTGATCTGCATCTGTGGCTTGAACCTGCATAGATAAGCACGTGAAACAAATCTGTCTTGGAATACCTGCACTGGGAAACTGGGCGCAGTTAAATGCAGTTGCATGCAAATGTAAAACAGCTGGCAAAATAACAATGAAAAGCTACCGGGAGGATTATTCTTCACTCATGCTTACGTTAACACACACTTTGAAACAAATCTTCTTATGAAAGACTTGGGGTCTTATTTTCTGTTACCAAGTGCCGTTATTGTGTCTTTACTCTTGTGTAACACACTTCTTTTGAATGTGATTTTTTTTTCCCTGCTTGTACTTCTTCTGTATTTTCTTTATGCAACCCACATCCACTGCCTGCCTGTATCCTGTCAGGACAACCAGCCCATCGTGAATTGGCAGTGGAAGCCTCTCTCTCCCTGTTATAAGCTGATAGCCAAAAGCATGCACAAACCTCCAGCACAGACAAACTTCACACAGAGCACGTTGAGCTGCTGGTGAATAGTCGCCTCCTGAATCTAGGGGGGGCATACACCCCCTGGCACTGGAGGAAGCTAACTTCTTGTCCTATCCCACTCATCGGTGGATGTGTCAAAATCCGCGGAGGAGGCTTCAGAGTGCATCTTTAACAGCATACAGACATTACGGGACATGTGCCCGTGCACTCAGGTATGCACAACTACAGACACACATGGCTTCTGAAAGTCTTGCCCTATGTGTCCTGCTTTGCTCTCTACTGCTCCCTCTGTGAAGAGGGGCCCAACTTCAGTCTCATTAGCTTTATAAAGAAATGTGAAGAGGAAAGGAGAAAGAGGACGGCAGAGGAGGGGGAGAAGGGAGGAGAAAGACGCTAGGGGGTCAGATTGGTGGGTGATGAATAGGGCATTACACAGTGGAATGAACCATTAAGGTAATAAAAGGGGGTGGATAAAACTCCTGACTATGCTCCTGAGCCAGATGTTGCAGCTGTGTTGCTGTGGAGCATAATCTGAGAGATTTAGGAATGCTGGGAGAAGCTAAAAGAAAAACATACTCTTGCCCTCATCGTTTAGCTGCTGGAGTAACATTGAGATTTCCATAAAATTATGCAGTTACCCACATTTTATCCCCCTTATTTCTGTCCCCCCCCCGTTCCTTTCTACCCCACTGTTTCCCTCTCTGTTTCTGGGAAAGCAGCAGTTTAAGGGGGAAAAACAAGTGTGTGCATGAACTGACCTCAGTAACAGGAACTAAGCGAGGTGCTGTTTTACAGAATCTCCAAAGTGTGGGTGTGAGTATATTGTGGAAAAATGTTTTTTAATATGACTAAAATCCATTGAATAGTTAAAAATGTGATTTGCATTTTATCTTAAAGATATTATTTTTCTTTTAATCAAGGAGTGTTGGGTTGCTAAAAAAAACATTTTTGTTTGGCATGTGCTCGAGCAGCTGGAGATGAGGAGATGCAGAGTTCATTATACTCCTTATGAAGTACGGTTTAGCCTAAAGATGACAGGAATCTATCAAACAGGATTGCAAATAAATCACTGAAGAACTTACAGATTTGCTAAAGCTTAAAGTTTATAGCTTGTAGCTGCTTTCAAGTTATCATCTTTAAAGGTTATAGGAGCTATGTTGTTGTCAAACTAGCAGAGATTTCAGATCTGTGAGAGTAACAGTGCACGCTGAAGGAGAGGAAGAGCACCTTAAAGCTGCCAGGTTTAAGAACAGCCAGCCTAATCACAAAATACGTGGAGGCTACCGTACGAGTGGCTGAGAAAGAAAGTTTGAGTTTCGAATCACTGTGTGTGAATGTGTGTATGTGCCATGCATGCTTGGAAGAGCTGACTAATGAACTGACTCTCTAACGAGCCAGCCTGCTCCACTGGCCTTTTCACAGCTTTCCTGGCATTTGGTCTTAAAAATAATTTCACGTCCCAATGTGTTTCCCTTAAACCGATAAGCCATGCTTTGTCTCCGCTGAATTAAGGACGATGACATTTACAAATGTTACCATGCTGAAGATGGGGGCGCACAGAATGAGAGGGGGGATAATTGGACACTGGGATAGAAAGGGTGGGTGCTTTGCATTTTACAGGGGGCGGTTTAATAAACCCAATTTGTTTTACATTGAAGAAAGCCTGTCAAGCATTGACTGTTTTGTAGTCCTTGATTTAATAGCTGCATAATTGTTGAAAATGCCACACATTCACCTCATCAGCACGTGTGTGCAGGGGTTTCTTTACACGCCTGTACATATGTGTATGTGTATCAGGACGCCCCTCGGTGTACAATCCTAATATGGGCATAACGTTAGAGGAAACCTCCAAATGAACCTTTTAAGCTCAGCTAGTGAGGGAAAACCCAGCATACAGAGATACACCTCTTCATCTACTATTGCTTCTTCCACCCAGGGCTGAGACAACATGAACAACACCCGTCCAACAAGTTCCAACGTCAGCTCGGCCTCTCGCACAGAAAACATGACTGATCCCAGCCTGACAGCCACCACACTTTCTGCCACCATCCTGCCGCCTCCATCCTACTCTTCGGGCGTCCACAGCCCGGAGTTGACCATCGTGGTGGTGCTGGGGCTGTCGCTGCTGCTGGCAGGGCTAGCAGCCTTCCTGGCAGTGTGCCGGCGCTCCGAGCGGGACGGGGATTTTGAGGCCAGCTGTGGTCCGGGGGGGAGCCTGAGCCGTGGAAGAAACTTGTCCAGCGAGCCCCAGCTGAAGGTGTGGAAGAGGCTGGGCTCCTACCGGCGCTCGTACAATCTCTCCTTCAGACGGCCACCTCACCGCAGGCCACAGCAGAGCGACGGAACACACTCATCCCCGTCTCCTTCTTCACAGACTCCACAGCCAGAGGCGAGTGTGGAACCACATCCCACTACGCCCTGCCTGTACGACTATGTTACTGAAGTCTGATTGGGGGACAGGCTGAAGATTGACTGTTCCCCCTGATGTGACACACTGTATCATTGTCTGTTTCACGGTTGTCGCAGCGAGAGTTGAATTCTTGGAGTGTAAGCTGCGACTACATTTGATCAAAGTGAAAAATCATCTGATATAAAAGAATTCTTCTGAAGGCACATGAACAAATAATGCTTCACTTTCATGACTTGACATAAGCTTCAAAGGAACAGTTTCTACATTCAGCCTACATGACACTTGATTTCTTCATTTTTATCTGTCATATTCAAATTCTGGCAATGTCACTTTGTGGCAATGTCAGCTTTGTGCTGTTAAATCCAATCCATCTGGTGATTCAGGTGTCTTATTTACTTAAAGATTCTCTCAAAACATAGTGGGTTCCCAATACAAGAGACATGCAACCTGAGCCAAAAAGAGAGCATGATGTGTATGATTCAGTGAGTCTTAAAGAAATAAAATTAATTTGGAAAACACTGTTGCGTCTCTACCTTCAGGATGCTTGTTCCTTGTGGTGCAGTCTCCAAAATGCTGGTCTCGTAGCTGTTTTGGAGGAAAATGGGCCTGTTGTCGTTAACGTCCTGCACCTCCACAAAAACGGTGGCAGTGCCTGTCCTCCGGCTGCCTGCTGGGCCGTTGTCTGTGTGAGGACACATTCAGAAGCGCATTAAGCATAAACCCACACTGGTAAATTGAAGTTATGAGGATATCATCTATGTGTTAAATCGATCATTACTTTACTGTGTTCACATTGTACAGATGAGTTAAATGCAGAGTTCGTATATATCTTTCTTAGCCAAGTAAACTCAAAAGACTTCTTTTGTTATGATAATATTTGTATTCATATTGGAATACAATACAATCTATTGATCATTAAAGAAACAGCCGGATTTTCTTTTTCACAAAGTAACTGGAACATTGTTGGCTCATCAAAACTTAAGCAATTTCCATTTTCCTGTATATTAGAAAAATATGAGTAATTCTGCTTCTTTTTTTCACATTATCTCTAGTTCTTCCCCCCACGCTAGTGTCTGTGCGTCCTTGATTTGATGATTTGCCCTGCCTCAATGGTTTCCAGAGAAGGAAAAACTACTTCCTTTAACGGGAACTAAAGCAGTTGAGCAACTGTTTGAAAAGCCTGCAGTTCCCCCCAACATTTTACAGATAGAATCATTAAAATTTTTAAAAAATATGTAAAATGAAAGTACAGGTATCAAAAAAGAAAAGATGTAACATTTAGGATATACCTATAGCCTCAACAACCAGAGTATATGCTGCCTGGGTCTCTCTGTCTAGGCTGACTACTGTCTTCACAACTCCATCTCTGAAGCCCACGCTGAATTTACCATCCTGGTTGCCATCTAGAAACACAAAACATAAGACACCCTTCCAAATTAAACGACGGCACGTGAAGAAAAATGCACCAATAACCTGCAAACAAAAACACTTTTTTGTTACAAGAGGAATCCAAGTGAAGCTAACCACATGTGCATGCTTACACATATATGGATGGATGGAAGGTATTGGAGTTTCACAACACAGTACAGTCAATCCCATAGTTTTGCCTCCCGCTGTAACCTCTGACCTGTGATGAAGTAGCTAAGCTCGGCGTTAAGACCGGCATCATTGTCAGAGCAGCTGAGGCGCGCAACGACGTGGTCTCTGGGGACGCTCTCCTTCAGGGAAACATTGTATAGACGGGGGTTGAAGGTGGGCGTCTCGTCGTTTACATCCAGAACTGATGCATGAGCACAAAGACACAGACGAAAACCCATGAGGACACACGTTTGAAGCATGTGAGGACAGAAAAGGCAGCAGGCTGCTGTAACTTGAGGAGCATGGGTCTATCTCACTTCTTTCTTGCTGAGGACTACAGTTTCAGAATTTCTTCTGAGTCATCTGTTTAGTTTGGAATATTCCCACGGCACTGCTCTTCCATCACGTCCGAAGCATTCAAATAATACCATTTTTGTTCTCACATTACATCAGCAGGTGGTAGCATTTGTCTTAGACGTCAGTAGCTTACTATCTGTCGTGGCTAATTGGCTCTTCGTGGAGAAAAGGATCCAGTCACACAGCTTGATACATGCAGAGAGATCCTCGGGCATTCAAACCTAATCCTCTCACCTGTGATGGTGAGGGTTGAAGTAGAGGTACGCGGAAACTCCCCAGCATCAAACGCAACAATCCTTAAATGATACTGTCCCATTTGCTCTCGATCCAGGACAGCTGTGGAGGTTAGAACACCGGTGGAGGTGTTCAGGTAGAAGTCAAGGCGAGGCATACCCATTTGCAGTGCCATTGTAATCAACCCATTCTTGTCCTCATCTGGGTCCTCCACTTGGACCTAAAAAAGGATGAAAGTGGAGAATGAAACAGTGCAAGTGGCTGTTCTTACAAAAAAGATATTTTAACCATAGAGACATAAAAGCTCAAAATTGGTGAATTTTCATTTTTTTTCCGTTAAACAGTGAGCAATGAACATGTAGCTTTTTTGACAGTCATGCTTTGGAAACATTAAGACAGTCCTCTTTCAATTCACATTCATGATACATTAATCAACAAATCCATGCTACTCCTGCAGGTGCAGCAGCAAATAATAACCGATGAGATGAGACTGTCTTTTGCATTCGTTCAACAATAATGGTTGACCATGGATTTGCTTTTCACGTTAGCCTAAGTGTCATGTTTACCCTGAAAAATGAGGTACCGACGGACATCCCTTCTGGAACTTCAGCAACGAACGGTAGGTTGAGGAAAGTTGGGTCGTTGTCATTGAGGTCCAGCAAATTGACGAATACGGTGGTGCTGGCTGATGCTCGCTGTGGTGGCGTGCCACCTACAGAGGGTGCCAGAGGGATGCCAAAGGGGAAAACACTCATTTACACAAACATTTGCAGCGTACCTCTCGGTCACATTAGGTTATTTATCAAAACAGTCACAGACACGTTCGGTGATCAACGTGTAATTTAGGAGATACGCTTGAAAAAAAAAAGGAGATTTAAGCTTTGTAAGAAAAATGATGCCACAATCTAACTTGGCTCTGCGATGGCTCAGGTGTTTTTGCATTAAAAAAACATGGCACAGTGGCGTTACTGAACATGCATACACACACACTACTCACGGTCAACGGCTGAGATGATGATAGTCCTCATAAGTGTTGTGTCCCTCGAGTTTGAGCTTTCCCTGTCCAGAGTGACCCCACTGGTGCGGATCTTCCCCGTTCTGCCGTCAATCGTGTAAAACGGATTTTCTGGACTGATACTGTACACGACTGTCCCATTCTGGCCATTGTCAGGGTCATAAGCCAGCACCTGGAATGGGGTGGGAGAGAAAAAAATCACAGCAAATCGTAAATTTTACAGGGCGCTTTCCTTAACCAGAAGAAAAAAAAAAAACGTACGGCCTCGGGGACAGGAATGATTTATGACAGCGAGTGGGAGAAGAGGGGGAGAGTGGGGAAATGAAGCGGTGAAGGAACAGGAATTGCACAAATTGTAATAGTATTGATAATAAGAAAAGCTCCTTCCCAGCCCTGAAACTTTTCACATACAAGCCCTTCCAACTTATGTAATTAATCAGGCGGCTAAAAGAAAAATGGTAACAGCTTCCTTTTGACACAAAGTGGCGATGTTTGATGAATGCCTAAAGCCAGGGACCCAGCTTAAACACTGGCTGGTTTTTAAAGAGCTGATCAATTATTCAGTGTGCTGGTTAAAAATGCTGGAAACTGGTTAATTGGTCATTAGAGGAACAAAGGGATTTGTGGGTATTCAATTATTAAGAATACGTGTTAGGTAGGCATCTTGAAGTTCCACTGATTTGCAACTGCACCGACAAGGTAAGTGATATGAGTTGTAGAGAAGTACCTGGACCTTGTCCAGACACCTCTAATTAATTCTGGCCCAGGCAGGGCACATTAAAAGATAGTGAGCAAATATATTAGCTTAATATATTGAAGTGTGGTTCTGGTTTGGCTGAAGACTTTCAGCAAGGAAAAAGATGTTTTGAAATGAGACGCCTCAGGGATTCTCACTGTGTCTATATGTTTGTGTGTGTGTGTGTGTGTGTTTGCGTGTGTGTGGGAGCTCAATATAAGAGGCTGCAGCACTGATGCAAGGGTACTGGGAGTTTTAAGTGGGTTGATCCTTGTGCTGGCCACAGCAGCCAAATTCATCGGCTCACTGGACAACTCCAGGAGGACTCTGCAGGTGGCTTCTTGTCACCATGGAAACACGCGCTACAGCAGGGCTACACTGGGGCCAATTACAGAGCTGTAAGCCTGGGTGGTCAGATTCATTGAAAAATGGTCAGAGGGGCAACAGCATCTGTCCACTGAGCACACAGTTATATACAGTGTGCATCGCATCGCTGGATGCTCCATGAACAAAGTCTGTTCGGGGATAGCTACGGGAGCATGGACAAGTGGAACATGTGGCAACATTTTAGCAGAGAAAGGGATTTGGTTTTCATTTCTTTTGCATCTCGTCTTCTCCATTTCACTAGTTTACTCTGAAAGACAGATTTCTACTTCCTTTTCTGCCTGGCAGCTGAATAATTTGCAATGCATATGACTACGGGCTACATTTTAATTAGCAATCAGACTGCCTTAATTACACTCAGTGACGCCTCTTTAATTAATGGACTATCAAAGCTTAATTACCAAACAACACATTGCCAAAGACACCAGCAGGACAATGAGAGAGTTTTGGACCAATAGCAAAGTTTACTTTGTGATGACCTGAGCTGTAATGGATTTCTGTCTAGATTATTAAATGTGTATGCAGACACGTGACTCAGAGTGAACTCTTTTGGTACCAGGATGACTTCAATTATTTTAGACTGAGCAGAATTCTTTGCATTAAACACAATCTTGAACCTTAATCACTCGGCCTTTAATCAAAACATCTAATGAGTTGAATAAAAGTAAATAATCATAAAACCAGCCACTTCAAGATATATATGTTTTTACACACATCTGGGTACAAAAATCCAGATTTGTTCTCCATAGGTATTACTTATACTTTGTCTAAGGCAAAAATAACATTTTTTTTTCAATTCAAGAATTTGAATTACTTTTATTCTTTTTTTTTTTACTCCATCATATTTGTGATTATTCTCAGGTCAGGCTAGGTGCACTCACAGATATGACATCAGTGTTGATTGGACTCATCTCTACGACATTGGCATGGTATGGCTCATCTTGCCAGATGGGGGCATTGTCATTGATGTCCAGTATGGTGATGTTGACCTAAGTGGGAGACGAGAAACCGTTATTGCACCAATGCTGTATCCAGAACTTTTTTTAGTGCTAGGCACGTTAACTAATGCCTTGTAGTTACCCTATTTTTATTAGTGACTCTGAAAATAAGGCATTTCTAAGATCTGGAGTATTGTTACCGTGGCAATTCCAGTCTTCTGCTGTGGGCCGACTCCTCCATCCACAGCTCTGACTATCAGGATGTACTCTGACTTCTGCTCTCGGTCCAAAAGGGCTGTGGTGGTGATTTCTCCTAAAACACCCAGAGTATCACATTATTTGTAGAAAAAAACAACAACAACATTCAAGATCCCAACAAGATGGCTGGATTTTTCCCCCCATTACGATGTAGTTTATCGTTTTTGGATATACAGATGAGTGAAAATACCCAAACATGCAGATTAACGGAAACCACTTCATTGAAAAGGCCCGACGTCGAACAGTAATTTTCACCACGACTTAACAGCCAACAGGAAAAAGACAGATAAGAAAAAAACACACATAGATATACCTGAGCGCGAGTTCAGACGGAACTGAGAGGCACCCTCCAGGGAATAGATGAGGGAGGCCTGGCCAAACTCTCGTGAGGCGTCTAAATCAGTGGCATTCACCAGCAACACAGTTGCCCCTGTGGAAGAGAGGGGAGGCAGATGAGACAAAACATGCAACTCGCTGAGCTATAAAAGGGGAACTGTGATATCATGTAAAAGAGGGAAACAGTAAAGTGATAATCAAGCTGCAGAGACAGACTGGAATAGTTCACAGAGCTCATTTCTTTACCGCCTCCATCTACAGCGACACTGATGAGTGAGTGAGTGGGTTTATGGATTAGTGGATTATCAGCTTGTTTGGCAGAGCCCATTCTTGGCACACAGCTGATCAATACCCCGGCTGACAAGGGGATGATACCAGCTCGAGGCGGAGGGCTAGCCCTAAGCTCTGTCCTGCAGCTCCATCCTCGGGCCTCAAGCTCACGGCCAAATACTTTAGAAACAGACTCCTAAATCTTTGCCTTCATCCAAGCTGCTCATCTAAGTGCTCTTCTAAATGGGGAGGGAAAGATAAACATGACCGGCATCTGCTGGAGCTCAGAGAGAGAAAGGGGCGGTCAAATATCCCATTTCCTTCTAGCGATTAGAAAGTAATCTATTGTCTGGGAAGAAAGAGCCTGCTGAATGCATGCAAGAGAATGGATATAACAGCCAGTGATTTAACTTGAATAGTCAATATCCCACATTCTGACTGAGCATTTTAAAACATTATAGAAACAAAACAAATGACACAGAGCAGGTCAGAGGAAGGTAACAAAATAAAATATCAGAAACATACCCCCCAGGAGAGATTAGCTGTTTGTTGAATATGCTAATATAAAGACATTTCAAATAGATGATGGCCGTTACAGCTAAATATTGCGTGTCCGAGAGCTATACTGTTTGTGAAAATGATCATTCGTATTCTACAAAACTAAAATGTAACCCCACACACATGAAATGACTCACCAGCTATGATATTTTCTGGGATTTTGACAATGTAAGACTGCTTGCTGAACTCGGGTGGATTGTCATTTTCATCCTGGAGGAAGTATAAACACAAACAACAGCTCAAGTCAATGAATTAAACAATGAGAACATGTAAATTTGATTTAGAATAATAGTTGAAAAAGGGTTAAGGCTGTCATGGTGAATTAGTCCGAAGATTTACATATTTGGGAATTAAAAGACTATAAAACACAAAATGCTTTGCACTTCTATTTAACCGATTGTGGCTTTTAAGCTGGTTAAACCAAAAAAAAAAAAAACACAAAAAAAACTCAGGAAAGATTTTGTTTTGAGACCTCAAACAGAAAACTAAACCAATGTTGGCTTCTGTTTTTGTCATCAGTCAGAAACAGTTAAAACAATGACAAAAGTACTAACTGCAAAAGCAGTGAAACGAGTTTCGGACTAGATGTAATAACATACAACCTGAGACAGAAATGCCATGTTCACGACATCATCTATTTGAAAGGGTTGACTGGCAAGAATATCTGAGTGTAACATGAAGCAGTGTGTGATTTCAAATGAGCTCAATGGATACATTTCTCACAACCTCCCACTCACAAATAACACTGAATTTCACACCAACACATCCAGTTGTGTGGCTATTCAGAGAGAAGCTCCCCACTGCGTGAGCTGCTGAGAAATGTTAACACTTAAACAACAGTCACTGGTACCATTATCTATTTGGGCTCTGTGATACACTGGTGCAAAGCATTGTGTGAGTGTGATGCTGCCAGCAACTGATAAACCCCTGTGGTGCCAGTCCCAACACTGCAGAGGACCGAGACCGAGAATACTGAATAAGCACATCTAGCCCAGTTGCTTTTTGGCATTCTTTTACTCAGTATTTCTCCCTCACGTAGAATGTGTGTGTGTATATGTATGCATTTATATATTCATATATATTCTCACAGTCCTTGTATATCAAACAATATTCATCCATTCAGTCTTTCTTCTTTTCTTTCCTAAATAAAATGCCACATCTATAATGGATGTCTGTCGATGGAAAATAAACTGGATTGTGCATTAAGCTTAATTGTGACATTTTTAAGATATTTAGTGAAGGTAAAAAACAAAACAAAAACAAAAACAAAACAATAATACTTTCCTTTTAAATATTATACTCTAGCATTATATACTTCTGTTGGGTAAAAGACCTAACCTGATTTTTAGAAACCTTTTTAAAAAACAGTTTAAAACTAGAAATGCTAATGTTACTCAGTTTGAAAATAACTGAAACAATTAATTGGTCATTTTTGACACAAAATAACCTCAAAAGGTATTATTCTTTATGGCCCTTGCTTTGTTGTTGATAAAAGCTTACATACTTCTTCCATTGTTATATCTCTGTTCTGGCAGTTTGTCTTATTATTAAGTTCCACAGATTCCTATCTGTTCCCACAGAATTGCTTTAAATTAAACATTTGTGTGATCAGTCTTTGAATTTATTAAATCCCACGAGGACTTTGTTCGTCCATCACTCCCAGGTCTCCATGTGCTTCTGGACGTTAGCTGGCTGTACATGCAGGGCGTGCACAGCGGTGTGGTGAATAGCACTGTCACCTCGCAACAGGAGGGTTCAAATCCTGGCTGGGGGCTTGTCTGTTCTCCCTGTGTATGCGTAGGCCGTCTTTCCCCCACCCTCCAAAAACATCCATTGGAATTGGAGACGCTAAATTAAGTTGCGTTATGCGCATGGTGGTGTGTCTTGTTTGCCTCAATGTGAGGTACATCCTGTAAACAAGTTGTACCCAGCTGGGATGGGCAAATGGAGAGATGGAGTATGCATATACTTCAAATAACACAAAAAACCTAGACTGAGTCCATTTAAGGTGGGACCAAAAAGAAAATAGCTAACATGTATCACGTAACGACTGTCTTACGAGCATGTTAATAATTTGTGAAAAGGAAAACTAATCAAACCGCAAGGGCCAGAGCATCTTTTAAATACATGACGAAAAAACTAAAATATAACATCAGGCTTCAGGGAAACATTCAGGCTGAACCAAGCAGTATCTTGTAGAATTAAGACCAAGCACATTGTGCTGAGTGTGTTCTTTTTCCAAGTCTTTTATGTATCAAAACATATCTGATCCAGTTTAAGTGTGCCTTGACGGCTGGGGCTTTTTCCAGTCTTAAAAATGAGACATGTTGTGATAAGGGTGACAAAAGCAGCGAAACTCAAAGCTCAGATATGTGAACAGACTTTGATAAAAGTGCAAACAAAGCCTAAGTGACACACAGATCAAAAAGAACTCTGAATAATTCACAAGATAAGGAAGTATTGAAATCCAGTATGTCTATAACAGGCAAATTAAGTCATCTACTGTAAGTTTGATGACAAATGTCATGCAACTGACAAATATTCAAACAAATGAAAGACAGTTTGTCTTTATTCAGTACAAATGAGATCATACATTAGTGTGATTCTCTGTCAGATTTGGGAATAATCTCTGGAGAAATTGAGAGTGATTGAACGCTAGAGATTGCACTTTTCAATGAAAAGAGAATCTAATAGATTTCTGGGAATACACACTATATGATATATTTCATATATGAATTATAAAGAATCCCAGTTTGAAAGTTTTGCTAAAAAGACAACAACTTTGTCAACCTTAATTGGATTTTTTTTATGAATTTAGTTACCAACAAAGTAATTCTACAAATTTAAATATAAAGCTAAACTTTGGGCAAGTTACAACATGTGTGCTGTTTGGTATAAATAAACAACCTACTGGTTACCATTCTTAATGCTTTGTAGAATAAAGAAAAATCTCTTCAAATTCCAATATGCCATAGATGTATAATTTTCTCCCATGCCGTGTTGCACTTGCCGCTATTATATTTTCAAAAATGTTCCAGTGGTTGAATAAAATGAAAAATCACGGTAACAATCAGAAGCCCTACTGGTTATACAAACAGTGGGGGTCGCTCTCTGTTATGTAAGAGCTTCTGAAAGTTGCTTCATGCTTTGTTGTACAGAAAGTACACACCAAGACCTATTGAGAACAAAAGGTCGTCAGGTGGGAAAATGAACGCATAATTCTGAAATGTAAGAGGAACTTTATGTTGATGGGACTCCGGTGCCGACGACAAAGTGCGCTTTTAAAGCAAAGCCCTAGTTCTTGCTGGACCTCGCATTTGAGGGAGTGGCAGCAAAAGCCAAGCGGGCTGGTGTGTGTTGCCGTCATGTGTGTGTGCAGGGCTGTACTTACTATCACCTCCACCGTAATGGGGACTGTGCTGTTGAGTGCTGGGTTTCCCCCATCTTTAGCCATCACCGTCAAATAGATCATCCCGTTGGGAACCCTCTCATAGTCCAGGGGCCTGGCCACGCTTATCACTGGTTGAGAAACAAACAACTCATGCGAAATGTTCTGCAGATGAGGTGAAAAATGCTGATTTCATTCATTCATCTTTACACAAATTTCCTGTTAGCAAAAAAAAAACAAACAAGCTTACGAATGTGCAGAAAAAAGATAGTTTAATTTAAAATATCTTTATGCATCGGAGAATAGTTTAGCCTTCTTAAGGTGTAAGCACCTGCGTATCCTTCGACCATAACGATGCTGAAGTAATCGCGGAAGGCTGAGGCTGATGTGATGGTGTACGTCAAGACGTTGTTAGGAGGAGAGTCCTCATCAGTAGCCTGGGGGTAAAGAAATGCACGGAAGGGGAATAAACGTTTTTTAACATATGCCCGACTGATGTTCAAAAGCCCACAAAGGGAATACGTTTCTAAGTAGGTGTGCAAAGCGGCAGATGCTGCAGAATACACCGGCCCCATTTCTGTGTGCGTGGATGTGTGAGCCCTAAACATACCACTGGAGCCAGGAAGTTGTCAGTCAGTGTTGATGTGTTACTGGACAGACTTAAGCAGATTTTATTTTGCTATTAGTAGCGCAGGCGTCAATACTGGATGAACACCAACTGAGCCTCGACAAGCCAAACGGACAGAGGACAGATGAAACCGCACTTTGGTGGGCTAATCCACAACAGCATCAACAGCAGCCATGACAGCCTCTCATTATTCTTGAGATGGAAGAAAGTTAAACACGCATCCTCCGGCTGTGAAGAGAGTCTGCTGGGCCTCACTGGCATCATTACAGACTGGACAGGTTGTCAGAAACACTGGCTTGTATCTCTCCACAACAGGCATATCTCTACTCTTCGATTTAATGCCAGAGAAATTAGAAAGTTATGCATTTAACCTCCAACTGTGTAAGCTGTGGCTTTCTCTTTCACATCCAGCTCCTATATTAAATTCCAACAAATAGTTGTACATTAGACTATTGTTTTCCCGCCTAAAGGTAAGAAAAGTCTGGGGCAGCAAATCAAACAGATGTGTGGCAGTAGGATACGAAGTGCAGGAAAAATAAATACAGGTTTGGGAAGCATAAACCACGACGAGAGCAGCAGAAAAAACCTCTTCGCTTTGTTTCCCCAACACACCCTCCGCTTCCATCAGTTCAGTCCTCCCCCTTTTTCTTGGTTTTCCTTCAAGCCTATGAGTTTCCGGGCAAAATCGCTGACATACGAAATTGTGCGTCTGGCTTCACCCGTCCTCCTGGGTGGTGTATTAATATCAGCGGCGTTTAGGGTTAGCACAGGATAATCAGATGCGGCAAGCCAAGCGTTGACGCCAGTTTTCATGCTGTGCTATGTCAGTGCACCCCCCCCCCCCCCCCCCCCAAGGGCTCTGATAGTTTTTCTCTCAGAGTGCAATCAAAGCAAACAGCGAACCATTAGTTACCATTGTGCCCATGCACCTCTGCCTTCTGCCTGCCAGTGACTGATGGCCAGATCGTCGGCCATCAGCTGGACCCGCCTCCTTACTGGATGCAGGACGCACAAAAGCAGTATGGCAGGGTTATGGTAAAACCAAAAGGGCAGACTGGGGAGTCTGTGAGCCGGTGGGGCTCTCATGGTGTTGATACCGTTGCATGTAAATGAAACGCTACACTTTAGGCTTGTCAGTCTGAGTAGTTGTGAAACATCTGTTGTGCTGCCGCACTTCCACACCACGTCGATTTAGCTTTTAAGTTTTACTATTTAAAGGACACTTATCTTTCAAGCTGCTAAAATTTCCCGAGGCTTTGATCAAAAGACAAAAGGGATACTTTAGCGACTCCTTTAACCCTCCTTTAATTTACACCTCTATTTTGGCAGATGATTTTAAGGGTGCGAAGTGAATGAGTCAATTCCACTCCACCCCTTTCTCTTCCTCAGGGTGTGCATTTGTTAAAATCTGGCTCACGCCATACTCCATACTCCAGAGTAGATTATGATGGGATGAGACCCGCACCAAAACTGAGGGGAGAAATATCCCAACGGCAGTTTTAGTGTTCAACATCGAAATAACCGTTTGCAGCAGTTCACGGAAAGCTGGTAGGCTACCATTCCCTCTTTCAGGCAGACTTCTGTGATGAGTCAAGCATGAATTGGGATAAGTGCCAAAATGCTTAATGACTGTCACAGCCGCTGGCCAGTTCATAACACCGATGACAACTTGTTTCCATTATAGCCAATAATTCACCAATGCTCAACAACCAGTGCCAAACTGATGTTTCAATAAAAACACAAAAACTAAAAAAGGAAGACATCCGAATATCTAACTTTCTACAAGGAAACAAAAAAAATTCTAAAAAGAAGTAATAAGATATACATAATAAAAAAGCGCTGCTAAAGCACTATTAAATCATTATTTTATTTTTCATCATTAGGGGAACTATATAAATATGATGTTGATAGCAAAGCAAAAAGCAATGGAGTTCAATTTTCCACTTTCCTGAGGTACAGGGATGAAAAATCCTCTGAAGTTGAAGCTGGTTGGTGATGATAAAAAAAGGGGCTACATGATTTCTTATGTAAGTTTCCACTGCAGATCTTAACATCCAGCTTTCTAGCTTTTCTAAGAAGTGACAGATTTTTTATAAAATCCCAAATCACAATTCTGACCTCAGACACACAAACATATACTTTCAAGCACAAAACAAAAGCCGGTTTGTCCATAATATGTTGTCTTTGAAACAAGTGATGATCACAGGTGTAGTTAATGTGGGCATTTTGCAGCTCCTATAAAAAAGATGTTTGTAACTGCCACTTTTATGTAGTTTGTGGTCTGCAGCATTCATAAACAGCTCACCCTGATCCGAGCCACCGACTGGACTGTTTGTTCATTCTCCTGAAGCGAGCCCACGTAGGCCTCCTTTTGAAAGAGTGGCGCGTTGTCGTTCACATCCAGCACATTGACGCGGATCCTTCCAGTGGTCTCCTCTCCGCCGCCATCTCTCGCCAGGACGGTCAGCGTGAACCGACGCATTAATTCATAGTCGAGGCTGGCTTGCAGAATAACCCAGCCGGTTTCATCGTCCAGTGAAAACCTAAAAGAATGAAAAGGAAGGCAGATGTTTTTCATTTGCTTGTTGTTGAACTTTACATGTAAACTGGTTAGGGGTTTTTGTTATGCTCAAGGCTACACATTTACAACTTCAATAGGTGACAAAATGTTCAAAAAAAGATGCTCAGACAGTGCAGAAGAGAAAACAAATGCCAAGATTACCCTAAAAGCAGTCTTTGATACTTGGAAGTAAACTCCAAATATATAGTCTTTTTGTGGTGTGTTTTTGGAGCCTCGGAGAGCACAGATGTTTAAATTAGTACCAAACATTGTTGGAGCTCAGCTGTCTCTGGTGAGGCAAGGGGTGCCAGAAACAGTTCAGCCCAATTGTTAACAACGCTCCAAAAGTGTGAAAAATTAATGCGGCTGGTTGCTTATGTGGACTGTTAAATATGTGTAAATCAATGCGAGTAATCTTACTGGTCTGGCTCATCACTGAAGTAGTAACGCACAATTCCAAAAGTGCCAGCATCTCCGTCTGTAGCCTGCACAGAGGAAAAATAGAAAGTTAGTCTGAATATGAGCACTTCCTCATAAAATGCTACTTTTTGTTTCATGTCTGCAAATGCTTTTTCCATAATAGTTTGAATGTATAATGTGTAATTATTTTCTAAAATGCTAAAAAAACGAAAAAAAACTAATCCATGTCATATGATATATGAAATGTGCTTCGTGTTGTGTCTTCAAATGCCAGAAAAAATGCCTGAAGCGGTTAAAACATCAACAGTAACTTTGCCGGTACACATTCCGGCTTTGATACCTTCTTTAAAGCAGGGAATGCATTTTCCCATTTTCTTGACTATGTGATTTCCTTTGCATGCATTTGCGTCTGCATGAGCATGTGCTAGCGTGGTGGTATAACATCACCTGTCATGACAGTGTTTTGCTCCGTTTCTTAAATTTCTCACTCTTTCAGCTGTCTGTGGCTGTATGATAAAACATGAAAGCCATGCTTCACTCTCTGGAGGTGTTGATTGGATTAAGTCTGATGGGAGTGATACATTCTCCTCGCCCACATGACCCACCACTGCCTTAAAAGCGGCAACAACCGCTGTCACATGTTTGGCAGATAAAAGGGGTGTCAGAGAAAATACCATATAAGGAGCAACACTTTCAGGAGATCTCGTACTTCATGAAATGCAACATTAACACAATCCGTCTTTACAAACGCACACACGTACAAAGGGCACCGCAATGGTGCTGATGGATCTGGGCTGGAGAGGGGGCTGTAATAGAGTTTCACTTCAGTGACTCCGCAGTCACTTGAAGGGCCGAACTTGGACATTTGTGCAGACCCCTCTGTCAACCACAATGCCAGTCACTGTGACTCAGTGGAGCCGTTATATGACCGAGTACATTTCTCTGTATATGTGTGCAGGGTGTAGGCTTTTATGGATGTCTCCGGGAACTTTGTGAGGAACCGAGCGCCTGCCATGTCACGGTTGCGAAGCTCATCCTTTGGAGCCAAACATCAGATCGCGTTGGTTTGTTTTAAGGATCACGCGAGTGTTTTTAATGCGGTTCTGAATGTGTCTGCGAGTGCTTATCTGTAATTCCTCACACAGATGGAACAACTACTGCAGCCATAATGTGTAAACAGGACGTTAGGCTTTAAAGCCCACTTTCAGACAATGTTTACTGCCATGTCCTGGGTGGCGCATTGGCATTTTTATGTTACAAAAAGGGCCCTCATTTTGTCCACCAAACTGCCGAACAGGTTCTGGCTGGGACACTCAAGACACGATTTTTGAAAAACTTTGACTTGTCAAAGTTTCATCTGTTTTGTCTCCATGACCTCATCATGAAGTGCTTCTGTCTCCCCTTCCTTGTTTTGTCATTCCAGTCCATCCGTCCCCTTTCCTCTTCTCGCTCCATTATCTTTCCCTTTTCCACTCTGTATAAACCTCACTCGCTACTCTGCATCGGAGCTCTGCTTCCAACTCCACTGTCTCTTCTCTCCTTTACATATCTCCGTTTGCACACCCTTGCCCCTAAATGGCTCGCTCCCCTCTCTGCTCCCTGGTGAATGACAGGCCCATAAGTGCTCCAATGATAGCAGCAGGGGTGTTAGTGTGACAGCTATCGAGGCGGTGACAGGAGCTGAGCTCAGTCTGGGAGCTAATGCTGCCTCTGCCCCCACGGCCGGCACCCTCAACTTACAGCCAGAGTCAGACAGGGATCCAGAGATGGACAGAGAAAGAGAGAAATGGAGAAAGAAAGATGATAACCATCTCTACCCCCTACCCCATTCAATCACTGCCTGACCCATCCCCGCTCTCCCAACAAACAATCACCATGACAGCACGGCCCAGTCACTTTGCCAACTGCTTGCCAAAGACTTTTTGACTTCAAACACACAGGGCCTTCAGTTGATGGACGGCTAAGATACATACATGCAAGGATTTGCTGTAGATTCATACCATTTTCCCGAATCCATGACACCAAGGTATTATACGTTTACCCTTTATCACAAAAAAAATGTATACTCAGGGAGCTGGAGGTAATGGTTACATAGAAACGAAGCTAGCAGTTCATGATCACCGTTACAAATATTTTAACTGTGCTAGTGGCTCCATGATCCACACTTTGATATTAATCTGTTCTGTGCAATTATTGTCGAGACGCTAAAAGAAACAGCCTTACCACAGATGAATACCTAGCCCCGCTTTTTAGGGTGAAAATCTTCCCTGTGCCAGCGCAGAGCATTTAGGTACCAGTGAGTCAGCGATATGATCAAAATCCAAACTAAGTTGTTTCGAACTTTCTGCACAAACAGTCACAGTGCTGTTGATTGCCAATATAAACTCTGCAAACCCCAGGGTCCTCAGGCAGTAACTACAAAAGAGAAATTAGTTCTCAGTTGACCAGTTTGGTTAAATGATGTGTTTCTTCCCATCAGAGAGGTGAAGCCAGCAGGCAAACGCAGTTTTGTGTGTGTGTGTGTGTGTGTGTGTGTTTGCGAATGGTTGTACCTGTTTCTGACCATCTAAAAGGGATATACATAAACATGTGTGTGGCTTTTTGCAGGTTCCTTTAGTCTCTCATGAAAAATGCACCCAAACCATTTACAGTATCAACATTACTGTTGTTGAATGAAATATTCTTTAAAACACTGCCTTCATGAAAATGAAAATTAAAGTTTCTCTGCTAATACACATGTATGTGTGCAAACTAGACTTAGAATGAAGAGGGGGCTGCAGCAGATTATCATCCCGACTATCTCATGGACTGCGAGAGGTTAAAGCGGCACGGGCTTCTATCTTGAGTGGGCAGGAATTTGAATTGATTGACTCCTAAAATAGCTTTTTCCTGCAGGAGCTCTGAGAGGAAAGGAGAAGGAAACCAATTACTGGCTGTCAAAGCATGCTGTCAAAATAGAGATGACCCCAAGTCCAAACACAGACAACCTCTTCTGTCTCAGTGTTGCACACCTAAACACAACTATAACATAACAACAGATAACAAACGGACTCACACACGCACACGGTGAAGATGTCCAGTTCCTGACAGTCGCTACGATGGAGACAATGATAAAGGCTTGATTGTCAGGTTATCTTCCCCAGCCCTGGTTTGCTTTTCTCACATCAGCTTATTTAAAGGCTCTTTATTTCACTCTCATACATTCAATCTTCACAAATGCCATACAAGAGCGGGACAGAGAACAATCGGTTTCAACCAAGAAACCCTTCATGCTGTGGATATTCATATTGTGGTTTATCCCACATTATTCCCATTATCAACACCATTAATGAGCATTGCTCAACGCAAATGCCGCCTGCTGACAAGATTAAAATGCTCGTTTCTATTATCTCCTGACCGACCAGATTACAGTGAGTGAGAGCAAACCAGAGAGATACACAAGTTCGAAACTTTTTTAACAATGACTGAAAAAAAGTGTCAAGGATGTCTTCAGTGCCTTGACGCTTGCAAGATAAATTCCACTTCACATTATCCCAACTACGAGCAAACCAAGGAGATGTAGTTGAGATAGAGTCCTCTGCTTTGTGGGAAGAGGCTGTAGACAGAGGAAAAGCTTAATGCAGAGCTTTCTGTAGCTGGCAGCTTCCCTTTCGCCGGCAGGCCTTGGTCCTCCCCCTCTTTTTTCTGCTTCAGGCCTCAATGACGAGGGAATAAGATTAGCAAGAGGAGAAAGCGGAGGGTGTAAAAGATGGGGGAAAGTAAAGAGGACACTAGAGACACTGAATGTAAGGCAGAGCACAAAGCAACAATCTGTGGCTTAACATGATGTCCTTTGGTTCATTTGTTAATGCTTGGTGGGCTTATTCATGTGCACTAAAGTACGGAAATACTTGGGATATTTCAAAGGAATGCACAATGTACTGATTTAACAATGTAGGTAAACAAACAGAAGCTTTGATAGTATCTCTGGTGTCTGTCTGTGGTAATTTATTTACCACTTGGTCCCTGGACACTCCCTCTGAGGGCCTGAACTACACAGCAAAATTAAGTAAGTTAAAAGTTTGGATCGCCAAAGGGTTTAGAACTTTTCAAAAAACTTTTTAGAATCAATTTATCGATAAACACAGTGAATACACCTCATCCAGTTTTGATTGAGGCTTTAAATGATAAATAATTGAGTGTTTCTGCTTTGAGCGAGTGGTGCGTGCGGAGGCTTCTGTCGGATGGCTGTGCATTGTGTCCTGTGGTTCTGAGAAGGATCCATCACTTGTGTGTCACTTCTGGCTCCAAAACCCAAGACAGTGATGACCAAAGGACAAACTCGAAGCTTGGAAAGAATGGCACTATTGCCTCTTTGGAGAATTCTGTCAGTCAACGCCCGTCACAACTCGTGGCTAGCATCAGCTCATCCTCCCTCCTGTGCATCTATTCACGTTCGTTTTACAATCTTGCCACCCATGACGAGAGCCTCATAATTAACAGAAGCTCAAATGTTCCACCACCAGGAAGAGAGAGTCAGGCCTCACCCCCTTTATTACAATAATGAATTATCATCACTACTGTGACTATTACCCCGTACACGGCTGTCTAAGAAGTGGCAGCATGAAAACATCCTCTACTTTGTAATTAGAACCTTCAGCTGGAGGCATTTATCACTGTCCACTTCACACTCGGAGCATCTCCACAGGGCCTGTGCTAAACCTGACACGGGATAGGTGAAAAGTCCTGACCCGAGAACAATGCTGGATCTGAATGGTTCATAGACGTCAAGGCAACACATGAAAATAAAGGTAGACATTGGTATTGTGTGGCAACCCCTTTAGCGGTATACAGAGTGTGACATCCCAGAATATAAAGGCAAGGGGACATGAGATAAACCTCTGAAATATCTGAAAACCATTAGAAAAGTAATGATGAAACTGTAAATGAAAGCTGGAGTTTACAATGAATAAGAAATGAAAGCGGGCAGATCCCCTGAACCAAAGGAGTCCAAATCAGAAATATTCACTGATACAGGCTGCTGCTTGGTGTCTCAAGTCCCCAGGGTATGGAGGATGAGTAAGAAAGAGTGTGAAAAGGACCCAGACAAAAGACTAAATCACAATAAATATTTATCATGATAAGTAATGCTGCAGGCCATAAATATTAAAGAGCCCCTGCACTGTGTGTGTGTGTAGGTTCCGGTTATATTTACCTTATTAGGACATTTTCTGGTGTATTTCACCGATTTTGTTGGGACCAGTTGTTGAAAGCCCGGTCCTGCGTCTATGTGTTAAGATTATCATTAAGCATATACTGCTTTATAAGGGTTAAGGTTAGCATAAGGTTTTGGACAGTATGAAAACAATGAATGAATCACTATGATTTATAAAAACAATAGGTGCATAGGTCTGTGTGCGTGTGTGTGTTTTAGTGTGTGTATGGATGTCACTGTGGTCTGGAATGTTACCACAATGATCCCACCTGAATGCACAGGTTTTGTACTGAGCAAATGTAAAGCCTTTTGAAAATATAATCCAGACCCAATCCGTTGTTCAGAAGTGACACTGCCAACACATTTTTCATTTTTCACTTTCACAGACAACGGTGTACAAGGCACATAAAAAAAAATCTAGCTTAAGAAACTTTTATCAGTCTCACAGTTGCTGTCATTGTCGTATGGGCATTTAGTCAGTGTGTTTTCAAAGCAAAATAAGTGCGTTACCCATCCCACTCTGGTTTATAGGAAGGCTCTTTCTGCAGGCCAATCTGGGTTTATTGCCAAAGGAGTTAACATACAGAGTTTTTGCCTCAGTATTTCATCCAGTTAAGGAGGAGTGGAGACTAAAGGTTAGGTGGATAGAGCAGCTGCCATCAGGATGTCTGGTCAGCAGTTTGGATCCCAGTCATACCAAAGATTAATACACTTGCTTGTGAGAGCTGTTTGTCTTGCAAAAAAGCCTTACAGAATGAATCTCTCAAATAATAACTACATTCTTACATAATGAAATCTAGCTGTTTAGCAGATTCTCATCTCCATGTTTTTTGGCCCTGTGTTTGAAATTAAGATCAGGATCGATGAGAAGGATTGGGCTCATCGTGTAATTAGCGGTGACCATTTCTCCCAGCGTTCATTTTCGGCACGGAGCAGTGCATTACAATGGCTTTTCTCACTCTCAGACAGGAAACTGTTGAACTGAGTGATAAAGAGAAAGGTGGCAATGAAATCCGACAATGACAATGGGACGTGCAATCCGATATTACAGGAGAGACGCATTCACCAATGGAGCAGACATGTGTGACAGCCAAATGTCGCCTTGGTGTATAGGGCCCCTTGTGAATGTAAAGGCATTCTGCCACCTATACGGATGAGGGCTCATGATACTAGAAGCATTGCTGTGTCCTGGGCCTGGTGCCACATATTTGTACAAGCTGGATGATACGCAGGCAGCACTGGCAACATCAAGCCCTGGTTAGCATCTAGCTTTGGATTACCGATGTCCGTGGCTTTAGGGCCATTGTGTTATCTGGGAATGAGCTACGTCTCCTGTAGTGAAAAACAGAGTGAGGTCAGAAAAAGAATGGTGGGTTATTTGGGTTAATCCCTCTTTTTTTCAGATAACCCAGTTCTTTTTACCAGCTTGTCTTTGAGCACAGCTTTGAATCTCTGGGGAATTGAAAGACTCCAGAGGAGTTCAGGGGATGTATAAACGCTGAGCGCAGTACCGATTCTTGTCATGTCAAAACTGATAACTAAACATTACAACACTGTAGCTCAGGGGGAGATTGCCATAGGGATTGTGAAACAACTTCTTGAGATTAACAGGCATGCCAGAATAAGCCATAAATGAGACAGGTACCCAAAATAATCATAATATGAAAACGTAGCAAATACAAACAAATAAGAAACATAGTTATATGGAGCTGTAATGAAACAACAGACTCATAAATGTCAGTTAAGTACAGCAGTGAAATTGGAAACATTGCTGGCATCCTCAAGCATTTATTTAGTCACAGTGAATGCTTCAAAATGACTTACAATTGATAAACAATATAATTTGACCTTAATGTTAAAGGTAGCAGACAAGAGGGGTTATTGTTTTAGCCGGTGCTGCATATGAGTATTGTAAAAAGCTTTTAAATGGGGAAATAGAAATAGTAGTATTTCTAAATTTCATGACTTGATACCGAAACGTTTGTGATCCATGAAAAGAACAGTTAGTATTTATTTGAGGGAAAATAGTCCTTTTATCATTCTTACAATCCTTCTTATGCCTGAAAAATATGAAGCAGAGGCGTAGCAGCTCATGGATTTATTGCCTTTCTCAGTCTGTCCCCACTGTGGATGTATTATCAACCCTATATGGAAACAATAACCCTTTCTAAATAAATACCTCATTATTCACACAAACACATGTCAGGCAGCCACAGCTTGTTTGATCAGACAGCAGCGTATAAACAAGTCATTTTCATAGGATTACTGCCATTGTAACCTTTAAATTATGATAAACCAACAAAGGTAAACAAGTCTCTGCAAACAGTACTGAAAACCAAACTGCACGTATGAAATTGTTAATTTTATAAATAAGCTAATAAAGAGGTGGACTACAATGGTCAACAGCTTTGTGGTTCTAATTGGCAGGTGATGACCTTGTCTGTGCTCATGGAATCTGTTTGGTTTGCATGTAAATAGTATATGCCAGCATAAATTCTACTGGGTATTCATACATCACTTGCAGAGAACATTACAATTTTGCCTTATTGACATGTCAAAAAACGTATGAAAACTGAAAAGAGCGCAAAACTGAGAGCTTGCACTGTTAAATCGAAACACAGGACAAGTTAACACTTTCTGAAATCAAGAAGTCTGTCAATAGGTTCTTTTATAATGTCAAAAGTTGAGTTTAGACTCCACAAATCAAAACTTTCCTTAAAAAATATCCCAAACATGGTTACATTATACGCAGCTAAGGGAGGTGAAAACCCATACACATACCTTCAATGGAAGGTAAGAGGGTTGGAAGCAAATTAAACCTTTGCTTCCCTCCAAACAAACAGACACTACTGTGACAGGCAGTCCATAAATCAGAAAATCCCAAAACAAAGCACAACGAGACAGACTAGAAACTCTGCAAACAATGATGACAAACCGGCACAAACAAAGGGAACAAAGAAGCTTAAATATTGACAAGGGTAATATACTAATGAAAATCAGGTGCAAGGCAATTAGGCCATTAACGCGGGAACAAACAGAAGGTAAAGAGGGGAAACTGACAGAAACGCAAAATCAAACAGGGAATTACATCATTTGAGAGCAGAGGACACCAAAACCAAACAAAACCTGTGTGAATGATAAATGTGTAAAACAAAGAAAAAACCAAAAGATATCAACAGAACCCAACCTAACAAATAAAGAAACCAAAAGACAGCAGTAACATCAACACAAGCACCTATAAACTGTGATAATTACAGACAGTAAAGCACCACCATTGTCTAAACTATAACAATAAAACCATTTCAAGTGAATAAAAATACTTTATGAAACAAACTCTGCCACACAGGGGAGCTAAAAAAAACACTGACATACTAAAACTGCATCCTGCTGCAACAGAGAAGCCAGAGTCCCCCATAACCAAATCTGAAATACAAAAAGCTACAGTATATCACCAAAGAAAACCGGGTCATCACTTGGCAATGACTGTGACAGTTACGTTTATTTTTTTTAAAATGAAAACACATTGCACATTCTGCCAAATTGCTGTTGCAGAGTAGGAATGAAAATTTTCATTATCATTTGACAACACTTTTCTCAGAACGCAGAACAAAGTGACAGTCATTAATAAAGTTATATCTGCCTTTGTTTTTGATGATTCCTATCAATACGGCTCAAGTAGCTCTTGAAATGTTCAATTGTAAATATTCCTGCCAATATTCCATAACGATAAAAACCTAAGTTTTAAAAAGCATCAAGATTTTTAGAAAAACATTGAAATGAACAAAGAGATGTTGAAATAAAACATTGATAAATAAGTCTTATTTTACACAACCTAAAGGCAAAAATTCAAATATGGAATGTAAAATGAAGAAAGTTATTCAGGGAACTCGTTATGAAATATGACAATACGTCTTTTTTTTCCTCAGGTATAATCACTGTGACATGTTTGATCTCCTGCATGCTATATAACAGCTCCCCCTGAGAGCCATCACATATCGGTTTACACTCCGTTCACTCTCCACAGACAGCAATAAGGAGTCCAGGGTGGGTCACACACTCAAGCATGAGGCCAACATCGGCTAGACGTATTGGGAATTAAGCCCTGCAATCTCCATTTCATGAGCGCCCAGTCTATAAACGCTATTGATTTTCACACTTTTGCTTTTTTGGCACTTGTATCTTGTGGACTGTGTCACAGAAGAGACTGGTAATGAATAATAATGCAGAGTTATGCACAGAGAGTCTGCAGTGGATAGAGCAGTGGTTTTGCAGAAACTTTGCAGACACTGAAAGTGAGCATGAGCACCTCAGAGAACACTGAGGTAAGACATAAAGGAAGTTTTTGCCAGGAGTTTGTTTCCAATCTGGATAAATCTGCGTGTGCTGTGCTTCACTTTTCTAACAAATTATATTTAAGCGTAGAAAATAATTTTATGCAACTATTATCCACTGGAGAAGGCTAAAGACCACAGGATCACTAGTACTAAACGCTGCAAGACAGATTTTATTCCCAATAAAAACTGCCTTGTAAAAGTTACGACTGCTGTTTATTGTAATCTGTTTGGATTCCAGTTAAGTCTCTCCAAGTATAAATCACCAGAAACGACTCAGAGTAATGTATCACATTCTCAGCTGTGTGAACGTCGCAAAGCAAGTAGCAGAGAAACTCACCAGGATCCGCAGCAGGGATGTGCCGGGGGGGGTGCTCTCAGGAAGACTGATGTTGTACAGCGGTCGGCTGAAGATGGGCCGGTTATCATTCTCATTGATTAGCTCAATGAAAACACGGGCAAATCCCACATGGTCAGACATGGACTCATTAGCATATAGCTGAAAAACATACGACAAAGAGTCTTAAAAGGCACTAATGCTCATAAATAGACTATGTTGATCAATTTTCATAATCAGAATGCATTACTGTATGAAACAACTGGAGACTGGGGAGTTTGGATCGTCTAGGGTACCTTTTCATTCTGTAAACAACTCAAATACAAACTGAGGTGCCAAAATATTCATTTTGCTCTTGAAATGTACCTGCTGTGCCACAAAAGTGAGCTAACCTTAGCAAAACCAAGCCTGTGGCGTGGAAAAATAAAAACTACAGATAAAAAACAAGGGATATACAACAGTTTAGTACCGAACAAAGGAAAACCTGGAGGATACGCTGAAGACGCAGATAACAAAGCGAGATCTGGTGAATGGATGGTATGAAACAAGAGTGGAAGTAAACTCAACAGCATGCCCAGTAAAGAAAGACAAGAAATGGACAGGAATGAACTAGATTAAGCAACCAGTAATGACATTTAAGATGATAAACCAAAACACAGAAACAAATGGGCACGGCACTCACAGAGAAGCTGTAGCTGCGAATGTTTTCAAAGTCGAGTGGCTTAGCCACCCTCATCCGTATGTCGGCACGGCCTTGTACCGCCGTGGGGGAGATGGTGAAGAACTCCGAGTTGTTTCCTGTCAGAAAAACCTGGAACATACTGTTGACCCCCTGCCACAAAAAGCAGAAAGAAAGAAAAAGTTGGGGTCAAAATCAGGGTCGTATGGGGACTTACTGACAAACAAATGCTAAACATAAAGTTTTTCACTACATACACACAAACTACAAAAACATAGATTCACACAAATGTAAAAAATAATGTTAGTAAAAACCTGTAATCCTAAAAACCCTGATACATCTAACTTATTGATGTTTTACAGTAAAAGAGCAATAAATACTCCTCAAATAGGGTGACTGACATTAAGATAATAAAGACATTTGAACACAATCTTATATCATGCTTTTTAGAATTAATATTAAAATAAAAAAATCTAATTTCTTAACAGCAGGCAAACGCATTTTTAAGACTTCTGATCCACATCCCACCTCGTGGTAATGCGAGTTTTTGTCAACCACCACAAATACACTGTTCAAGAAGTCACTGTGTTCTGTTAATCCCTGAGTTTACGAATGCCGAGGGCATGCAACCGATAATTTAGGCTGCACCCATCCTTTCTCCAAAACGTGTTATTCCTGTTAGGATGCGACAAAAGTCTCGGAGGCAGCAAATTACATCTACAATCTGGAGCAATTCTCCAAAGGTGAAGAGGGGATGAAAAAGCAAGCAAAGGAGATGGATTTTAAATAGTGAAATTCTCTAATCCTGCACAAAAAGACAGACTTCACAGTAATATAGTCAAACTTACCTGTTATGCATACACATTATATAGTTAGTCATTCATAATATGAATGTAAAAACCATCAAAATGTTCATTAAGGCATATGAAAACGTATGTCTCACATTATATTTGAATGCAACTGAGTAAATCCACACTGACTATCCAGAGAACTGCAAAAAACAAAGTTGGACCAAATGATCACCGAGCTGCTGACAACTTTTAAAAGCATGTACTTTAATCATTATATTGTGCATGGGAGAAAAAGACACTTGACGTGATCCCCGGTGACAACCATGACTATCTATTTCAGTACAGATCCATGTTTCTCCGTTTGGGTTCCAGCTCGCTACGGCATAACTTGCCAAAACGATATTTACGATTATGCATTATGTGAATGTGGAAGCTATTTTAGAAATACTATGCCAAGCACTACTGGTGTCCTGTGCGTAATGCGCGCGTTATTGTCTTGTTTGTGGTTCGATGAGAATCTGACTATCCTCAGAAAGAAGACTCTTCCCTGGTAACTCTAAAAAGAAAGCGAGGGTGTGACGTCACACCCCAGAAGTAGCTGTGGCTGTCTTGTGGTAAGAAGACGTCTACAAAAAGGGCCCTGTGTTGAAATATAAAGCTTGGGGCGACCAATCATGCGGCCATTACGGGAGACAGAGGAAGACGGGTGGAGTGGTCAATTGGCATTATGCTGACAGTTGAAATAGCCCGTTGTTTTTGTTTTCATCCCTGGGAAAACCATTGTGGCTGATGACTCCTGTTTAAAAGACCATCCAATATGCAGGGGATGTCACCTTAAACTGCCCATAAATGTAATTGCCCCTCCATTTGCTTCTGCCTTTCCAAGCCCCCAATAAAAGCATTCCTGTCAGATGTGACTGCCACAAAGTTCAGTGACAAGTTCCAGCAGCAAAAGTTTTAGAGATGCCAGTCGAGCAGAAGAGCTCGTGGAGGGAGACAGAGAGAGAGAAAGAGAGAGAGAAAGAGAGTAAGAGAGGGGCAACTCTCACTTGAGTCACAGTGCTTGTAATCCCTTACACATGGAAAAAGTAAGATTACAGCACCGGTGTAGTGGAGTGTGAATGAGTGTGTGCATATTGGAAATGACACGCAGGTTTAAAGGATCATAACAGCAATAGAAAACTGCGGGACCAAATAAAATTTAAAAATTAGAAAAGGCTTCAACTCCTTAGAGGTGATTTACATGTGGCTGTATTTGTACGTAAATCAAAAACTCACCCGTCTGTTACCTGATTTGGAGGAGTCTCCTTCTAAAGATTCTCCCGGTGCATGTAAATGGCTGCCATTCTCTCTATTTCTTCCTGCTTCACTAATTATTCAGAATTAGGGTTTTGCTCCATAGCAGGCAACTCCCACCAGGTCGCCAGTCCATCGTGGACCCTCAATTCAATCATATCTTAATATTTTCTAAGTTATTGGTCTCGTCTATCCTCCTTCTTACTTTGTCTCTCTGGCTTTGCTCTCCACTTATTTCTCTATCCACTTCACTTGCAGTTATCTGTCAAATTCCACCCCGGTGGCTGCTGTGCCTGAATCAATCAGAGTTGACTAGCTTTCGGCTTATCTGCACCCTAAGTGATTGATTTTCCTTGTTAGGTATAATTTGATGCTCTATCCCATCTCTTCCAGAGCAAATTAAATTGTAGTCAAGTCCAATGTGCTGGTGTGACTGGGCATGTGCGTGATGAGGGAGAAAGAAACTCAGAGAAGACAGATTGGTGGAGCACAGGTGAAATGTTTACTTAGGAGCATGAGCATTTATGTCAGCACAGCAGGTTGATAAAGCTAACAGGAAGACAGGGATGCATGAGGAGGTAACGGTCAGGAGTTTGGACACATTTTCCCCAGTGCTCTGAACGAGTGGATGAGTCCAAACGTTTCACTGCTAGTGTGGGTGGGAGTTACAAAATGACAGACAGTCCACGCTTTAGGAATGCTGCCAGGCAAAAGATTCAAAGTGAAGGCTTAGATTTTTTTTTTGGCTACAAACAAGAAAAAGAATCTTGAAAATACAAAATACACAAATTCATATGTGGCTGGCCGCCAAGGACTGTAAAAAATAGGATTAATTTCACTAACAATGCTGGAAATCCCAATAATATATTTTGTCCTCCTTTTTCATTGGAATAGTGTTATGAACGGCTCCGGTGAAAATGCAGCTATTTATTTATTTGCTTTTTTTTTTTTTTACTCTTATGAGCTGTGTCACCCTGAAGCTACAGTTCAGTAAAATCTTTTTTCTATCCAACTTGTGAGAAAAACATTGCAGAGTATAGATGCAGGACAAGTGCCACAAGGGACTGGAAAAACGCTACATTTACTATGAAGAGATAACAAAAAGTCACAGAACAGCTAGAAAAAAAACAACTAAACTGGGAAAACAAAATACTAAAGGTACAAAATAGCAAAGGACCTAGGGACAAGAGCTAAAAGAAACACTGGAAAAAGCCGACTGCTCAAGTGTTAAGTGTGAGGTAAATTTTTCCATGCCTGAACTTGTTTGTGATAGCTTTTTCCATCCTGCTTCATACACATTTACTCTTTCTGGACAAATCCAATTAAGACCTCAAGCTAGTCTACTTCCAAATTTGTATAAAAAATGACACTGGTACTCGATAGTCTCAATACATCTACTTGACCAGCAAGAGGAAAAAAAATAGCTCATGTGGAAAGTAAGACCCTTCTGTTAAAAAGTTGATTTTTTTTTGGCAACATTTGAATTTATTTTAAACCATTTCTGATCTTTTCACTCTCTTGGCCTCCTGCGCTGTAAACCGTTAGACTGTCTTTTTCCTGTCGGATGCGGTGATGTAGGGTTAGGTTTAAAATATTGGTTGGTCAATATTGCATTTATTTGTACATGTTCAAATGTTGTTGAGGGAAAAAGCAGGACTTATTCATTTATGTTTCCCCATGTACTGCAATATAAATAGTCATTTAAGTAATTTAACACTATAATTATGTAACTGCATACAGTGATGTGAAAAAGCCAGAGAAAGGTTTAAAAAACAGATCCATCCTAATCCATCAAGTCAAACTAGAAGAACTCAATGAACGTGCCAGTTCTGAGGATGTGATTCACTCACCTCGTCCTTGTCTTCTGCCTGGATAAAAAGCGGCAAGGCAAAGCCCACTTGTGCTAGTTCAGTGATAAGGACTCGATATTCCGAGCTGTTGAACTTTGGGGCGTTGTCATTCTTGTCTATTAACAGGATGGTGAAGGTGGTCATCACAGTTGCATCTGATGGACTGCGGTCATCTTTCAACTCAGTGGCCTTCAAAAGGGAAACGGAGGGAAGTGACAAAAGTATAAAGAGAGACACGAGACATATTAGATTGGACAGAAAATGTAATTCTGAATGGAAGCCGCCTGCACACAATCTCACAAGATATTAACACCTGTTCATTCATTGGATCAAAAGGTGGACAGATGGCCTCAAAGCAATCTTAGAAATTGCCTCAAAGAGAGGCCAGGAGTGGACCTGCACATCCACGTCTGCACAGGCACCCAATTTTACTTTAGGAGAAAGAACTTGAGATGACACAATTACACACTCGATTGAGAATGTGAGTTCTATGAAATAAATAATTTGAGAAAAAAATATGTATGGTGAGTGTTGCTGTTTATTGATGAAGGAGTGTCACAAGCAATGGGAAAGCAGGCAGAAACAGCATGATGGGCTCTTAGCAATCTGTGTAGCTTAGGCTCTTTTGTCCCTTCACTCCAGAATCATTTGACCTCCACCTCCACATGCTCAGGAATATCTAGACTGCCTGAAGTTGAGAAATTAGTTTTATTACTGTGGCACACCACAATCAATAGCAACGTCAGCTAAGAAAACACAAGCAGAGAGAAAAAGGGAAATTTAGTCGGAAAAATCCATATCTAATAAATACATTTTTGGACCGCATTTTCTCTTTTTCAGCAGTTTTCCTTATGCCTTTCCCATGTTTTTTTAATTATTGATTTCAATTATAAAGAAAGAAAAAGGCCGGTATATTTTAGCCAAAATAATTTTAGTTCTTAACCAAATCGCTAGCTATATTTGGATAAACTTTTACTAAAAATATCACTCACAATTATTCTAATAATTGAGTCTATTAATGATTTCAAGTGATGCCATTAGACCACATCAAATGTTGACAATCAGGCCATTAAAGCATAACATCAACAACGTTAAATGGCAGTTACACTGAAAATAATTCCTCCTTTTCTTGCACTTGGAAAGCCAACTCTAAACACCCTTCATCACTCTGTAGGAAGCAACTGAGTGGGAGTCCTAATTAAATTTAATTAATCATTTCATTTCAAGTAAGTAAAAGGGAAAAAGTGAAGGAATGAACAAAGTGTGAGAGGTGCTGGGGGTGAAGGGGGAGGTGACACACTAAAAAGCCGAGGGATAGTTAGTTTTTTTTGTGAAAAGACAATGCAGGCTGTTCACTGAGCACAATCCCTCGCAATGACAGACATGAATTTGTCTGGGCCACAGTTTCTTGAGATGAATGCTGACAAAACCTCTACCTTGACTGCACCCGTATTGCTGTTAGTGGTCAGTGGCATATGAAGCTTGATATTCTACTTGAAGTATGACTTTTGAGACTATGTGAGGCCAAGACACTGCACTGACTGTATGCATTCCTCAAAGGCCTCATCTGATCCAGCAGAGAAATCAAAAAGAAAAACTTTTGATTTTTCCCATCTCCCGGCTGCCTCCTATTCTATAGCCTACCTTCACGGTGAGAGTGAATCCGGCTGAATAGAGTGGGTTCTCTCTGTCCAGCTGGCCATTCACTGTCAGGGAGCCACTGATGTAGTCGAGGGCAAAAACACTGTTGGTGTTTCCTGGAGGGATGACAAAAAGAAGCACAAAAAAGTCAGATGGGCAAACAAAACTGGCTTTGTGGATAATTCAACATGACTCCAAGGATGATACAAAGAGCCACTGGAGGGGAAGATGGTGTATGAGTCATGTGCAGGACTCCATTTCATGCAATATGGATGCAGTTTGTGCTGTGTTGTCTTTTATCTCTCTTCCAGCCTTGGGCTGATCAGCCACCTCCAACCTGTTCACAAACATCTGTTTGTTGTTCAGCTGCTGTTATTGTACTGTTGTTTCAGGCCTCTTTTCACAACTTTAATACTTTGTCACCCACCCTCCACCCTCAAAACACATTTTTTTGGCTCAGCTGTAATCCCTTTAATTGATGGCATTGCTGACAATTCTAAAGTATATCAAAGCAGAAAACAAAACAAAAAAAGCCCCCCCAAAAGACCGGACACTAGTATTTCATACATATTGGGACAAATGAGTTTTTTAAAAACAGAGGGCCTGTTATTTGACTCAAGCATTTGCATGCTGCAATAGGTTCACATGATAGAAACATGGATAGAAAGAGCATATGACACATATTTGTAATAGACTTAAAGGAAATACTATAATCTAATCATCTAATTTTGGGTATATTTAGATGTATTTTCTAAATATGAGAGGTTTCGCCAGGAATAGCTCAAATTGTAATGCGGCACGTGTGTGTGCATGCAGCTCTGATTTCTTCATTGTCAGTACACCCCCCATTTCTGGAGCTGCATCACTCTGCATGGGGTGATGGATTGCATTGACTGTCATAGTCTACACACTGCAGAGAGGAGCATTTCACATTTGAAATGCTGCACTGGCCTCATTACCGAGCTCAAGAGCGGCTGGTGCTCTATACCTGCTCCAATTAAACAGGTTAAAATATAACTGTAAAGCCCACTTGAGTCCTCTCTTCATCTTTTCTTTTTCTCCAATGTGTTTTTCAGATTACCTCCGCCTGTTAACTCTCTCTGCTGTCTTACACTCTTCTCTGACATGCTCTCTGAGACATTTCAAAGCTGTTGTTGGCTTAATCAAACCCAGCAGATGGAGACAGCAAACAAAAAAACACAATGTGTCTTACACCTCTTCACCTTTACATGTAGCAGTCCTCTCAAGGCACCAAATGCCATCTCAGGTTAACCGTAATTGTTGTTATATGGGAGACCTGAGGAGGCCTCAGGGTCATTTTAGACAAGGGCAGTGAGAATGTCACCAGAGCAATATTTTCAGTTGAAGGCACACCAGACAATGAGAGGACTGTGCTGACAAACTAATTTGCAAGGGGTTGCAAATTAATTTGCTCCGTTCCTTTTTAACATGACTCGTTTCTAACGTGACCACAAAACATCCTCTTCTGCCCTACAACAGGATGACTAATAATACTAGAGAAGATAAATGATGCAGATAAAACGCCATTTAATTCCTGAAAAATACTTCGATGATATATGACCACTGCACACAGTTGTGCACATAGATGATATCTGCTATCCAAATGTTTGTATTATCCCAAAAAGTTTACTAAACCTTAGCTAGGACAAACTATGGCATCACCCCCTTTGGGCATTTATCACCTCTTGCCATTAAGAGATAGTTTAAGCATACAACAAAGTTAGAGGTTAGGAGGAATTATTCTATCTATTGAGTATCTAAGGCTTCTGTGGAGGACGTTCTCTCTTTAAAAATCTCACTGATGCATGTGGTAAATAAGAAGTTTAGAAACCAAATCTGACATCCCTCCAAAAAGTAAGTGCATGCCTCTGAATCCACAAGGGCATTTCATGTTCCTTTAAGTAGGCCAAACGGTGACCCTTGAACTTCACTTTGATGGAAAACGAACAACTCTCTTTATAATAAAAGCTGAGGTCTAGACTCCACAGAATCACGTTCTGATGGCGAGTCTATGGCGTACAACGGCTGGGGGTCAACAGATTAACTTTTGTCTGTGTTCCGCACTCCCCACTCACTGCTCTATTATTGTCCTGTACCTACTCTGGAATGAGAGAAGGGCAGCTAGAGCAAAAAGTGAACAGAGGAGGGGAGGCAGACCAGCCAACAGAGCAGAGCCTTTGGGTAATTAGCCTGAACTGAGGCCAAAAGCGGAAAAATGGCTGCAGAGGGCACAAAGGCTACAGTTGATTACATCCAGCTTACATAATCTATTTAATTGTGGATCTGAAGAAAAATGAGCCTGCAAATTTTGAATAACTTTCTCATTACTCATTGGTCCAATGTGATCAAACCAATGATGTGTAAATGCTGACGAGAAAATATATCAAGACCTTCAGCTGAGGAGAGCAAAGGCTCATAAATGAGCTTCAAAACTGGAAGACAAAATGTATTTGATACTTGATCTACTACCAGCGTATACAAGGAAGATTCTAAAAAACTTGACAACTATATTTGTGGATGAAGGTGGATTCCAACCACTATATCCTCATGGGGTGGAGGCTTTAATTTGGCATAAAACCAATGACATCGAATGGAGTGTTAGCCTCAGTGACCAGCGGGGATTCAGTACAAACATCTCACCGGATTAGATCGATTGGCCCTCTAAGCAAACAAGCGATCCCAGATGAGGAGGCTTGACTGTGCTTTTGTTCAAGGCATTTCCTAATTCTAACGAAAGGCTGTACATCACTTCATCCCATTCCAGAGTCACGTCATCGATTAACAGGGAGACGAACCACCTCATTCCCATACAGTGTACAGAGTATTTGGGGCTCAAATTAAACTCTCTCTTCTATTGTGTCACTCCGTCAGAGAGGAGGATCAGCTCCTTCATCCAATGCATTGCACAATTTCAACCGGGAACAGTCGTGGTGAGTGATGTTTGCCCCCTTGCTGGGGGTGGTTGCATTGAGAGTCAATCGGACGACAGATGCTTTCCTAAGCCGATGGCGTGTGACCATGATGGGCCGAGTAATAAATGTAGGCTAGTGACAGAGGATGGCTTGGGCTGACATACACCTGTAGGAACTGCCAGCAGTGTTTTAACCCTGAAACTTTATCTCCCTTTCTGCTGAAGACAGACAACTGTAGAGCAGTAGCCTATATCAACCATCAAGGCGGCAGTCGTTCCCTTAAGCTGCACAGGCTAGCCAAAGAAATTGTTTTAAGGTACAGCACAAAGTTCTTATCTGCTCTAGCGACTCACATACCAGGGACTCTGAACAGGGGAGCAGATCTGTCGTCTAGCTGGAACCCATTATACAATGAATGGAAACTTCCTCAGCGAGTAGTGGAACAGATCTGGCAGCGATATGGCCAGGCTGCCATAGATCAGGGGAGCAGGGTCTGTCGTTGAGCCTCGTAGCTCCTTCATGGTCATCCGAGCACTGGGTGGCAGATAATTCAGATGCTGTCAGAGTAGGCCTGCCCCCCTCCCATTGGCAGGGACTCTCTGTCTCAGGAAAATTTCACCATCCCATGCAGATTGCATGGCGCTCTGGGCCTGACCTCTGAGAAGTGGTATTGGAATGCTGCTGGCCTTCCGGCCGAGCTCACTGACACAATTTAGAATGCAAGATCGTCATCTGCATGGTCTCTAAATGGCAGGTACTTGAGGAGTGGAGTGAATAAAAGGCAGTTTCAGCGTACAGTTGTGGATGTGCTCCATGTCCTGTGGAACTTACTTGGGGGGGAAAAAAGAAAAAGCTCATGGCTCAATTAAGGCTTATCTGTTAGCATTTTTTGGCCTGTCATGTGGGGGCAACCTTTCATGAAGGGTGCAAATGTCTCCAGGCCTATTGTACCATTAAGGGATCTACTTGTAGTGTTAGAAGCCCTTTAACCACATCCTTCTCAGCCCATTGACGCAGTGGAAATGAAGTTTCTTCTGCTTTAGGGAGCATTGCTTTTGCTGACCGCAAACAGGTGAGTTAGCCTTCTTTATTCAGTGCTCTTGTTTAAAGCGTGTTCTCTCATACATATCCCTTCTTACATGGGCCTGGTAAGAAATCTGTCTAGAATGAGCAGGCAGGGATGGGTATCAATATGAGGGGGCGGAGCCCTGAGTGCAGCTTTAGTTTCCGTAGTTGGTCACACTAAGGCGATTCCCCGTAGTTTAACACCTCACTTTGTTATCAAAGAGGCAGGGATTAGATTAAGTAACCTGACAATTTCACTGGTGCTCTTTTCATTCCTTTTTCTCTTTTAATGGATTGAGTGCAGAGAGCATGCACTACAGAAACTCGATGAGAGAAACACATGATCAATAGAACCGGATCTTCCCCTTAAAACATGGCAAATTAAATAATTTGGATCATAATCATTTAGCAAACAGTCACATTCAAGATCGAGGTTATTAGCGTGTCTATGTAAGACTACTATTTTAAACGAAGACACGTAACATCCATCTAAATGATATCGCATCTAACTGATACGATAAGACACTAAGGTAATGGTAACAGTTGCCTCTAAATAGCTTTGTCAGCTTCAGTTCCCTAACTGGAACGTCAATTTACTTAAACAGCCATCCTTTACCCAGATGACTGTACAATCCCCAGGCTAAGCACACACACTGGAAATGTGAACAATTCCAGCAGACTGATATTCCCACCGTCTGTATACATGCGTTAAAAGGCTGTCTGCAGAGTCAAGCTCGACCTAAGAGATGGGAAGAAATTAAACTGAATGATTCACTGGTCTCAATGGAAGGGGAAATAGAATCATCTTCTAATTGCTGATAGAAAGTGCTCTCCAGTGATCTGCCAGGACACTGTGATTGGACCCTCAGGGCTTAAAATTGCCTCAGACAAGAGTTGTACTCAGATTCGGCACAAATAAGTGAGCACCTTCCATCCGCATTCCATTTTCATACTTATTGGCTCAGCTTTTGTTTTTCAGTTTTCCGTGTGTGCTAGTGTGGAGATATTTCAGTCCTTAGATTCTATGAAAGAAGACTGTGAGATTGTGTGTGTGCCTTTTGTGCTAACGGGCTGAGTTTGATTCTATGAATGTCAGACTCCAGGGGATTAGCCATGCTCTCACATTACCAACAGTACTGGACTGGAAAATGAGAAAACATGGCATGATTTTGTCTAGTGCGGACAAACTGCAAAATCCAATGCAAACACTCTCACACCCACACACACACCAAAAGTAATACCCACAAGCACACCCATACATAAACAGCTATTATTTTCTTTAAATGTCATAGAGGCAGGATGGCTTCAAAAGCTTTTGCTACCTTTCAAAGATAAAAACCACACTAATAAGCTGCCATTATTGAAGAAGCTCAGCAATAAAGAACACCAACAAAACAGGGTGTGGATTTCATATAATCTATCGACAAACAAGTTTAGGCAGGGCTTATCTAATTATGAATTAACAACAAAATAGTCGAGAGGGAAAAAACACAAAGATTTGAAACTGGAGCAAGTGCACGTTTGAATAGGAAAAGTGGACAGTGGGGGTCCATTATGTGTGGATGGTCCAAAAGAACAAAGGAAATTTCAAACTGACGAGTTCAATAGGCCAAATGACATGTTGGTGACATTCACCTCGTCCAGGCAGTGAGCTTCCCAGGATAGCGACAACAGGAGTTGTACAAGTGTAATCGCCATGACTAAGCTAGTGACAACTGTTTTCTCTAGTTTGTGACAACACCATGGGGGCGCTGGAACGTTCTTGTTATGTGATATGGCGTGTGGCCAGGGCTCAGAGACCCGGGGCTAAGATTTAGTGTACTTTTCGAAATGTGCACAAATTAGTGTCACTTTTAAGGATTACGCCCTCAGGCAAATCATGTTAATGATGAGATTTTTGTTGTTTAAAAGCCACACACTCTTTAACATCTAAGCGAAACACCGCCTGAACGACACTTACATGGTTGTGCACTTGTTCATCAGCGCACTGACACACGCCCCTCGGTGTGCGTCAACTATCACAGCATACGTGTGTTTTTGTGTACGCTATGTGGAGTGATGACAGCCCTGAGGGTGTCTCACCACCGGCAATGGGCTGCATTTCATGAATACTAAACTAAATCAATCAAAAGTTCTTCTTCAAATATCTTCGAGGACAAAAAAAAAAAAAAAACACTGTAAGGCAGAGCCTGCTAGATGAAAGGCGCTTGCTTTTGTGTCCCAAGATCACGCTAGATGCTGCAGCTGGCTGAACGCACTTCAACCGTAATTGAAGAAGTCCCAAAGCCCGAAGTGTGGAAAAGCGAGAACAGTGAGGAAGAGCAAAACACTGCCATTACCAAGTACTTTTCGCTTCCCTCATTAGAGATGTCTGTCAGAAGCGCACACACCGCCTTTACATTGAATTTGAATGGCAACATTGACAAGATACTGGATTTCCTTACATTACGTTACTCCAATCTTCAATATGTTCGTGACAGTCAAAATCCCAGCATGAATTTCCCCTTCCAATGTGTCTCTGGGAAGGCAGCAGATTGTACTTACTGAGTAAAATTAATAGAGACCTCCTGCTGTGGGACAAGATGCCACAACTGTCTTCTGTCACAAGTGCCCGTTTGGACAGTTTAAGCCAGTTGCCACTAAACACGGGCCTCTTACACCCAGTTCTAAGCATAGTCAGAGATTTGTTTTGTTAGGTTCAGGTTCCAAAGAAGTTGGGCTATAAGGTTAAACAGAGGAGGAAAAAACAAATGGCAGAGCTGATAAACACAAGGTGAGGGGAGCACACTCAAACATTCGGAATTTCAAACTAATTATTTCAAACACGAAAAGGAATGTTACACAATGATGAACACCAGCAAACAAAAGACAAAACAAAAACAAGAATACAGTACATATAATTGTTATGAACAAGCGAGTAAGAACTCACCACAGCAAAACAGAAGAAAGACGTAGAACTGATTTGTATTTTTCACAGACACCACATCTAGAATCAGGCAAAATCGAATTCTGGAGCTGTTGCGATGCCAAAAACCTCCCAAAACCCCAAAACTCCTTAAGCCAAAACTCTATCCGGTATACTTACACGTATACCACTTAAACATACAAATGTGCGGGTGAGTGTGTGTGTGTAAAATAACAGCTGGTTGGCAGACAGCAGGACAGAAGACGTGTTTGACATGTAAATGCACGTCTTCAGTATCAGTGTAACAGTTGTTAAAGACTGAAGACTCCCCCACATCCAAAAGATAAATCCAAATCCTTTTTGGGGAAATTCCTTCTGGAAGAGATGTGCTAAAATCTACTGCATGCAGTCGTTTGTATGCTGCAAAAAACAAAACCCAAACTATTCTGTTTGAGAGAAATAATGACCAGTAAAGCTGATTAAGATCAAAAAGGGAAAACATAATCTTTTTTTAATTGATGCTTTTATCATTGTTGGTTTCAGTTGTGAGTGAGTCCTAGATTTCACTCAGTGTGGGGACTCGTCGGGAAAGCTGGAGTGAGCGGTGCAGGGGGATTATCCATGCAGATTTAACTGAGACAAATACACACAAACAAATTCCACCGCAGTAAAAAGGAAGGGCCGCACGTCTGATATAAAAGTATTCATGGCGTGGTGTGAAGAGTTGGGGCTTGGAGGGTATCATAAGAAAGAGAGACCTGGGTTTGGCTGTGATAGGACTCGGTTTGTTGGACTCCACTTGATACCATGAAACTTTGGTTTTTGTTGTGACTGCTGTTCCGGAGACACTCGCTCTTCTCTCAGAGATTACATAGCAACACGTGGCTGAGTGCCCTAGAGCGTCTAATTGAAAACTCAAGGAAATCCCACTGACGCCATGGTGACAATAAGGGTTCGCGACCGAATTACAGGTATTAGATTTATCCATATTACAGCACTGTCGTCTGATACCGGTTAGGTAGTCAGAGCAGGGAATCGAAGCATCGGGGTGTAGCAGCACAGAAGGATAAAGGTTTTTGTAGAAAGGCAGACAAGAGCAAATAATCGCCTTTACTACTTATCACCCTGTCCAGGCAGGAAATGGTGTCTCCACACCTGTGTGACCTCTTTGCGGTGAGAGGGCGCAAAGGCATTGTAAGTCTTCCCCTTCAAGACACACAACATCGAGCAACAATGCAGCGGGTGCTCTTGAGAAGTCGGCCGGTGGCACACAAAGCACCATCCAGGTGCCTCAGACAAAGAGAGGAAGCCAGCGGATACCAGCGGCCACACCGAGTGGACAAGGTGCAGCATGTGGTGTTTTGCTCTGGAGCCTCGAAAAACTTCAAAGTAATTCCGAATGAAGTCATCGTTCTGACAAATCAAATCGCTTTCATGCCGCAGATCTCCACGAGGATGCGATGCAGTTAGAAGGGGGAAAAAATCATCCAAAAAGGAAAGAAAGGGGTAGAGGTGGAAGAAGCGAGCTTAGAATGGGATTAGTTGTGCCTGTTTGTTCCAAAAAACGAGATGGGCCCGAGACACACACAGATAAACAAAGGACTGATATGAGCAGCTTAAGGGATGTCCTTCTACTCTATGAAATGGTAGGCTGACTTTTATTCTGCTTACTCTCACTCTATCATTACAGTTTGTGTAGCCCCACGGCGCACAGGCTACACTAACTTTACACAAGCTTAACTCCTATCCTAATGCACGGCAATACTTTTGAACGCAACAAGCTGGACCTGTCCAGACCTCGCAAATCATGAGCCAAGCAGACAGATTTTTATGAGTGGCGAGGTTTAAATCTAGTGGGTGCTTAAAGACTTTCCAAGTCGTCCCTTTCACGACCCACAACGCTGAACACGGTTCAACACCCTCCTGAAGCAACAATGTACAAGCTGCTCTAGAAGCCAGTGGATGCCTGTGACCTGTATACACGGTACAGCGTGTGGCCTAAAAGAGAAAATATGCAAATGGGGCATATTCATCACAGAACCAGTAGAGGGTGAAGCCTACCGTTTGTCTGGGAGTTGTCTTTGCATTAGCTGATGTGCATTTTCCCTGATTTATATTAGCATATTTAAGCGAAATATTAATGGGGTGTCCATTTCCATTGGTGAGTGAAAATATTAGGGGAGACCAGGTTTCTGTACATGCAAACAGCTTCACAATAGCTGAGATTCAGAAATGAAGACTATATAGGCTTTAGAAATCATGAAACAAATACTTCTTTCTTGTGCAAATAAACTTTTTTAAATTTAAGTCATACAGAGGGCATTGTCTGGCCACTAGGAAAAAGAACAGCAAGCTGATGAAATAAAGGTTTCCTTTTTATTTAGACTTTGTCTTAACTCGGCGATACAGCCTCTGTTGTCTTGTATGAAATAACTGGGGTCGGCTTCAGGTCAGGCAGGTGTAAGAGTAGAACTCTTATGAGAAAAGGTAATTTAATTCCCACAACAGTAACTGGAGTCATAGTAGCCCTTGGAAGATGAGTAAGCACATAGATATTTGATTCCCTCAAGACATGGTTACCTCTCCAAAGAGTTGGCTCACCACCTGGTGAATTCCTCTGTTCTTCTGAGTGTGCCAGTTATCAGCATGAGCCCAGAACAATTGAAATATTTCAAACAGGATTATTACAGAAATTACCATGGACTGTAGTAAGAATAAATCGTAAACACTATTTTGTCAAAATAAAATTGACAATGTTTTTTTTATGACAAAGGGAATATCTGATCTTGGTTGAGGAAAAGTTCCGGTGTCTTTTTATTCTAAGGGACTCAGATCAGCATATTAAATTCCTTTACAGTCTGAACATTTAGTTGAATATTATAAAACATCTAATTGAAATGGCTCTTGTCAGAGCACCGCCATAATTTTCATCTCCACAAAACGGATTTGTCAGTGGCAGCTTTCCCAGAGCAATAGGATCATACGGAAATACAAATACTTTAATCGCAGAGGTTTCACAGGAGCCGTTTAAACTGAGTACATTGTGTCGGATATCAAAAGCATACAGATGTTATGGCTAAAGAATTGGACGGAAAAACAAAATATATAGCTAAATATATATATTTATATATATATATATCCTATTCAAATATAGAAATTGAATAGGTAAAATTAAAAAAATATCAGTTTAGAACTGTTTTGACATTGTAGTTTATTCCAATGAAAGGGCAGGCAGAAGAAGACAAAAATTTGACGCAGTAGTTAAAGCCTCTGAGGAGCAACAATCCTGTTTGTTAGTGTTTGTAAACGACTTTCACATGAAAGCAATAAAAACTCAATTTCCATTATTAGCCGCGTTAATAGTGCATTCTGGGACTAAAATCCCAATCCTGGGGCCTAATTGTGGGCCATCGTAAAAGTGTTCGATGAATAAATGTGACCACGGGGTCAGAGGTAAAACAAGGATTAAATCAGACTGCAGAAGAGGGGTTCACCATCAGGACATTCCCTCTAAATCTTCACAATAACAAATAACAAATGGCGGCGACATCGGAGGCAAAGTGCTGCTGCTATATCTTGTACACATCAATTCCCAGATCAAGTGCCTGATTGGAGGAGGGAGAGGAAATCCTCATCGTTGGGTCCCACCATCATTAGTGTGGATCACAGCTGCAATTAAACCCTCATTTATCTTAATTACCGAACTAATGAGACGAGTCCCGCAGGAGCGAGCGGCGCTCCCTCTGAGGACACTCGGGGCGAGGAGCGGGAACGCAAGAGGGGCGTCACGCAGAGCCGCACTTAAGACTGCAAACAAGCACACTCTCAAATGAGTCAGATAAGAGCGGAACACGTGAGCCTGAGCATGAGGGAGGCATGTGCACAACTATCCACACGCAGAGCGAGACATGCACACGGACGTAGAGAAAATGCAGCATCTGAAAAACCTCACCCTCCCGCCACCTTTATCTCTGCTCCTGCATCAACCCCGCGACTCCCATTATCTATCAGATTTATAATGATTTCATCAAGCTCATTGGCTCAATCTCCAATGCAGTACTATAACTCTTGATTTTGCAACAACTGGGAATACAAAGCAGCAGCTAATTAATGTCTTTTTAATGCTTTTCTCCTCTAGAGCTTAACTCAGCCATTCAACTTTTCGACAAAAACAACACACACAACAATGTAGCATTTGACAGTGGATGGTAAGTAAGACTGAGGAGGTGCGAGCAGAGAGATTGCAGTGAGCTCAGAGAAGAAGAGGGCTGAGCGATGGACTCTGTTCTGGGTTTGCAGCAGCCAAGGACACACACGAATTAAGACCAACGTGCGCAAATAATTCATGACTGAGCTCCTGGTCGCGCACACGCACGACCATGGGGTCAAATTCCTTCGTTCGGGTGTGAGGTCGCGGAGTGTCTGAGCAGATGGCAGAACAATGGATATCTTCATCACGCAAAATTCCCATGGTGCGACAGGTTTATCGAGTAGTGCCAGCCCCGATCAGCCAGCTGGCAATTCTGTAAGTACCTGTGTCCCCGCATCCTGGCCATTCTGGGCCTGACAGGGGGCAAGCAGAGTTTAAAGGATACCGTTTACAGGGGACTCTAATCCTATCAATGAGTGTTTATTTTCACCGCTGAGATAAGAGATGCAGTCCGGAAAAGGGCTTTGAGGAACCGGCTGTCATTCAGGATTGAAAAAAGAAAATGTGGATAAACGCCCTAAAGACACATTACAGTGGTGCTACTGCAGTTCACAGACCACAAATTCCAAAAGTGGTCATGTATTATTACTTAAAAGAAATGTAAACCATGCAAGGACGGCAGCTTAAAGACATTCATTATAATCACCTGTGGGTTAATGGCTTAAATGTGTGAAAACAACACATGATTTCACGTTCTATTTGTAATTTGACTTGAATAACCACTCACTTTCCCTGGTATGATGCATTATTTTAGGTCCATCACTGCATCTGAAACCTTCATCTCCTTTTCAGCTATTTCTATCATGAAAAGTAGGGAACCACATGCACGGCCTGACTCGTTTAACTCTAATTTTTCCGAATATCTTAAAGAGCAGAGACACAGGCCGGGCTCTGTCGCACCATTAAGGCAGAGGGATGTAGCATGTTACCAGTCAGACACCTTCTTTTTCAGGGAAAGCCACTAAGATAGAAGACAAAACGGAAAAACAAGTAGCAGGTCCTGGTGCTAAACTATCTTGCCTGCAGTACGGAGCTGTAATCCACTGAAAACATTAAGCGACCTCTTCAATGAAAAGTGCACCCGGTGTTCTTTAATGTTCAAAAGCTGTATCCTCCGAGTTCCTCAGTTTAGATGGGGCCACCCACACAAACTCAAAATGAGAATCGCAGTACAGCAAACCAGGTTATTCCTTAATGGAGACACAGTTTAATGCTCCTGGAACAGCGTGAGAGGAAGGAGTTAATGCTGAACGCCAATTCTAAACACGCGTAACTTGTCTGCCACCACCTTTACGGAGTCAAACAGCATTGTGGAGCACACATACATGGCTTTCAAAAGTTTTGAGTTTAATTGACCTCTTCATCCTTTGAATCTACTATATAGCGTTAATCCACGTTTGGCTTTTTTTTTTTTAGGTTGTGTCAGTAGTTCACAGTAAGGCTTAATAACAGAATATTTGACTAATGCTCTCATGCTCATTTTCAAGCTCCTTCCATCTAAAGTCAGTCTGTCCACAAACTTTCAAGGAAATCTGTTTGTGGATGTTTGTGATATCGTCCTGGCAAAAAGACAGCTAGACAGACAAAGTAACTAGCAGGCATAAATATTTCCTTGGCAGAGGTACGAATACCGAGTTCAGGAGTATGAAAGCAGGATCACTGCAGCAGCCCTTATCAGCATCATGCAAACTGTATTGCCATCCTCTTTAAAGTATAAACTCCAGTAGAATATCAATGAAACTTGGGGCATTTCTGAAAGGAGCTCAATATAGCGGTCATCAGCTCTGACACCATTTCAGTACTTTTCATACAGAATGTTTTTGTGATATATATTGCAAACATGATTAAAAAAATAGGTGAAAAAAACAACAAAAAAACAATTGAAACATTAAAAGTAAGTCTCAGAAAATCCTTGGATTGCCGTTTCCAGCCGAAGGTAAGAATTTGTCACTGTGACAAATCATAATCCTGTTTTGATGGCATAAGCCGACTTTAGAATGATGATACTGAACGAAGGCTGACTTCTGCACAACTGAACCAAAGCTGTGATTAATAACCGCTTACAGACAAGCCTATCCTCCAATTCTGCGCTCTGCTCGCGGTCGTTATTGACTGTTGTGCTTGATGAGTCTTGTCTATTATTGCTGCAGAATTATGATAAGAGGTGATCGATTCCCCACTCTGTACTGTGAGAGTCAGATTGATTATAAGACTCAGACCTGAGATGATGGTGTAGCCGATTCCTCTCGGTCGGCCAAGGTCCTGGTCAATGGCTGTTATCTTCCGCACTTCATATCCCTGCAGACACACACACAACACAAAGTGTATAAGCTCTGGCAAATCTTTACAGTCAATTTTTTAGGGTTTTGTTTTTTGTTCTTCTGGAGTGGTTCCTATACAAGGACAAAGAGGTGGTGTCACAGCGTAATAACATAAGTCGTGAAACACGGAACAAACAAATAAAAAGAAAAAAACAATTATCCTTTTTTTTTTTTTAAATGAAATGAAACACAAAATAATTTCACTTGATTTTTTTTTTTAAATTCTCTTCTGTATTACGGGACAAGAGAAAAAAGTTCAAACGCAAGAGAAGGCGAACCCATCATGGTTGTCAAAAGGCTTTTTTTTCTCTTTAGGTCTGTTTGCTGAATATCATTGCTGTTTATTTCTCTCTTCATTGTCTCAAAGCCCTCCAGCTGTGCCAATGAGTCTGCTACTTGACAAAATCACAGTATGACAGCTTAAAAACAAAAAAAAACAGAAAGAGAGCTATTTGAAAAGTCTTTGATCTACTGTGCTTTCTGTCTTCGTGCCTCAATCAGACACGGTGGTGATGCTTAAAAACTCCTGTGCTGCAGTCAGACATCTTCCCTACTTCCTTCCTTCTCTTGTCCTCCTTCCTTATCCCTCTCACTTACGGCGAAGCGGGCCGCTTCCCATTGATCCTGTAAATTGTGTCGAAGACGTGTTTATGCTCCATTTCTGCCAAAGCATCTCCTGTCATTGACCAATTACCGTGGAATCAATTACAAGCCTTTTAAAGAGACCGATTCACACCATTCAGCAGCTGGTGGGGGGTGGGGGTGAGGGGGGGGACCACTCCCACAAACACAAGCTGACGAAAAATGTGAAGAAATGGAAGGAACGGAAAAAAACAGAGTATGGGGAACTGATGCTGAAGTAACATGAGCAATATTCTCGAGCTGTCCACACAAGTGGAATATGTTCAATCAGCCATCAAAGACACAATCCCTTCCCTCTGGCAAACAGCCACACACACAAGCAGAGAAACACACATGCCAGCCCAAGTCTCTCCGCCCCGTCTTCATACTTTCATTTCTGGCTGTACAGAACATCACCCACCAACCCATTCTCCTTCTCTCTCCTTCTCATTGATTTGACAGCCAAATTGTGTGTTTGTCCTAAAAGAGGCTTAACGTCAGTGCAAGCACGGATCCACAGCCATAACTGTTAAAAACCCAGACCTGTGATTTTAGCTGGAAAAAAAAAAATGCTTTTTTCCCTCCCCTACACCTTTCCCAAACCTGTTCCTGGATGACAAGTTGATTGGCCCGAGAGTATGAAAAAGAGAAAAACAAAGAGACTGAAATTTAACAGGCTCTCAGAGGAAACGGAGGGGATTTGTGCGAGTGTGCGCACTGACACCTTTGAGTTATGACCCATGACTGGGATCCATGTTTGTACCCTTATGTGTTAATGTCATTGGGCCTCACGGCGGTTGACACTCATTCTATCACTGAACGCCCTCGGCTTAACATCGAGAGGCACTGCAAAATGGAAATGACACACGCCTGTTAGAAAGCAACACGAGGTCATTAGAGGTGTTTAAGTGTGTGAGTGCAGAGGTACTGCTGGCCATTATGCCCCTCTCTCTGTGGCTGTATTCCTGCTTCCGCTGCGGGGTCAAACGGCTCAGACTCCGGTTGTGCGTTTGCTGCCACTTTCTCCATTGTGTCCGTAAAAGGATTACACACTGCCCCCTACTGCTGGAGGCAGGCACACTCACCGCACTGCCGAGTATCAGTGGTACTCAGCTGACGTGAGAAAACTGCAGTCACCAACTCACTTACGTCTACTTTGCCTTTCTGATCAGCGGCACTTTATCTGCTCTTGATTTCATCACCCCACTTTACACACTTCTCACAACCTCACAACCCGTCCTCCTCGTCATGCCTTTCCCTCGGTTGTGACCTTCCTAGTGACGGCGGGTGAATCAGAGTCAGGAAGACACGGGGTTCCAACTCCATTGTGCCCTGTAATATGCATGCAAATGTAACACTTGACATTTCTACTACGGTACGTTCAGACCGAAGACAAGGGAAAAGCAAGTGGTTGGGAGGCTGATTTGGCTAAGAGACTAAGGCACAGGCAGAATGAAACGGAACGAGAGAAGCAGAAATAAGGACCAACGGTATTATGCCCCTGTGTATAATTCCTTCTCTGCAAGAGGAAACATCAATAGTTGGACCATTAGCCACCTGGGTACCCAGTTAAGGGACTGAGTTGAGCGAATGAGCATTATGGTGAGCAGGGAGCCGGGCCCTTAGTAAATTAGACAACCATTACAAACCTACTTGCAATAAAGGGGGAGAACGGTGAGGTCACGGTGATACCCCACCGCTCGGTACTTCACGCAGTTTACAGACTTTACACTAAGCATAAATCCTATATCTCCAGTGACCTTTGCTGGAGGCCTAACGTCCCCTTTGGCAGTGACCGTAAATCTAGGACAATAATTAATCTGCAATGCCTCACTTGTTGTGTGGAGGGATCCCGAGCAGAGCGGGGCTGTGTGGGGGACGGCTGATGTCAGCCTTGGAGGAAGAGAGCATCTTATCTAGAGTTCTTATACACCCTGTCAGCACAGCTCCTTAACAGTTAACCCTTCATAAGGTAGTGAAACAAGTGAAAGGAGTTGGACTACATGCTTCCACTGTGGGGCTGTGCTGCTGTTGGCATTTCGTTACTGACCTGGGGAACATCCTCTTCTATGTTGGTACTGTAGGGTAGATTGGTGAAGATAGGGTCCATATCTTGGACATCAGTGATAGTGATAGCCAAGTTGGCAAGCCTGGAGAGAGGTCTCACTTTGTCTTGATCCTGACAGAAACAAAAACACAAGCACATACGCATATGAGTGGGAAATGGTTTGAGTGATGGCATATCTGAGAGGCGTGGTCTGGGTACTGACCGTGGCGTTCACAGTGAGCTGGTAGGCTGAGGTCCTCTCATAGTCGAGAGGTCTAATGACAGTGACAGTGCCTCGTGCCCCATCAATAGCAAAGAAGGGAGAAGGCGGCTGGAAAGAGAAGAGAACACTGCCACCAGTGCCCTGGTCTGGATCAGTGGCGTTCACCATAAATATTGATCTTCCCACTGGTGTGTTCTGGAAGATACAAGCAGAAAAATACAGCATTAATAACGTCAAAACGACGAGGTCAAAAGCAAATGATCCGATTCATACTAAATAAAAATGAACAGTCGTAAAATGTGTACCAGATGGAATCTTAAATGCTTTTGGGGGATGCCTTTTCCAACCCCGGAGCTATGGACAAGAGCAAGGCATCCTGGATGTGTGAGAGTTAAACGAGAACCATGGCTCAAAATAAATTATTTAAAAAAAAAACAAAAGTAAACAAAAACAATGAATGAGATGCCTGCTTTGACCACTATTGATTTGTTGCCAGCCATAGATTTGACTCAGCACGTGTGCTTCGGATGACTAATGGTAGAGGAAACACAATTGTTCTTTTTATTAACCACACAGGACAACAAAGGGACAATACAGAACTAGATTAAAGACAAGTGAATACAACTGCCTCTGGATGATCACTCTCCACTATATAGAAACAAATGGCATACTTGTCCGGGCAGAGAATTATTTCCCAGGGAAAGAGAGAGATGAAAAGGAACCACAACCCGCAACACATAAGGTGAGACAACAGTTTGTAAGACAGTTGTATAGGTAAAGGACACTGAGACAAATGTTTTTTTATAAATGTTTTTTTTCAAAGCAAATACCTTTTCTGTTTATTTAAAGATGTCTTCTCAGAGGTATGCTAGTGGTCTCGTCACAATGTGTTCCAGCTAACCTCATGCAAATGTATTTTGAAATGAAATACCTGACGAGATGATTTCAATCTTTGGCCTCTCGGCGAGGCAGAATGAAGCACTGCTGTTCATTCCAACCTCATTTTGTGAATAACCCTGATTGAACGGATTTCATTCAAAGAAAAAAACAAAAACAAATGCTTGTTAAAAAGGATATCCTATTTTCCGTAAATATAATGATCGTCTATCTATTCTACCCCAGGTATCAAAATGTTAGGAACAGAGACATCAACTGGACAGAGACAGAAAACACAATGCCCTGGTCCAGGTGCTCTCCGTTTTGGTTATCAATTGCAATACCTGAGATGATAATGAAAAAAATAGTGTACAATAAACCGGGAAACCAGATTTTTCCTGGGTTATCCACGATGTTTACAAAATTCATCATTAATTAGAATTTTATCTTTAAACGGCCACACATGCAGTGTCAATTGGAAATAACAAATCCTATAAACAGCAGAAAAATGTTTGCTAAAGAATGGAAAATACTGGAGAGACATGTGTCCAGTAGGCTCCTATTCTTTCTCTCTCATTGTCAACCCAACAGACACCTGTGGACACACTACAGAGCGGTTGACCTTGTTTGCAGCAAGATGGGGTACCAGGTGGGGGGTGGGGGTGTAGAACCAAAACTGAAGTGACACCAGAAAAACAAAAAGCAGTCCAACCCACAGTCGGTTTCTGTCCCTTTGCTGGCATTAGGGGAATGTGGAGACATCCATATTTGTATGTTTGCACTTATGCATGGCAGCTTGTTTTACAGACCAGGGTGGAGTCGATGGGGACGCTTGGATTACAACACATCATGTGGATGCTCGCGTGGAAACTGTGCCAGTGTTTGTGTTCATTCATACTTTCTGTAAAGTGTGTGTAGCATATTTGACTTCAGTGGAACCAGTTCTAGTAGTGGACCAACCGGCTTAACACTGCCTAGTTCTCCCACAGTTGTCTTCATGAGAGAAATTCCAGCAGAAACGTTTCTTACTAATTATGGCTTCGAGTAAGTCCTGGCTAACATCCTCGTTCAGCCCTTTGAATGTAGCTGAAGAAAATTCCATAGTTGATCCCGAATGTAGGACAAAAAAATGATTAATCCATATCCAAATGACAATACATGCATTAGGATGCATTAGGATAATCAACAAGGGCACATTTCCTAAATATATTCATTATGCTTGTCAAGTTGTCTGCATACGAGAGATTTACAACTCTAAAAATACCTCGGAAGGAACTCCAAAGCTTACAGCGGGATACTGAGGCACAGGAGCAAATTAAATGGAATAAACACTTCAGACTTGAGGCAAATTCTGAAATAATATGGCTTCTGCTGGTATGTGTGCACACTTAGGAATATGTATCTGTGTATGGCATCAACGCCTACATATACAATTTTGCTTTGATGTCAAGCAGAGGCAGATTGACAATTGAGAGACTAGTTGCGTGTGTTAGTTTTTTTTTCCATGAGACTGGTACGACATTTGGGGGAAAAAAGTATGTGATTGGAGATATTGTTTAGCTCCCCTAAAGGATTTTCTAGTTTTTATCTCTCTGAACAGAAACTTGTAAAACAAAAACTCATTAGCATCGCTCAAAGTCAAATGCCTTCAGGCCCAGCACATAGCACCCCATACTCTTTTTGTAAATATGGAAACGTATACATGTTTTGATCTGTGTTCAAAGAAGTTCAAGCAGCAACATTTCAAAGCTTCAGTGTGAAGAACAGCTGACCAACTCTAACCGATACGTGTCAGTGTGCTGGTGTGGGACTTCAGAGGATAGCCGGCTTAGCTTTAGGCAGGTACAGTTTATGTTTTAGACAATATTTTGGACTCTATGGCATTTCCTTGCAAACAGATCCCGAACCGGAACAACACACACTCACATTATTCACCTTGTCTTTTTGCTTCTCCTTAAAGCTGCCACGGTCATGATGCTTAGCATTCAGAAATGAAACTTTTTAATATAAGCAAAGCCAAAAAAAAAGGCCTTATTAAAACAGTAGCTTTGACTGTCCGCTGTTACTCTTCTCCGCGTTCCGACAGCTTGGAAGTGCAGGAAAACCAGGATTGATCTCCGGGCAGCTCAGCGTGGAGCTAATAACAGAGTTAAGAGCTGTCATAAATGTAGTCTTCCAATTGGATTTTTAACCTTCCATTGAGTCTCAATAGCTTTGCCATCAGGCGATTGATTGGGTGATCAGGCGCAAATTACTATGCAGTTAATCAACTTGTCTTTATTAACTGAAGACTGCCCCATCCCACTTTATAAATGAGATAAACAACCGGGCAGAGATCAGACAGACCTGTGGCTGCTGAGCAGGACAGTTCTGAAGCACTGCACATGTCACTTACCTTTTCCCTCATAAGTGGAGAAGCCAATTGGTTAGTCATGGCTCATATTCCTACATATACGCCCCGACAGCACTTTGTAGCTTTTGAATAAATGGGAGCTATTTCTGCAGGGCACGAGAATGTTAAGTGGCGAGACAGCTGAAGAGGGATGAAGAGCGTTCCCTGCTGAGTCTTATCTGAAGTGCACTGCAGGAATCACCCTCTTCTCCCTCAGAAAGCTACTGCTAATGGAAGACGAAGAGGGGGCAAATACTGTAGCGAAATACAGTGGGATGGAGAGAGAAAGAGATTAAAGGAGGAGCACAGTGTTTTGGTACATGGTTTTTGTATTGATGTTTCACCTTCTCTAACAGGTGTAAAGGTTCTTGGTTATTATTCTGACAGCTCATTTTGCTCCGTTCTATGGCAATTGACTAAGGCAGTAATTAAAAGGCTATTTCAGATAACCTCACCATCACAGACAAGTGTAAACAAAGGCTCGTGGCAGATACGGCAAAATAAAGAAAATGGGAGAAAAAAAAATCCGGTATCCAAGAAGAACCGACCCATTGACTAGTTTTACAATGACTAAATCAATTAAACTTCCCAGGACCATCATGGGTAGGATTGTGATGAGAAAAAAGCCAAGACATAGAATTACTTCTGAGTTGGCTTAAAATGGGCGAGAGGGGCATGGGTCACACAAATGACCACAATCTCAGTGGCCGCTGCAACTGTGAATTTAAGACTCCTCTGAAATGGCTGAGCCATGATTTAGCATCATTAACTGACAGCATGAGGGTTTCTAGTTCAAATTTCTTCTTGACACTTTCTATGTGCTTCCTTGTTTGTATGAAAGATGTGGTTCAAGTTATGGTTTGTGATAGAAACACTTAAAATGATTAGCCTGACAAATCTACAAACTTATTGCAGGACCCCAAAAGGTAACGGAATGTTCAAAGTAAGTGACAGAATTCTATACTTACAGAAAAAAAAAAAAAAATCAATATATTGGAAATGTCAAAGTCAAAGTTTCCTGTTGTTATTTGTTAATCGTTTCTATACAAAATCCCTCCACAAACCATTGACAGTGAAAGACCATAGGACTGCTCTGTGACCTTAAGGGGTTACAGAGACTGAGTCCACAGAGGGCTGGTGCCCTGAATGTAATGGATTAAAGTGGTTCATTTTCAGCCATCTCTTTTCGGAGTCCTTGAAAGACTCACCATAGTGAGAGGTCAAATACTGTACCATAGCAATTAATTTGATTTTCTTTTTCTGAAAACAATTTTTAAGATAGAACTGAGGACAAATTTATTCAACATGCAGTAAAAACAAAGTATGCTCTTCAGTTGCACAAGCTAAAAGCCTAAATCTATTTAAAAGAATCACAATTGAGAAAAAAACATGTTAAAAGCACAGAGAGGAGACAGTAATAAACAAAGTTCAGATTTATGCAATCTGACCACTTTTACGTGAGTTTTTTCCTTCAGATCTAAGCTTAAAAGCATCTTTTATACATCTTCCCATGTCATCATCATTGACCTGAAGTACTTGTACGTTTGCCTTCCCTTCAAGAAAAGGGAGATATGAATTCATCAGCTAGATAATTTACCGTTTTATTTTTTAAACATACAAACAAATGTAGCTTTGTCAATTCCTCTATTTAGCACATAAAAAATTGTCCAAAGGCAAACAAAGGCAGAAAGACAGAAAATCAAATTCTCAAAATATGCGTCTCTGTGCTTATGTACTTCATTTGCTGTGGTTTGGCTCATCTTGCTTTATTGTCAGTGTCGCAATTGTGAACTATTGCATTGAATTCACTGTCGTTCTGTACACTGCATGAGTTTTCAAGCCAAATGGTCACAGATCACTTTTGACAGGTAAATGTTGCTGCAATATTGGTTGTAATGTATGTATAAAATTGAGGTTATTTACCAATAAATTCATCACTATTTGCTATTTGACATGACAAATGTTTTTGATTCCCTTGAATGCCAGTGTTATCCTAACACCAGGTAAAGGGTATAATTTCTATAAAAAAAAACAAACAAAAAAAACAGCCAATGCAAAGAACAAACAAAAACAAAACAAACAGGTGAATCACCAGCCGGCCATTGATCCACTGAGCCCCAAACTTCATCTCTCGTTTCCGCCAAAAATCTAGATGCATCCTACTGGCTTCGAAGACCATCCCAAAAATCAGCCTTTGCCATGCAGCATACTCAAGCTACCCTTTTCCCCCCTCAACTTTTTAAAAGCCCATGGAAAGGCTTTAGACTTGAGTACAACCCTTTGTTCTTATTTAGTCAGAAATGTTAAAGACATGATGATTTGAAGGGGCCGTGCCTTGGCTTTACCTCTCTGCTGCTCTCAGCTTCTGAGGCCCCACTGTTTTCTACAATGGAGCCATGATTACACCTACACTGCTCCCAGGGTTCTCAGTTCCACCCCAACTGTCTGCTCTCCGCTTCCATCCCAGCAGGCATGCGATTGCACCGGCCCCGCACACCCTTTCACCTCCTGCCTCTCTCGACCAGTGTCCTTCCACCACTGCCTCCTACACGTGGCCCATGTGATGCTGCCACCGGCATTATTCAGACTCACGAGAGGGAATGGATTACAAATGAGGACCCCGTAGAGCAAAAATAATAAGTACCTTAGATTGGTTATGGAAAGGTACAAAAACGTTAAAAGGAGAGGTTTTTGCAATTGCCAATTAATACAACAGTCGATGTGACCACATCCCAATGTTAACAAAAACACAAGACAAATACCAGTGTCAAAGGAAGTTTGACATAAAGGTGCAACATGAAAACTGGGGCCGATGCAGTAGAAAGACACCCAGTGGAAGTAAATGATTTGTCCATGGATTAAATATCTGTTTCGGATCCCTATTTTGGATAAGCTCTTTTAGAATTGGCATATGCTACAACCAAACGATGTGACTAACACAGAAAAATGCTGACCGAGCCAAAAACATAACTAAATCAAATGGACGGGCGACAAACTCACACAGAGTCGGCGGGTAAAGGGAGAACTTTAGGCGATGATAGGGCCTTTACAGAGTGCAGTTCTTTTAAAGATGCAAAGCATGTAGATCACAAGAGGAGAATCAATCTAAGAGGTGGTACATGAAGCCATATTTCACATCTGAAATGAGCTTATCAATTATTCACTTACATTAAAACAAGACTAAGTGTCCTTCATCTGCATAGTACCCACAGAAAATGGAAGAACATTTGTTCAAAAATGATTTATGAAATACTAAAAAACGAGGACGGTGTTTAGCCTGCTTT